GGGAGGGGGGGAACAAATGCCAACTAAGATCCTGGGTGCATAATCCCTACGAGCTACAGACGCAGGCAACTCGGCTGGGGGGTTGGCTGTCAGCGTCAGAGTTTGCATGGGAGATTATCTAGATCCATTTAGCCCGGTGGAACCATGCTGTGTCGCACCTACCTTGCAGGACGTATATGGAGGATAATATTATGTACTATGTACTAGCTACTCATGCTGCGAACTCCGCTGCCTGCTTGGCTGTCTCATCGCGCACAGGAAACGAAGGATGGGCCATATACAGGGAGCGTGGCTAATCAGATCACTCTGCGGTTGTCGGATCTTTAGGATGGACAAGCGGACTGCCCGATCTAATTCTTTTTCCGGCCTACGGTGGAGATGCATCGGAATTCATTGGATAAGCCGCGGAATGCCAGCAATCGGCGGATATCGCTGGTGGTCGGAATTGGAAGGAGGAAAGAGAGATCATGCCGACGAAAAGGGAAAAAAAAGAGAACAACTCGAGAAAAGAGTGCACCAAAGAAGCTAATTTCCTTTAGGCTAACGAGATGGGGACGCGGAGAAAGGTGATATTAGACCACAATATAGGAGGGGAAAAATGGGGACCTGGAGACGCCGGCGCGGCCAGAGACGGTGCGGGGTGGGGAATCCCAGCCGACATCGTGGGATGGCGCCGAATCAGCATCCAAGGCCTCCCACCAACAGCACACTGGAGGAGGAGCATACCCTACCTTTCCCCTCCGGCCTAGACCCCTTTTAGCCAGACCTTATTCGCATTATCGTGGATATCATTATTAACTTCATATTTCCATTGGCGCATTATTTGTCTCGCCTTGCAGGATGACGCTAGGCGCACTCGGGAAACGCAACGGAAACGGCTTCCCGAGCGACGGCCGAATTTTGTTGCATTCAAGCCGTGTCTCGAAAGGCCCGGGACGGAAGGGATGGGTTGAGATATGCTGCGTTTCTGAAGAAGTTGGTGGACGGCCCCGTATTGTCCCTGATCACGGGGCGGCAAAGGTGGACATCGGCGGCTGAAATCTTGGAAGCACAATGGCGCCCGCATTCAGACTGGGCTCGTTAAGCTAGCAGTCCGACAAGGTGATTAATCAGCCTGAGTGTAGTTCCCCGTGGGATTTCCAGACCCCCTCGCTTGAGTTGCTGTCTTGGGACTGAGAATCCCGAAACGGGCAAGTCAGCCCTGTGCGGTCAGCTCCACGTTTGGGTCCGGTTCCGCCACGACGGACGGGCGCAACAACGATTGGCCAGGGCGTGCGCACGTCCTTCCTCATAGGTGGGATGCCCCCAGGGAACCAAGAAAGTGGAGTTGCACGGTGTCCTCGGGTTGGTGGAGGAGAGGGGGGGAAGGATGGTGAGCAAGCCAAAAAGGATTAGTCTAATCGGCAGGCTGAAGGGCAAATTTGGTTAGTACCTGTTGTCAGACCGTCAGAGGCTTAGAGGTACCGAGGGTAGTGGTGGTAGTGGTGTTGCGAGAGGCCGGGGAGAGCGCCATCGGTAGGGAAGGGCTGACCAATGAGACAGGATAGGGGCCGACCCGATTGTTAGGCTATCGGGCGCAATATGGTGGAGGGATAATATGTACTGTGTATGGCTCCCCCCCTTTTTTTTTTCTCAACCCTTTTATTTATTATTTTTATTTTTCTGGTTGGAATGTTTTTGTTTTTCCGAATTATATTTTATCGGAATTCCCTTTTTTGGCGGGCCCATTAGCGGGCTGCGTGATGTCATTGCTCACTGCATCTCCAGCGCACCCACAGTGGGCCACGGGACCGCGCCAAAAAGATGCTTAACCCAGCGTTATTGATGCATCCGGTCCCCTGCTCCACAAAACAAACAATGGTACGGCTCACTATGGGCGCTGGTAGCTTGGTGGAGACGCCTCCAGTCAGTTCGGGGGATAAGAGATTGTTGGCCAACATGCATGCTCGCCACAAGCGACAGGCCTGTCGTCTTCGAGAAGTAGATAATCCCCCTTCCTCCCCCATCTTCTCCGCGTTGGGTCCAGTCTTGTTTTTTTTTCTCTCGGTCACATTCCTCCTTCTCCTTTCGACCAAGACCATCAACAAAAAGGAGTGCCTTGGAGAAGAGAGCGACTCGACTTTGCTGTTCGATCGCTCTAGAGATTCATCTCTCTTATCCCTCAATTGATCCCTACGTTGCTGTCATCAGTCAACCATCTTAGGATCAATCATTCAATATGGCGCCCACCTACGCCGGATTGTCAGGCAGGAAACTGTCCCTGGCAATCTCCACCATTGCCACGATGGGTTTCCTTCTGTTCGGTTATGACCGTGAGTACCCTCGCTGGACACCTGGCCGCATCACCCTAGTCCCATGTTCACATGCTAATGTTTTTCCCCAGAGGGTGTCATGTCCGGTATTATCAGTGACACGGCTTTCGAGGACCTGTTCACTGCCACCAAGGGCAATTCGACCATGCAAGCCCTGGTTACCTCCGTCTATGAGTTAGGTTCGTGGAAACAGCCCTCGTAAGCGATGCGCATCAATCCTAATATCGCATAGGTTGTCTGTTTGGCGCCATGTTTGCGCTGTTCTTCGGTGACAAGACTGGTCGTCGTTGGATGATCTTCTCCGGTGCCATTGTTATGATCATTGGTGTCACCATCCAGGTCACCTCGTTTGCTCAGCACATTCCTCTTCTGCAGTTCTTCATCGGCCGTGTCATTACCGGTATCGGCAACGGAATGAACACCTCCACCATCCCCACCTACCAGGCCGAGTGCTCCAAGACCAGCAACCGTGGTCTGTTGATCTGTATCGAGGGTGGTATTATCGCCATTGGTACTGCGATCGCCTACTGGATCGACTACGGTGCCCACTTCGGTAACAAGGACCTGGTGTGGCGTTTCCCCATCGCTTTCCAGATCTTCTTCGGTTTGATCATCATCGTTGGAATGTGGTTCCTCCCCGACTCCCCCCGTTACCTGATCTCCCGGGATCGCATCCAGGAGGGAGAGTACGTGCTTGCTGCCCTGGGTGGCTGGGAAGTCAACGACCACGAGACTCAGCTTCAGAAGCAGCTGGTCATTGACTCTATCAGAGCGTGAGTGATTGAAGCAGCCCTACGAGAATGATTGGAATTTGGCAGTACTGACAGATTGGTTTAGTTCCAACGCCGCGGGCAAGGATGTCGGATACCGTGACCTTCTCACTGGTGGCCGCACTCAGCACTTCCGTCGTATGATGATCGGTTCCTCGTCTCAGATCTTCCAGCAATTGGGTGGCTGTAACGCCGTCATCTACTATCTCCCGGTGCTTCTGCAGGAGTCCCTCCACGAGAGCGAGAACTTCTCCCTGGTCATTGGTGGTGTCAACATGATTGTCTATGCTATCTTCGCCACCTTCTCCTGGTTCTTCATTGAGAAGATCGGTCGCCGCAAGCTCTTCCTGGGTGGTTCGTTCCTCCAGTGCATTGCCATGGTCATCACGTTTGCGTGCTTGATCCCCAACAACCCCCAGACCGCCAAGGGAGCCGTGTTCGGTCTGTTCCTGTACATGGCCGCGTTCGGTGCTGCGTGGCTGCCTCTGCCCTGGTTGTACCCTGCCGAGCTGTCTCCCATCAAGACCCGTGCCAAGGCCAACGCCGTCTCGACCTGCAGCAACTGGCTGTTCAACTTCCTCATTGTCATGATCACCCCGGTCATGATCTCCCACATTGGCTGGGGTACTTACCTGTTCTTCGCCGTCCTTAACGGCCTCTTCATCCCCTTCATCTACTTCTTCTACCCCGAGACCGCCAACCGCAGTTTGGAAGAGATCGACATCATCTTCGCCAAGGGCTACACGGAGAACATCAGCTACGTGAAGGCTGCGGCCGACTTGCCCAAGCTGACCGACGACGAGGTTGAGCAGCGGGCCGCCGAGTATGGCTTTGGGGCCTCGAGTGACGAGGAGAAGGGCGCCGCCGCCGAAATCTCGGGCAACAACAGCGCCCGCGAGGAGTCGGAGTAAGCTGATATTGATGACTGATCATGAAAACAAAACGGGATATATATACGTGGTTGCATGCATTGGGGCCGCGAGCCGTGATGGCTAGGACCCAGCCCTGGCTTTTCTCTCTTCCTTACTTCTAATTTCCGCCTCCATTTCCTCCTCTCTGTCGATATATGGACTGGAGCCATGCCGATCGGCCGGAGTTGCATGAGCTCGATACCAGCATCATTGTTGTTGGCTGCCCTCATGGGGCGCAGCTGCTGGCTAGATAGATTCCCCCCTTGGTTTTTTGTGTGTTTTTGTGTCTTTCACGCGACTACCCCCGAGTGCCTCCCCGAAAAGGGGTCCGGCCTCGATTGTTTGTCTGTCTTGCCTTGAGGCGAGTTTTGTGTATATTTGCCGATCACCGTGCTAGAGCGGTTGATACCCCGAGATTCGATAGATTATGACACTTCTGATCGTCTCCAATGTTTCTTCTTTCATCCTGGCAGGACATGCGTAGTGGAGTAATCAATTGCACGAGGCGTTGGCACCATTGTCGAGGTCCGTGTGGCCGACATCACGGCGGGTGGTCCGAGAGCACACACCGGTCGCTGATCGCTAGGCCAGCACTAGATCGTTAGATCGCTAGGTAGATGCACTACCATCGTCCACTATCAGGGCTCTGGTAGGTACCGTCCAGCGGCCTGTGCCCGGCCATGATCCAGACCCTTGGGACCTGAGGCTGAAGGGGATCGGAAATGCGATCGCTGCAACAGAAATGACGCATGTCGGTCGGGAACATGATGCGGTCGCGCCCCGATCGTCATCCAAACATACCCCAGCCACCACCACGACCACCTGTCAGCCGGGTTGGTGGGGATTGGCCGTTAAGAACCAAACATACGAAGTAGGCTGAAGTATCTCATCTCGGTTCGTTCGACGGCGCGCCCGTGGCTGAAACCATGGGGCCAGTCAGGACGTAAGCAAGGGGCCGAAGGGTGCTCGCTTGTCCAGGGCGAAGGAATGATTCATCGTATCCTTCATCCTCTCTCTTCCATCCATCCATCCAGCTTCACCATTTCCAGAGATCCTGGCCATCTGACGAACACCTGATCGCACAGCGGTTCGTGAGTGATCGGCTGATCGGAGCACTGCCCTGAATCCAATGCTGCTGTGTCTTTGAGCCTCTTTCTTCCCGCGCCTCCCTTTCTTCCTCTTTTCCTTTCTTCCCTCCTTTCATCTCTCTCCTCGCCGTCTCTCTCACGCCCTGTACTCTCTTCTCCCTTTCTCTCCCTGTTCTTATCCCCACCCCGATTGCTCCTTCTTGCTTTTCTCTGTATTGTATTTCTTTGTTACCCCCTCTCCTCCCCGACTTCATCCCGAGTTGCCCGCTGGATCATGCAAATCCAGCTTTCCGGGTACCCCGCCTTAGCCTCTACCCCGCCATGAGCTCCTCCCTCGAGGCTAAGATCGTTGTCCTCGGCGCCCAAGGTCACTTCCCTCGCTCTCGCCCCGTCTCCACCGGACTAACTTTTCCCAGGCGTAGGCAAAACCTCCCTCGTCGACCGCTACGTCAAGAATGACTTCAACCCCTCCGCTACCGCCTCCACCGTGGGCGCCTCCTTCGTGACCAAACGCGTCCTCGACAGCGCCTCCGACACTATTGTCCGACTTCAGATCTGGGACACCGCCGGCCAAGAACGTTTTCGCAGCATCTCTCGCCTCTACTACCGCGGCGCGAACGCCTGCCTCCTCTGCTACGATATCACCGATGAGCAAAGTTTCCAAGAAATGACTGGCTGGCTGGCGGAATTGAAGAAGAATCTCGGCGAAGACGACCCTATTGTGGTTCACGTCGTGGGCACCAAAACCGATATTGTTACCATCGACCCCTCCCGCAGAAAAGTCCCTTTCGAACGTACTATCGCCTACGTCGCTGAGCAGCTCTACCCGACGCAGGCGTCCACGCCGCCCGCGACGGCCGGGATGGGAGGACACTCATCCAGTACGCTCACAGGCATCGATAGCAAGCGCAGCAGCGCGTTTTGGGGGCAAGATATCGGGTGGGACTGTTGTCATGAGATCAGCGCCAAGGACGGCGAGGGCATTGAGGAGGTGTTTCGCGTCATTACGCGGAAGCTGGTCGAACAGCGCAATAAGCGTGAAGCGGGAACGAGCTCGTCGCAACGGTCATCGACAGTCTTCGAGGGGATGACGTCTCTGACCCCTGGGAATATTGACGGGAATGGAAGTTTCCGTCTGGGGTATGGGGATAAACGTCGCAGTTGGCTGGGGTTTCCGCCTAGCAGCGTGGGTGACGATATCGAAGATATTGTGGAGGGACCAAAGCGAAAGGGAGGACAGTGTTGTTGACGGTGCACATGTTCCATTTTCTTCTCTTGGACTATGTGCTCCATTTGATCTTATGATGATGACTAACTGCATTGTGAAGCTTGGTGGCGTTTTGTCTTATTTGTCTTTTTGGATGATGATGATGCATGTCATGACTCTCCTTTTGTTGGTTATTTCCCATTTACATGGTTTGTGTTTTGGATATTACAGCGTGTTGAGCATTGCTTGGTTGATTCTGGATGGCAAAAGGTGCAGGCACCGTGGATTTGTTTGGCGAGGTATAGTAGATGGATTTTGCACGTATCTGATTGTTACTTTGATTTGGGAGGTGTGATATTTGGAGGATTGTGTGATAGATTGCTAATGAGGGTGAACTAGGTCAAGGATACATACAACTTGTTGCAACTGATTCATGCTATGTAGTGCTTTCGTACATTCCATCTCTCCTAAACTCACTTCAATTTACCTGTCTCTAATAGAACATAATAACTATGTCCGCAACAGCTAACCCACCAATCATGAATCCAACTCAATCATCTCACTATGTACTCTTTGACTAATCCCCTCTTCTTCCAAAAGACTTCTACTCAAAAACCAGATAACTCCCTCCTCCCCACCAAACCTCCTACCTACCTACCAACCTACCCAGAAGAAGGCAGTGGAGAAGCGCACACATGAGCATCACGAACCACTATAAATACTAATTCAGACTGCCCCCGAACCCGACACGCGCATTTCCGTTGCCATACATACAAGGAATACTAATCATCGCCCAGCTGTAGCTGGCAAACTGAGGACGAAATAAAATGCTAAGATTCTCCCATGACTTGGGGGGTATGTAACGCTGGGAGCTCATCTTGTCACCACTGAGGAAGTAAGAAAATGGACTTGGGATGGTATAGCAAGCACATGTCATGGGGAAAGGAATACGAGGCTGGGCTGGGCTGAGGTGAGCCGAGCCCGAGCCCGAACCCTATACTATACCTGACAACTAAGTAAGTACTAATACCGCACTAGGCAGTTTAGTTTGTTCTAGGGGGGTTATTAGTAGTTAAACCCCAGACACCCCCCGGGGTGAGATTTCGTGCTTATTCACATTGTTCAACTTTTACCTCTTTTTGTAACTGCATGGGAAAGGCTGTTATCATGTCATCTTCTCAGTTCAGAGTCATAGAGCATGTTATTCCGTGTCAGTCGGTTAGGGAATATCATCATGCGGTTAGGACGGATAGTCCTCCGTTGCAGTTGGCGGTGAAGGAGTACGTTCCGCTTGATGATTCTGAGCCTGCTTCTGATGGTGTTACGATTATTGCTGGGCATGCGAATGGGATTCCTAAGGTGGGTTGATGGGTATATTGAGGTGGAGGGGAGGGTGTAGTATAGGTTTGCTGACGTGAGATGTGTGTGGTAGGAGTGCTATGAGCCGATCTGGAATGAGCTTGTAGCGTTGAAAGGTGTCAAGATCAAGGGGATTTGGTTCGCAGATTGTGTCAATCAGGGTGCTAGTGGTGTGGTGAATGAGGATGTTCTTGGTGATGATCGTGAGTTATTGTGCATCTTTTTTTCCACTGAGATGTGCTCATATGGCTATAGCGAACTGGTTTGATCATTCGAGGGATCTCTTGCATATGGTAAACCATTTTAGAGATCAGATCAAGCCTCCGATCGTGGGTATAGCGCATAGTTTTAGCTGCGCTACGTTGTGTGTACCCCAACACCTCCCATGCAAGAGTATAGCTTGCACATAATACTGACCAAGATACCAGCGTGCATCTTTCCGTCATGCATCCGCGTCTATTCCACAGCCTCATCTTCCTAGAGCCAATGGTCCAAGTCGAAAGTCCTAGCAAAGCTGGCGGAAGAAGTCCCGCCCTCTGGGCCAGTTCTCGTCCCGATCTCTGGCCCTCGAGGGAAGCCGCGACGACTTTCATCCGGAGTAATCCATTCTGGCGCAACTGGGACCCAAGAGCAGTAAACCAATATCTCCAATACGGACTCCGACCTACCCCAACTGCGCTCTATCCCAACGCATCCTCCGACGCAGTCACACTTGCCACAACCAAAGCGCAAGAAGCATGGACGTATCTTCGCTTCAACGCCACCCCACAAGCTGGGAACGATGACCCAACGGAGCGTCTTCTTGGCCCCGACCTCGCAACAACACCAAATGGACTGACAACTAACAATCCCGAGTATGTTGCCGTGTGTCCGTGGTGCAGCATCGCATTCGAGTTCCTACAATATGTTCGACCATCGGTTCTGTTCGTCTTTGGGGAAAAGAGCCATATCAATGTCCCCGAACGGAGAAAGGATAAGCTGGAGCGCACTGGGACAGGGCTGGGGGGTAGTGGAGGTGTGGTGGCGGGGAGAGTAAAGGCGGAGGTTCTACCTGGTACATCGCATCTGGCGCCTCTGGAGAAAATACATGACACCGCATGGCTTTTATCGGGGTGGTTGGAGGAGCAGATGAAAGCGTATCGAGCGGAGAAGGAGTTCTTTGGCCAGTATACTAGTGGAAAGTCGGACCGTGATGCAATGGGGTTATCGGCAAAGTGGATGGAGTATATCAAGCAGCCGGTGGATACTAAGCGGGCGAGAAAGGCTCATCTTTAGAGCAATGGAGTGATTCTTGGATTTCCGGCATTTCTTCATCGATTTAGCAGCGCGATGGGTCTCGTTGGTCACAAAATCGCCATTTTGTCACTATCTGAAGAAAAAATATGTCAAAAAGGATTAGAGAAGATTGCCTAATGCAGAGATCAACCAGAACCAGAGACAATCTTTAGCACTACTCCGTACTCACGATAACATGGTCTTGGTAGCAGTCGGTGGCAGATAATTGCAGCTGGATGAACCGAGGTGAGGCCGTAGGCAGTCGGCCGAGAGCTGGTCGCCCGAACGGCTCCCCCCGCCTTCTGCAATTCCCCGGCGCTGAGCTTAACGCGATCGACCAACGACCGCCCGCCGATTTTCTGAGCTGGTCTTCCATAGGCCCCTCGCTCCCCATTAACCCGAGCTGTGCTGTTGCCTCCATCCTATTTATCTACCTATTTCCTCCTCCTCTTCCCTCCCGGCTCCTCTTGTCTTCTCTCCTATGCTTGTTTAGCCCTTCTTCCACTATCTTCATCCCACCGACCACTTCATCATGAGTACAGGCAAGCTCACCGGCGCCGCCGTCGCCGAACACAACTCCAAGGACTCTTGCTGGGTCATTGTTCACGGCAAGGCCTACGATGTGACCGACTTCCTCCCAGGTACTTCCTTTCACCCTCATCGCCTCTCTACCGTCACTGACAAGTTCCAGAGCACCCCGGTGGTCAAAAAATCATCCTCAAGTATGCCGGCAAAGATGCGACCGAGGAGTTCGACCCCATTCACCCCCCAGACACCCTTGACAAATACCTCGACCAATCCAAGCACCTCGGTGAAGTCGACATGACCACCGTCGAACAGGAGGAAAAGACTGCCGATCCAGAGGAGGTGGAGCGCCAGGAGCGCATCAGTCGCATGCCTTCTCTGGCCGCCTGCTACAACCTGATGGACTTTGAGACTGTTGCCCGGAGCGTCATGAAGAAGACCGCCTGGGCCTACTACTCCAGCGGTGCAGACGATGAGATCGTATGTGACCCCCTCCCCCCTATAAACCTCCCTCTGCCTCATACTAACCCATCAGACCATGCGCGAAAACCACTCCGCCTTCCACAAGATCTGGTTTCGTCCCCGAGTCCTCGTCGACGTCGAGAACGTCGACTTCTCCACCACCATGCTCGGCACCAAAGTCTCCGTTCCTTTCTACGTGACCGCAACCGCCCTCGGAAAGCTAGGCAACCCCGAGGGTGAAGTCGTGCTCACCCGCGCTGCCCACACCCACGACGTCATCCAGATGATCCCCACCCTGGCCTCCTGCTCTTTTGACGAGATCGTCGATGCCCGCAAGGGCGACCAGGTACAATGGCTCCAACTCTACGTGAACAAAGACCGCAGCATCACCAAGCGCATCGTCGAGCACGCCGAAGCCCGCGGCTGCAAGGGTCTCTTCATCACCGTCGACGCTCCCCAGCTCGGCCGTCGTGAAAAAGACATGCGCTCCAAGTTCTCCGACGTCGGATCCAGCGTCCAAGCCAACGGTGGCGTCTCCGTCGACCGCTCACAAGGCGCCGCCCGCGCCATCTCCTCCTTCATCGACCCGGGCCTCTCCTGGAAAGACATCCCTTGGTTCCAATCCATCACCAAGATGCCCATCATCCTCAAGGGCGTCCAATGTGTCGAAGACGTCCTCCGCGCCGTCGAAGCCGGCGTCCAGGGCGTCGTCCTATCCAACCACGGCGGTCGCCAGCTTGAATTCTCCCGCTCCGCCATCGAAGTCCTCGCCGAAGTCATGCCCATCCTCCGCGAACGCGGCTGGGAGAACAAGATCGAGATCTACATCGACGGCGGCATCCGTCGTGCCACAGACATGCTCAAGGCCCTGTGCCTTGGCGCCAAGGGCGTCGGTATCGGCCGTCCCTTCCTATACGCCATGTCTGCGTACGGCCAGCCCGGCGTCGAACGCGCCATGCAACTCCTCAAGGATGAGATGGAAATGAACATGCGTCTGATTGGCGCTACCAAGATCGAGGACCTGAACCCGAGTCTGATCGACGTGCGCGGTCTGACTGGTGGCCATGGCGCCCCTGTTCCCTTCGATACTCTAACCGTGGGCGCTTATGATCCTCTTCAAGCGCCTCGGTTCAGCGAGAAGGCGAAGCTATGATCCTATTCCTACTACTACGATTGCTATGGCTATAGAGTTGGTGCAATTCTTTGCTTGTCTGACTCCTTTTTGTTTCACATTGCTGGTCTGCTATATTGCTTGACCTGCTTGTATATACTATACCCCGTTTTCTTTAGACTTGGATTGCTATATCATAAAACATGATTGTATATTTATCATGACCGTACTTGGGTCAATTTAGTTCAGACTTGCATGACAAAGTCCCAAGAATAAATACTAAGTAGATAGTAGCCAAACAAACCCAATTAGATGTCATGAAAATGAATTTGAATCTTACAGAACCATCATCAGCCGTACTCCACACTAGAACCATATATACACCATTCCCTCCCACAACACTCACTAACTCAAACAACAACTCTCCTAACTATGTACAATCCCGACCCAACCAACCATCAACATCTACAAAACCACCACCTGGGGTTTATTCCTCAACCGGCCCGAATCCCTATACATACAAGCCGCATTAACCACCCACCCACAAGCTCTATTCTCTCCACCCCAGACCCTCGCCCAGACCACCCCTAACACACCATACACAAGTACTCTTGCTGAGTTGACTATCCCAGAGATATCGAATAGATCTCGCACAAACCCGAATAAAGAGCCGATTCGTGATATATGTGCCCGACGTCGTCGAGATGCGCACAGTTGCTCCCATGCTCGTTGGGCTTCATCGTAGAAGACGCGCTCGATGCCGTATGCGGCGTGGACGTGTCCGAAGACGTGGAGGGTCGGGCGCACGCGCCATAGCTCGGAGAGGAGGTAGGGACAGCCTGTTGAGAAGACGGGGGAGAGGTCGAGGTGCGATTGTGGTGGGGTGTGGGTGATTAGGATGTCGGTGGAGGGGGGAATGGTGTTGGTCCAGGCGTCGTGGTGGGGTGGGTAGGTGAAGGCGTGTTCGGGACCGAAGGGCACGATGGCCGGAATTTGGGGCGCGCCGTAGATGGTTAGGGTGCGGGGTCTGGAGGAGGTGGTGGTTGTGGTGGTGGTTGGGGGAAGGTGAGGGTGATGGAGGAGTGTTGAAGGTAGTGGATGTCGCCCCAGTCGATGCGGTGGGGGTCGTCTAGGTCGTCGAGGGAGCGGAGGGAGGCGGTTGAGGAGGAGATGGTGGCGTAGGTGGAGGAGGAAATGGCGTCGTTGCGGTCTTGGGGGAGACGAGAGCGCGCGTCAAAGTAGCTGTCGTGGTTGCCGCAGATGACGACTTTGTGAGGATGAGGGAGAGTGCGGAGCCAATCGACGGTGGCTTGGATTTCGCGGGCGCTGCCGTCGTTGCAGAGGTCGCCGGCGTGAATGAGGAGATCACCGTCTGGGATGTTGGGCCATTCTAGGGTGTGGGTGTCGGAGATGCAGACGACGCGGATGGGTTGGGCGTCGGGAGGGGGGAGGTGAGGAGGGCCGCGGAGGTGGTTGAGTAGTTGATGGAGAGGGTAGATGAGGGTGGCGAGCGGAGAGGAGAGGAAGTAATCGGGAAAATGGCGGCGATGAAAAGGGGAGGACATGGTGGAGGTGGTTGGTTAGGGGGGAGGAGGTGAATAAGGATAAGATGAGGTTATTCCATGTTTGCTGTTGGCAGTCAGTTCAGGTGATGGATGGGCCGAACAAAACATGGATACGGCCAGTCTGTGCCTGTCTGCCTGAGGTGCGGAGGTGGGGAGCCTGGTCGGGTAGCCAATCAACAGGGTGTGACAGGACTCGAGCACGTTCTTGGCTCTGATCACATAATGTACGTGAGAGTCGATTCTAGCTGAATCCTGAGGGGCGTCAAGGGGTAAGGAACATAATAGCTTACTCCACAGGATTGGATGATAGTGAGAAACTCCCTCGCGTCTTTATCAAGGATGTCTAGAACATGTCTCTGCTATCCGATCTCGCCGTCACGTGGTGAGATGAATCATCGACTCCGCAAAGCTGGACGAGACGGACACTAAGCGCGTAGTCGTCCTTCGTCGAGGATCGGAGGGTTATCCACCCGTGAGTGACATCAAGTCTAGATCCATGTCAGCTGGCGGCGTCCTCCGATCCCACCACGTTCCATCCACGAGCCATCCTCGCGCTGGTAACCATAGCGGAACGTCGCGCTTCTCCCCGTCTCCCTCGATCAGTAGTAGATAGACGATAGACCGTTCAATGCGACGCAACTATAAGCGTCATGGGTGCCTGGATCCATGTAGGACGGACGTGGGGGTAGTACCTCCGTCGTAACGCCGTAGCCTGGGGAGAGTAAGTAGTACTTGTTGCTATCGCCAGACAATGAAACTTCCCACCCCTTCCGGGAGCGAGTGGTTCTTTCAACAACGATTCAAGTACATTGTCCGACCAAAATATCGCCAAAGCATGAGGTTTCCGACGTTGACCGGTGCATGCTCGAGCCTGAATGTCTCCTCAGGCCCAACCGGGCGAATCGATCCATAACCCATTCATGATTTGCCACATGCAGTGGGTAGTCAACAAGTCTTCTTCATCTACGCTTGCGGACATTCCTTGTCGATCTCCATCATCAATCTCTCGCGTCGCTTTGGACCTGAGTTCTTTTCTCCTACTTTCCACTTCCAAGACATCGACTGTCGAGAAATATCCGGTTCTTCAAGAGTGATCGACTCTCATTGCAACTGTGTCTTGATCAATCGCTCCGTCTATACCAGATCGTTTGCGTCATCTGCCCGGCCCAGTCATCTGCACCTGTTCGGGAGCGTTAGGCTTTGATTTCCATGTTCTGGAGTCCGAGTCGGTCGTTCTTTGAAATAACTCGATAGAGAAGACAGATCAAGTGCCCGGGTGAGCGGTTGACTGGCGGGCGCTGCTGAACCAAACCAACCCCTCAGATTCGCACAACCCAGACCAGGCCAACCCGCCTTTCTCCTCCGCCGCCGCCGCCGCCGGCCACCACTACTAACTACCACCACCACCACCAACCCCAATCCCAGCTGCACCTAAACGCTACGAATCCGCCCGCCACCGGCTCCCATTCTCTCCTTTTTCCTTTAACAACTTTCACTTCCGATATCCGATCGCTTTCCATCCTTCTGCTATGGACGGGGTTGAAATCACCAAGGCCGTTCTGAATAAAGGCAAGCAGATGGCGAGTGTCGCTGCCTCCGCTGCCAATGGCAATGGCGGTAAGAAGAGAAGAAAAGGGACCGACTTAAAGCCGATCGTCACCAACGACGCCGCCACGCCTGGAGTCGACCCAGCGACCACCACCACCACTGAGGGGTATGCTTTCAACGCCTGCCCGCTTTTTTCCTTTGCTGTTCTCCCCATTCCCCCCCGCCCGCCCGACTTTCTTTCTTCTACTTAATTTTGCCCCATTTGCCTGATCTCCTCTCTAACCGCCATGAGTGGCAGGGTTCCCGCATACGGCGTCCCACCATCGCGCTCATCGTCCTCGTCTTCCGGCGAAGAACTCGAGACCACCGCGGAGGAAGAGGACTCGGAAGACTACTGTAAGGGTGGTTACCATCCCGTCTCGGTCGGCGAAACATACAACAATGGTCGTTATGTGGTCGTGCGCAAGTTAGGGTGGGGTCACTTTTCGACTGTCTGGCTGTCCCGCGATACGACAACCGGGAAGCACGTCGCCCTCAAGGTCGTCCGTTCCGCGGCTCACTACACCGAGACTGCCATCGATGAAATCAAGCTGTTGAACCGAATCGTCCAAGCTAAACCATCCCACCCTGGTCGCAAACATGTTGTCAGTCTACTGGACTCGTTTGAACACAAAGGGCCCAACGGTGTCCACGTCTGCATGGTGTTCGAAGTGCTGGGAGAAAATTTGCTCGGGTTGATCAAGCGATGGAACCACCGCGGCATTCCTATGCCGTTGGTGAGGCAGATCACGAAACAAGTACTACTGGGATTGGACTATCTCCATCGGGAGTGTGGTATCATCCACACGGACTTGAAGCCGGAGAACGTGCTGATTGAGATTGGCGATGTGGAACAGATCGTCAAGACTTACGTCAAGGAGGAGGCCAAGAAGGAGCAAAAGGAAGACAATCGCAACGGGCGGCGACGGCGCCGGACCTTGATCACCGGGAGTCAACCCTTGCCAAGTCCACTTAACACCAGCTTTGATTTCAAGCACAGTTCGCACAACTCCCATAGCAGTCTAAGTCAGATGGTGAGCGAGTCATCTGGTATGTACCGCTGCAAGTCAACGTGCTTCTGGTTGCTAACGGCTGCAGTTCCGTCTAATACAGAGAGTTCGATGAAAGAGCAACTAGGGATTAAAGAAGACGACGAGAAGCAGAAGCAACGGGAGAAGACTGCGTACGTCCCTCCCTTTTGGCGGGTGGATATTGTCTTACGGGAATACTGACCATCACAGTGACTTTCTGGAACGAGAGGTATCGGGTATCTCCCTAGACAAGTCCAAGTCAAGTGAGGATCCGGAGTGTGATATAATCTCTGTGAAAATCGCCGATTTGGGCAATGCATGCTGGGTCGGCCACCACTTCACCAATGACATCCAGACACGACAGTACCGTTCGCCGGAAGTTATTCTGGGCTCGAAGTGGGGCGCCAGCACGGATATTTGGAGTATGGCCTGCATGGTATGTTGATCGGTTTCGTGGTTGGTTTGATTGCTAACAGGCCAGGTATTCGAACTCATTACCGGCGACTATTTATTCGATCCACAATCAGGTACCAAGTACGGGAAGGATGACGACCATATTGCGCAGATCATCGAGCTGTTGGGACCGTTTCCCAAGTCTCTGTGTTTGTCGGGCAAATGGTCTCAAGAAATTTTCAATCGCAAAGGAGAACTCCGCAACATCCATCGGTTGCGCCACTGGGCTCTGCCGGATGTTCTACGGGAAAAGTACCATTTCACCGTCGAAGAGAGCATGCGCATCAGCGAGTTTCTACTACCGATGCTCGAAGTATCCCCGGAAAGGCGGGCCAATGCTGGTGGCATGGCGGCTCACGAATGGATGCGGGATACGCCCGGCATGGACGCGGTCGACCTGGGAGTACAACCGGGCAGCCGTGGCGAGGGGATCGACGGATGGGCGATGGAAGTCAAGAGGAGATAAACAAAAGTACACTAGGCATGAGGACTCCTGACGCAAAGTCGGTCGAGTCGGGCGACGAGTTTCCTTTTTCTGTTACCGTGCGGCGGACCTCTTTTCTACTACTACCTTTTTCTTGGCTGCGTTGGCCGTTCACTGGATGTTATGATTGCCTGAACATGATGCTTGCAAGCTCGTACCCTGCCTTTCATTCTCCTGTCCGTTTTACTTTATAGAGCCGCGAGTTACCATAACTTTCCTGCTTCGAGGTCTGCTGTTAGATGCGACGCCCCGTGTTCGATTGATTATCTTGCTAGGGAAATATCACCGGGGAAGTTGGGAGGTGTTGTTGACAGACTCACAGGAGCTGTAGATATTGCATGATGCATGAATGTGTGTAGCATTATTGCTGTATATCTCCACCATCATCCACCCCCTCCTCCACCTCGCTAGGCAAAACCTCAGGAAACCACCCAAACCGTCCCAAATCCACATAAAACTCCCCCATCGCATCGCTTTCCACCTCCACCCCTTCCCCTCTCAACACCTCTGCCTGTCTCTCTGCACTCCCTGGGCCTCTGATTCCATCCGTTAGCTTTCATTTCCCCCCTCCCATTGATCCATAAAGCAACCCCAACAGGAAAGATATAGAAAATCACAAACCGATGCGAAATCCCCCCCCTCGAATTAATCACCCTCTGCCAAGGCACATTCCCCGAATGGTAGAACCCTGTGCCTGGCGAGGGGAGATGTTTTAGGCTTGTGCCGACTTGGCGGGGGCGTTTTGCTACATTCTTACGTTAATGGTTTGGTGGTAGTATGTGTGTATGTATGTATGGACAGAAAGAGGTGAAAATGAGGTGAAAATCAGGTAAGGAGGGAGATACAAGACGAGGGGAGGGTTGCGTACGATAACCTAGCAGTAGAGCGATATGGCCGTAGGATGTTACTCGACCCCGGGGAATCTCTTGGATTGCGGAGTAGACGGCGTTGATGAACCATTCTGTTTCGTCGGTGCGGGGCATTTTTTCTATCTCTTGTGTAGTGTTTGGGTGGGTGGGGGTGGTAGGTAGGTAGGTAGGTATGTGAAGTGTGGTGTATTGCTAGGGTGGATGGGTTACATATTGTAATGAAGCACTCCGTAGGTAGTAGATGTTCTTTGTTCCACTGATGGATGGATGTATAGTCACTATTTTCTGCCTAAGGCAGAAAGTCTAATATCGTATTCGTACCGGAAAAACACCATCCCGATTATCAGATACGGTTCCTACTATCACAACCAACCAACCAACCAACCAACCGACCGACCGACCGACCCTTCACAACTTTCTTACCTACCTACACCCACACCCACAAATACACACAGACATGTCCTCTCTAGCAGACTACCTCGCGAAAAAATACCTCACCGCAGACCCCGCCACCGAAAGACCCAAAAAGAAACGCAAGAAGAATACCAAATCCGACAGCACACCAACCGGACTCATCATCGCGGACGACGACCCGCCCGATCTACGTTCCCACGGAACCACACTCCACGATGACGAAGACGCACCCTCGATTGTGACAGGCGCAGGGGCCAGAAGTGGCGAGTTCCGGCGCAAGAAAACATCCGGGTGGAAGACTATTGCGGGGACGGAACAGGATGAGGCGGATAAGATTCTTGCGGATGCGGTTGCGGAGAGGGAGGTTGGGAGGGGGGGTTAGGGGAGGAGAGGGATGAGGATGCGCCGGTTGTGGAGGAAGAGGAGGAAGGGGTGAGGATGGAGTCTGGGGCGTTGGCCGGGTTGCAGACGGCGGCGCAGACGGCGGCGATGGTGGCGGCGCAGGAGAGGAAGAAGAAGTTGGAGGCGGCCAAGTATAGGGACTCGGCGCTGGGGGAAAAATCCCAAGAGACGATTTATCGTGATGCGAGTGGAAGGATTATTAATGTGGCGTTGAAGAGGGCGGAGGCGAGACGGGCGGAGGAGGAGAAGAAGCTGAAAGAGGAGGAGGCGAAGGAGGCGTTGATGGGTGATGTGCAGAGACGGGAGAGAGAGGAGAGGAGACAGCAGTTGCAGGAGGTGAAGGCGATGCCGTTGGCGAGGACGGCAGATGATGATGATCTGAATGATGAGTTGAAGGGGAAAATGAGGTGGAATGATCCGGCCGCGCAGTTCTTGACCAGTGTGAGGGATGGGGGTACGAGTCGGACGGGGAAGCCTTTGTATAAGGGAGGGTTTGCGCCAAATCGCTATGGCATTAGACCCGGCATCGGTGGGATGGAGTTGATCGGGGAATGGTTTCGAGAAGGAGTGGTTTGCGGCGAGGAATAGAAAGGGTCGGTTGGAGGCGTTGGATTATCAATGGCAGATGGATGAGTGAGGGTCTTTTCTTTATATATGGGTTGATGTATGTGATCTGGTGCTGGACGCTGGATGGACCAAAATAATATCATTGAGTGGACTGTTTGAGTACAGTGTAAGGTGTTGCATGTATTGCTTATTTGTATCTCCTAATTTCTACTATAGCAACTCTGCACTGAAGCCGTTGTTGAATGTATCAGGGCAAGCATCACATACAACCTGCTTGTTAGGTTTCTCAGACAATCAGCAACACCTCTACGCTATGGTCAAACTCATTCTACGCACCACCATGTCCTCCAACTTTCACTTCTTTCTTTCTTTGATGATTTAATCCCCAACCTAAGAGCGCCCAGTGCATATACCAGCTGATCCGAGAGTATGGTAGCACATCTCTCGATATAGCCATGCATCCACGCAGTCACCGGTAACAATCTGATCATAAAAGACAAAATGGAAGACCATACACATCCCCTAAATCTGCATCTCCTAGAGCTTCCTACAGAATGGATCTATACTACTACTTCGAGGGACAAACGGGACAAACGGGACAAACGAGTACCATGCGTGGATTTTCGCTGTTAGTCAATAGTCTCCATGCCTTAGATATACCACTCTCTCAATCCAATAATGTCTTGTTAAACATCACTGTCTTATCTGCAGAGTGGACATACCCACTGATAAAAAGTGATGAAAGGGTAGCTCCTAAAGTATAGAGGCACTGATGCATGTATACATCTACCTATTTATTGTGCTTGACGTCACCTTTAGTGGTTGCCTAGTCTGAACACACAATAATCAGCGTATAATCAAGATAAGATCTATTCCGATTTTAGATCGTTATATATGCTTCAGGTGTTATTTTTAAATAGACTGCAGTTTGACGTGATGGTTCACTGAAAGAATGCTAGAACTGCATCTTCAAGATATAGATAGTTAATGGGCTAAATATGCCTTGCTACGGGGTGGACGGACAGAGCGGACATAAGGATAAGAATAGTTGAAGAATGCTTTGCCCGGGAGACACTATTCATTTGCCATTTTGGATGTTGACATACCATAGCCATTTTCATATTGGTACGGTGTACTCTATGTGTGGATAAGGGCTGAACTGACTGAATTATACGAGTGTATGAAGAGGTAGCACGGTTATGCACATAATGCAAACTGGATTAATTCTTATTACAGAGTACAACTGATTGAGCTTGAATACGAAGTAGATTATCTTTGGTTGAGAACCACCAACTGGCAACGAATACATTCTTTCTGATGTCATGATCTGATCCTGCAAGCAGCTCGCATGCAGTCCCCAGCCATCACGCTGCGCCGCGAGTGACTGGACTCCCTTTGAGTCATCTGCAGCGCTACGGAACTCAGATCGTGGACTTTGGCATGGGATCACCCGCTCAGCAGGAGCAGCAGGCCAGCCGCCGACAAGCGTCACGGGCAGCCACGAGAGCCATTGATTGGAGGATGCAGGGGTGAAAGGGATCCCGATAACCAGGCAGTGTCCGATCCAAAGGACCGAGCGGACACGATCCATTCATTGTGCCCGGCTTGACAAGTGACGTTCAAGATGCGCCAACGTGCCTGAGGCAGTGGATTCAAAGAACATGCTCACTTGCCCGGGTGCGCGTCTAACCTCGGGAACAACAGAAGGGAGGCCCGCCAAACCGTGGGTCCAGAAGTGGCGCTCGGGGGATCGGCACCAGCAACGATAACAATCCAGGGGGGAGGGGTTGCGTTGCGAATTGCGATACCGCCGTCGTAATGGGAGTTGCTCCCTCCGATAACCAGATACTCAGATAGTCTTTTCCTTGGATAGTTAGTGGAAATGACGAGAGATGATATCCAACAGATGACCTGCCACAATGAGCATCGCCTCGCGCGGACCCCGTGGGCTTATTTAGTCGGCCACTCGTAGCGCGTGCGGTCGAGATAGACCTACATTATAACTCTGGATGACTCTCACCCCCAAGGTCTTGACTACCTCCTCTGCTTCTTTCCTGACTTCCTGCCACTGTCACTTATCGGTTCTCCATCCCGGTGAATCTACCGTGTATTTGCCGCCCTCGGATCGATGACTGGAAGCTCAGCCGGGGCCTCTTTATGACTCAGACCAAGAACGCCCTATAACCCATTTGTTTATTGTTTATCGGAGACTTTTGGTTCGCGGGCGCCTCAGTATTCGGTCTTTTGTCCACCGTTTGCCTCAAATCCTGGCTTTATAATCCGAGGCCGCCACCCTGATCCAGCTTCTACATCAACTACCCCGTACTCTGAAACCACCCCTGCCTTCGTATCCAACATGTCTGATTCTCTGCTTGATATTCGCCGCTCTGGCGTTGATGCCAAACGGGCCCACGACCACAAGGCCAAGTGGGCGTACGGCAGCCGATGTGCCCACTGTCGTCATCCAGATGTTATTTCTTGCGCCCTGCCCATGTCTCGGCCAGTGATGCCGGTCACCCACTATACAACGTACGACCCGATTCCTCTAGCCATATGACAAAGCTGACCCCGCTAGGTTGACACGGGCGATGCGTTTCAACCGCAAGGCCAAGACCAACCAGCACACCAGCGATGCGAAGATATCCCTGCGTGCCGATGTCCAAGAGGCTCTCGATAGTGGTCCGTCGGATTCATCCAGCGATGATGTCGATGACCCTGCGGCGGTGCAGGTCATGGATGATTCTGACGGCAGGGAAGAGCTTCGTGACTATGAAGCGTTTGGACAGACCATACTCTCCGATGCCGTGAGCAAGGCGGTCGAGAAATTCGAGACCAAGGAGACGGAGAGGATCGTCAAGGAGTACGAGATCATCTCGTACGAGAGCGAAACCGCCATGGGCTATCTGGCCGACGATGACTTTGAGCTGGTCGATCGCGTCCAGCTATGACCTGTCCTTTGCATTCTGGTATTCTCTGGCGTCGATCTTCCTTCCACAGTCTTGGCATGGAGTTGGTGATATTTATGGGTTCTCATAGCAGTATATTGTTGTATATCACTTTTGTTCAGCCGTTTGTTGATTCAAGCGACGCAGTCTGTGCTTTTGTCAGCGTTCATGTTAATTCATCACCTGTAGTATGCTTAGAGTGAATATTATCCAGCGATGGAGTATCTTATGACTCAACAGCTGTTTCGACTTTCGACGGTGGCAGTAGTCAGTAGATGCAGAGGTTGCGGGCGCGACCGAGTCGAGACGGCGCGAGTCCGGGGTGCAGCCCCGCATGTTGTCTCCATTGTCTGTTGCTCCTGCTGGACAGCAGCCATTCACCGTTGCAATGGCTAAGAATAGCCGCGACCGTGTTGTGCATCAGCCGCCTGCATACACCGTCGCTACTTTGCAGCCTCATGCAGTGGCTCGACGTTGAGAAATATTTGATACGTGGACTTCAACACTACACTGAGAATCAAGCACTATTTGCATCTGATCTGTGATCGTGATCGTATCGTGTCTGTCCAAGGCATCCGTCGTTGCTCGGCGGGTCTGTTTACAAAACAAACTGCCAGGCGGAAAAAGTCCGGCCTCCGATCGATCCTCACAACACTCTTCACACCATCCGCTATCCCGACTTCACCATCCAGCAACATGGATAAACGATCGGCAGAGAGTCCAATGGACTTTGAATGGCAGACCAGGGCCCCGGGAGATGTGACCTCGCCTTTTTACCAGCTCAGCGTGCAGCATGACAAGAAGCGTGCGTCGATCGCTCATCGCATCTAATCCAACTAACAGTATCATAGGCCCCCATAGCACGTTCGATTCTCCTGAGAAGAAAACAATGCCAGCTCTACGAGAGCCCAACTCCCAGCCTTTTCTCTTCTCTCGAACCAACTCACAGCAAATTCCCGCAACTCCTAAACCCTTTCTCAACCACTCCGCGTTCATGACCCCTCGCAAGTTCGATGTCGACTTTTCATCCGGCGCTGAGAACATGTCGTCTCCGGAACATGCAGACAACGAGGATACTCCGGAGCAGCCCAAATCACACCGAAATTCGCTTTACAGTATGTACGGACGGTTTGCGCCCAGCCCGGGCCGTGGCGAAATCCCTCGATTGAACCACTACTCCAACGCGTTGGCGCGACGGGTGCAGAAGAGGCGGCGGAGGGATAAGGCATTGGATATGCAACTACGGAGGGATAGCGATGATGAGAGTGACCGACCGAGCAGCAGCGAGATCAAGCCAACCAAGCAGAGAAAGAAGGATCAGGAGGCAGCTCCCACCGGGTCTCGGTTGACTTCTTTCTCGGATTTCTTTGCTTTGTTGGAGGCACACCCGAACGTCCCCAGCATTTTGTCGTGGTGGGCGCAGCTGGTGGTGAATCTGTCGCTGTTCTCGCTGGCAGTATATGTGGTCTTTGGGTTTGTGTCGGCGATCCGGGCGGAATTCGAGCAGGCGGCAGAGGAAGTGTCGGACACAATCCTGGCAGAGATGGCAGCATGTGCCAAGAGCTACGTCGATAATAGATGCGCCGGGGGCGATCGACTCCCTGCCCTGGAAACGGTGTGCGAAAACTGGGAGCGCTGCATGAACCGGGATCCGGCCAAGGTCGGACGGGCCAAGGTGTCGGCGCACACGATGGCGGTTATCATCAACAGCTTTATCGATCCTATCAGCTGGAAGGCGATTGTACGTTCCCTACCGTTGTGTAACGTCGGCTGCTCACTGTCTAGATGTTTTTCCTTGCTACGATATCGACCGTTACCGTTGTCAGCAACTGGTCCTTCCGTTCGTTCCGAAACCGTCTCAATCAACACGACTACTCCGCTCCTAGCTATTCCCGACAGTCCTCCGGACAGCACCCGTCGATTGCTCCACAATTTCCCTATCAGCACAACACGTTTGGATATGTGAATCAAGAGGGAGCGAAGCCGGAGGCACCGTTGATGCTGGAGCAGTCGCAGACGCGCGATTTTGTGTCGGAACGGACCCGCGAGCGGGAGTCTCGTCTACGCACACCCAGTCCATCCAAGCGGATGAGATAGTTCTTGGCAGCGGTGTTACATGTGTTGGTGGGCAAAAGGCTGGATAGGAGTTGCTGGTTCTGTTCGTGTATATACGTAATGAGTAACAATGGTATTGTTGTGTTAACGCGGCATCCGACCGTGCGTAGATGACCAACAATGACGTCGGCCACGACGGATCAACAGCCACCGCGTCGGTCGTGCAACCACAGCGTGAAGCCATTTGGCTATAGCGGGGTGAGTGACATTGCCGCAGTCGTGTTCTCATGCTGACGTATTGCATCCTTACCAGGGGATCCTCGACCTACATCTTCCTGAGCAGCGAATATTCTCCTGCGTTGATTCCTATGAGCACTTACCGCGATAATTCAGGATGGCATCCGACACAAAGCGCAACCTCATCGTTGTATCGAACCGTCTTCCGCTGTCGGTGAAGAAAGTCGATGGAGGATACGAATCCTCTCTTTCCAGTGGGGGGCTGGTGACCTCGTTATCCGGGCTGACCAAGACCACCACGTTCAGCTGGTTCGGATGGCCAGGCATTGAGGTCGATGAAACTGAGCAGGACGAGGTGCGCAAGAGTTTGGATGAGCATAATGCAGTGCCGATTTTCCTGGACAGTGAATTGGCAAACAATCACTACAACAACTTCTCCAGTGAGTGACCTCTACTAAATACAAGACGCAGCTAACGGACAGACTCCATCCTCTGGCCGGTTCTCCACTACCAATCCGGCATCTCCTTCGAAGACGATCCGTGGGAAGCGTACCAGCGGGTGAATGAGATCTTTGCCGACACGATTGCCGAGGCAGCGACACCGGGGACGCTGATCTGGGTGCATGATTACCATCTTATGCTCTTGCCGGGGCTATTGAGGAAACGCCTGGCGGGAAAGAACTGTGCCATTGGGTTTTCGCTGCACACGCCGTTCCCGGCTGGAGACTTTTGGAGAAATTTGCCGGTGCAGACGGATTTGCTGCGGGGCATTCTCAATAGTGATGTCATTGGGTTTCATACGGATGAGTACAAGCGGAACTTTGTACTGTGTGCGGAGGAGCTGTAAGTGTATTCCTATGTGAAATGGTACTAATGGGTACTAATGGGTACAGGGGAGTGAAAGTGGAAGAAGGGAGGATGGAATACGAGGGGCGAGAGGTGATTGCGGAAAAATTCATCGTTGGGATCGACCCGCAAAAGTTTACAGATACGCTGCAGAATGAGGAGGTGCAGAACCGCATTCGCGAGTTGCAGCGGCGGTACCTGGGGATGAAGATTATTATCGGGGTCGACCGGCTGGATCATATCAAAGGGCTGTCGCAGAAACTGAAGGGATATGATGCTTTCTTGGACCAGCATCCTGAGTTGAGCAACAAGGTGGTGTTGATCCAGGTGGCGGTGCCGAGTCGAGAAGATGTCAAGGAGTATCAGGATTTGGAGACGGAGCTGAGCACCATAGCAGGGAGGATCAATGGCAAGCACTGTAAGTCTACTGTCCACTGGTACGAAGGGTTCTAACGGTCTAGCTACTGCCGATGGCTGTCCGCTGATCTACATGCACCGATCCGTCAACTTTAGCGAGCTGACGGCACTGTACTCGATTGCGGATGCGTGCCTGTTGACCTCGACACGGGATGGCATGAACCTTGTTTCGTTTGAGTATGTGGCGTGCCAGGCGCAGCGGCATGGAGTGCTGGTGCTGTCCGAGTTTGCGGGAGCCGCGTCTTTTATGAAGGAGGGATGTCTCACATTCCACCCAGCGCATCTGTCGGAGATGGTGGATGCACTGTATGAAGCGGTGTCGATGAGTGAGGAGGATCGGGCGAAGCGGTATCAAACACTGCGACAGTTTATCGAAACGAATACGAGGTGAGGCCCAATATTGTGTGATGATGACTTGGGCTAACTGGATAGTGCCAAATGGGGCGAGGCCTTTATCGAAGCGCTGACCAAGCATTTGGATGGTTGACAGGGCTGATAACAGGCAGCCAACTGTAGCAATGAACGGATCCGATTATCGGGTGATTCATAGACAGGGAAAATGACACGGGATGTGTTTCATGATGGATGCAATGACTTAGTCCTGTAAACGAGGCGTGATACGGCTTTCGTCTGTGATTGATTATTCGATCAGAACCAGAACCAGAACCAGAACCATGCTCGTATTCGGGCTTCCAGAAGAACTTTGCGCGTGATGTACCTGAAAATGAACCTCGGCAGCTGAGCCCTGACCCAAAAATCAGCCCGACAAGCTTTGATCGTCTGACCCTTAATACTGTTGCCTACCCTACCTCCACCTTCCACCTATCCCCAATCCCTAATCCCTATAGCAATAATTCAATAAAGTTCATGGAAAAACCACCCGCACTTAAGTACCATCCATAATCAAACTCAAACACAGCCCACCCACTACAACCAATCTACAGTAGACAAATCAATAAATAGATATTCAGGAACCAAACCAAACCAAACAAACCAACCCGGCTGAACTCCGGACCCTGACTGACTCCACTAACCACCACCACTAGTACCATATATACTATACCACTACCGTACTAGTGAAAAAACATCGACACGGAATCTAACTCAACCCAGCAAAGCGGCCGACGAGACCCTGAAACCCTTCCACTCATGCACGGTTGCAACTATAATGCAAAGGGGGTTGGAGTGTTTCAGTAGACTGATTTTTGGGTTGTGGTCGGATGTGACGGGTATGAGGCTGCGCTTTCAGTTTTTTGATGTATATATAGGGCTTCGGGGTTGGAGAGATGGAGTGGTGTTGAGCAGCAGCAGCAGATTCATTCTTTCTTTGTTTACTACTATTGACTTTCGTTTACTACATACTACTCTATCGTTTTTGATATATATATATATATATTCTGCAGGACAGAATACAACACAACCACCCCAAACAACCAAGAGGAAAAGAAAAAGAAAGAAGAAACAAAATGGCACCACTCAAATCCCTCCTCCTCACCTCCCTAGCCACCATGGCCACCGCGTCCCCTCTCATCGCAGACCCTTCGTCTCTTCACGCCCGTCAATTCGGAACCGGAATCACCGCCAACGAACTCGAAAGTGGCAGTTGTAAAGAAGTCACGTTTATTTTCGCCAGAGGGTCGACGGAGTTGGGGAATATGGTAATTCCAATCCCTTACCCCCTCCTATACCTTATCTTTGTTCTGTTTTCACTATGCCAAACATACATAACAACTCTACGGATATATTGGATAATGGCTAATGAGTAAATGGTATAGGGATCCGTAATCGGCCCCCCAGTCTGCGACCAACTCAAATCCAAACTCGGCAGCGACAAAGTCGCCTGTCAGGGTGTGGGCGGGGGATACACAGCGGGACTGATGCAGAATGCCCTACCCCAGAATACCGACCCGGCTGCTATTTCCGCCGCGAAGGATATGTTTAATATGGCGAATACGAAGTGTCCGGATACGAAGATCGTAGCCGGAGGTTACAGGTATACTCTTCCCCATTACTATCCCCACCCCCCTTACCAAAACCAACACTAACGGGTATTTGTTGTGGGGTATAGTCAAGGCAGCGCGGTAATCGACAACGCCGTCCAAGAAATCAGCAGCGAAGTGCGAGACAAAACCGTCGGTGTGGTGTTGTTCGGATTCACTCGGAATGTGCAAGATCATGGACAGATCCCCAACTACCCCAAGGATGATGTGAAAGTGTACTGTGCGGTTGGGGATATGGTTTGTGATGATACGTTGGTGGTTACGGCGATGCATTTGACGTATGGTGTGGATGCGGGTGATGCGGCGAGTTTCTTGGTCTCCAAGGTGCAGGCTGCGGGGTCGAGTACGAGCAGCAGTAGTAGTTCGGATGCGGCGAGTTCGAGCTCGAGTGCGAGTTCTTCGGGGTTGGGGGGGTTGTCGTCGATGTTTGGGGGACTTTGAAGAGGTATGAGTTGAGGGAGGGGGAGAGTGAGAGGAAGAGTAAGAGGAGGGAGGATCTGGATTATCCTGTTAACTTCTGATTTGAGTTGAGTTGGTTTGTTTGGTTGGTTGATTGATTGATTGATTAGATGATATTCGCTTCTTCATACTACTAGTACTAGACTAGTAGTAGATTTGATTACCAGCTAGCTGGAATACAATTACTGTTTCAATAAACGAATACCATTCTTTCCTATAAGTAAATACCAAAGACCAATTTAGTATTGATCACACCCCACAAAATCATCCCCCTCCGCCCCCGTATGCGTAATAACCCCCGCAAACTCATCCCTGCGATTAAAAATGACTCGATCCGCCCCGGGCTCACCACCCGTAAACACCTCCCCATTTCTCAAGATCGGGAATTCAAGGTACGGTCCCTCGACAGGAAAATCAAACCCCTCGTAGTCGTGGTATGTATGTGGGTATTTGTCTTTTCCCACGGTGCGCCATTCTTCCCAGAGCTTCCAGCCTTCGGATTGGGCGGCGGAGATGGCGGAGACGGTGTAGCAGGAGGTGCCGCAGGTGTAGGCGCAGGTGTTTGGGGAGGCCAGGGTGAGGTGGGCGAGGAGGGGGGTGAGGAGGATTAGCTGGTGTTGGTGTTTTGTTAGTTGGGGTATTGTTTGGTTGGGGGTGGAGGAGGTATGGGTATGGGTATGGGTTGTACCTTGGAGTAGAGCATGGTGATGGTTGGTAGTAGAGTGAAGGGATTGATGGGAGGATGCTTGTCTGTTTGGTTGTTTGGCTGGGGATACACACCTTTATATACCTTTCGTGTACTGTGCTCTGAGCCTTCTGCCGACTCCAACCGACCATATTGTATATCTACATGCATCTACCCACTGACAGCTGTTCATTTATCCAATTTAGGAAATGAGGTTACATTGAGTAGGAATACTTCTTCACCAATTGGTATCTCTTCATGCAGGTCCACCTCCACCAAGGCAGCCCGGTCAGACCACGGAGCTGCAGAGTAAACTCATGCCGATATACACAATGCTTATTCGACAATGTCTTTCTGCAGGACAGTGGTGGTTGCCTAGCCATAGCTATTCCCAAGTACAAAATCCTGTGAAATATAAACCAAATCCACTAACTATACACCATCCACCAATAACACCCCCTAATCAACGCACACACTAAAGTATCCCCGACGGAATCCGCAACACGGCCCGACCCTCCACCGCATAACCTCTCATCCGCTCCGCCACCAAATTGATGTCCACCAAATCAAATACCTCGTAGTGGGTCGATACCTTCCCCTCCCTCGCCAGCTGCAATAAAGCCTGCATTTCGGTCTCCGTCCCGACCACACTGCCGAGGACTCGTAGCCCACGGTCCACGCAGAATTGAGGCGTCATGGGAATGTGGAAGCCCGGCCGGGGGAACCCGACGCAGATAAGTGTGCCTAGAGGACGGAGGAGTTGGACGCTTTGCTCGTAGGCGGTTTCGGATCCGACGACGACGAGGACGGCGTGTGCGCCGATGTTCTCGGTGGTGTTTTGGATGTGGGTGATTAACTGGCTTGTTAGTGTTCTGGTACGGTATCTGATGGGAGGGGGAGGGAATTACATTCTCGTCTTTGAAGTCGAAGAACGCGGTTGCGCCGGAGTTGAGACATATGTCTTTTTTGGCTGCGCTGGATGTAGGATCAGTTTTGTGTTTGGAAGAGAAGGGTATGGGGGATTTACCTATCTACTCCAATCATCCTATATCCCATCTCTTTACCGATTTGAATGCCTCTGCTTCATCAGCTACCATCACGACGAGATAGTTAAGAGAACTAACAAATGTCCTAACCCACCCCCAGCACCCATAATAACCACCCAATCACCCTTTTCGCAAAACTTGTCCAACTTGCTCAGCGCCCCGTACATCGTTAGGCCGGCTAACTTATCAGCTTCCCAGTCACCAAGCTACTAGCAATGGAAGGACGCACCGCAAAGCAACGGGGCAACCCCCGCCGGGTCCAAATCCTCTGGTATCAACGAGACGAAGTCCGCTGGCGAGACGAAATATTCTACTTCTCTCAGCCACCGTTCCCAATAAACGAGAGTAAAAACTCACGCTGAAACGTTCCCGGAACATTCTACCCACCCAGCACTAATCAGCCACCTCAACCCGAACATGTAGAGGAGAAAGACATACCCGACCTGAATTATCCTGTCTCAAACAATTCGTATATTGTACTTTGCATGTCGGACACTTCATGCAGCTTTTCTGGAGCCATCTTTTCTTGTTAGTCATGAACCAAGTCATATCTATGTTAGATATTGAGTGGGATAGGGTATGTACTTAACGCCTACTCTCCTCCCCAGCATGTTGTCTTCCACGTCGGGACCGACTATCCATCACCAATATTAGCATTCTGTTCCATCCAGTAAACCAGTCCTGATATACTATAGCATAGGTAGTAGGGCATATACCTCTCACAACCCTCCCCACCCCCTCATGACCCGGGACATTAGTCGTCATATGTAGATCGCCGTTGATGTTGTGGAGGTCCGAGTGGCTATCACACACTCAGCTATTAGCATTCTATGTAATTAAGAAGATCGAAGGCATTTTAGTTGGGAGGATACCAAAAACCAGTAAACTCCAACTGTATCAAGACTTCTCCTGCTGTGGGCGAAGGAACCGGAATGTCATCTCGGAGGACAAGTTGGGCGCCCGGGCCCGGAGTGTCGATGCAGGCGGCGGTTTGGCGGGTTGGTATTGTGGTCATTTTGAATTTGGTATAATGGATTGGGATGGATTGAGGAGTGGGAAGCTGTGTAGAGGAAGAATTATCTGAGGAGAGATGACGTTGAGGGGTTCCGCAGAGTAAAGAAAGATGCGGGGAATCCGAGCGGAGAAGAGATGGGTTGGGGTCGGATTTGGATGGTTACAACGCAGTCTAGACTCGGATTTACGGGAATATTCTACATGTCGATCAGAAAGGAAAGATGACAGTTGCCTGGTTGGAAGAGTTGGATAAATCGGTGCCGGGTTTACGGATGAAGGGATCGAAATGGAGTGACTATTGGAACGGAGCTGGAAATGTGGGGAACCCCGCATATTCACGAGATATCATCTGCACAGTTTCAATTATTGATGCACCTTCATTCTCATTTCCGATCCATCCTATCCGACGTATCATCTAGGCAACCGACATGTTTGAAATTCTCCCCAGCAGAAACTTTAGCTGTCGGTATGCCGCGCTGGGAGCATACTCGGGTATTTCTATCCATGTCAGTATCCAATACCCAACGGGAGTTAGATTCTAGGGGATGTCATACCGTGTCCTGCAAGAAACACCTCTGAAAAGGTCAATCCACGCTCCGTATGCGCTGTCCCCAGTACACCTCCTCCTGATTGACCATACGGCACGAATAACGGCTCCACCGGTTGTCGCTCAAACCCCTGCTTTCCGTTCCAGGTCATATTTTGGATACTGATCAAGGATCCTTTTGACAGGAGCTCAAAGTCCAGCAGGCCGTGCGCGATGATCGTGTTATTCGTTTGTTCGATCACGCAAGGCAGCGGCCCCAGAGAGCTAGGCGGGGAGATATCCAGTCCGTTGGTCGTCGGGAAGATCCCCTTCTTGCAGACGAAATAGTCCGTTGGATATGCGTTGATGGCTTTCTGGACGTCGCTGCGGTTAAAGTAATTGGTCGGACCGAGACCGACGATAGGACCTCCGACGGGATTCCATGGGAAGGGGCAGGATTCGGTGATGTGGTAGCGGTTGAAGCACGGATTTAAAGCGGTGGAAGCGTTGATGATGGCGGAGTAAACGGCACAGCTGCTATTGTAAGGGACCCGGGGAAAGGTAGAGTTTGGTGGAAAGGTGAGCGCGTCGTTGAGAAGCGAAGTGTAGCCACAGTCTTGGGATTGAGTGGTGATCTCTGCCATGAAGGTGTCGTTGAAGGGGAAGAGAGACCGGTGTTGGTTGACGGTCGCGAGGGCGGGCACTGAAGCGTCAGTCTGATAATGCAAGGCAGGCGAGGAACTTACCATCTTGCAAAACAGTCAGATCATTGATGTACGGATCGTTGATCTGCACACCCGCAACCCGAAAATACGTCTCATTCTTCTGGTCCAGCATCTGCGACGCGATATATGGAATGTACTGCCCCGCATAGCTCTCCCCGGTGAGGTAGATCTTCCGATTCTGCAGATCAAAGGTGTTTACGAACCGCTTCCAGAAGTCGATAAATTGTCTCGCGACGTCGGATTCAGATACCACAGTCGATGGGCCGAGTGAGAACCCTGTTCCAGCAGGCTGGTCGATATACACCATGTTGGTGAGCTTGTTCCACGCATAAGGGTTGCGCACCGGTCGGTAGGTTCCAGGCTGCCACAGAAATGGGCCGTTTTCGAGCATGATGCCTGCGAGAGAGCTGCAGCCTGGTCCGCCATTGAGCCAGACAGTGATCTAATCATTAGCATGGAACAGATGATATTGGGAGGGGTGTACCTCATCGGACGCCTTTGGATCGGACGATGGAAAGAACCAAAAGTAGAGACTGGAGATTCCAGAAGGTGTATTAGGTAGGTAGCCTGCGTATGACTCGCCAATGTCGAAATTCACAAAAGGGAGGCCGGAGCCATTCACAACAAATTCTGTCTTGTTAGCCAGAATCAAGCTGACTCGGTATGGTGTCACCTTTGGTCTTGTCATTGAGATACTGAGATTGTGCGACTGTAAGTTGCAGCAAGAGACTGCACATAAACAGCAGCCACATGGTGACGAGTGCCAATGATAATACCGATGAGTGAGAACGAGAGTGAGATGAAGTGAGGTGGAGAATAGTAGAAGTATGCCAGAATATTCATTCACTGCGGTGTATACGCAGGAACACTGCTTCTAGCACACTGCCAATAGCGGTGGAGAATACTGATGTCGGATCCATCGGTGGCGGCACTCATGCAAGGGGTAATTTGTTTCATAGTGGCATACTCCGTATGATGAGAAACCAGGCTGATCTGTTTCAGCATGACGTTGGGGTTGAGACATTGACATCATGCAGCTACTCAGAATGTTACATCATACTGTGTGAAAGAACAGGAGCAAGTACTGTGTAATGAAGAGGAATGTGCTGGTCTGTGTGGCTATTATCTACAGCAACACTATCTAGCCGATCGTTTTATGGGATGGAACTTAACGAGCCAAATTATTGAGTCTACGAGGAGGGTGCTATAAAGGATAGAAGTAATCGAGTACTGCCATAATTCATTCATTCATGCCATATCGGCCTATATACAGACCATCCAGTCAGAGCATCTAAGCAATGAACTTGGCGTTCTGGAACGCCATCTGCTCGTCGTTCTCCAACATCATCGCAAGGTATTCTGCTATGGTCAGCTGCGTCCTCGTACTAGCCGGAATACTCACCTGCGAAGTTGATGTTGTCGTCGTGGTTGTCATCGAAGCGCTTCACATCGTCCCGGGAGAAGTTCTTCCGGCCGGTCGAGTTGACGTGCTCGAGGGCATCCTCAAAGGTCAGGCCACCTGCTGATGTTAATATTGTTTCATCCGTCCAGTCGTGATACTCACGGCAAGGGTCGCTGGTCTAGAGAACGTTAGAATCGATCGATCGAACAACTAGCAAGCAGACTCACCGCAGCTTCGTATCTGGCCTTCAAATCCTTGAGGTACCCAACCGAGTAGAAAGCGTTCTGTTATCGTCAGCAGCTGGATGCAGAATGGAGCTGCTTACGCACCTTGGCGTCCTGAGGCATGGTGATGGTGATGGGGATGCTCGAGATGTGGCTGGCAGATTAGGAATTGTGTTGCTGATGATGAGAGATTCCGTGGATGTCGACGGGCTTTTATGTCTGCGAACAGCTCCCTCATCCCGCTTGATTTCGACGATATGCGCGATAACCTGGCGACGCATCTGTTGGGTGACCCATTTGGGCATTGGCACATACAGCTTGCATTGTTACAATCCAGAGCGATTTCATGTTGTTGATTGACTTGAGGTATGTCTGGCGTGGATGCTGCGGGGTAGTCACAGTGGCTGCATGTAGCAATGCCCAAACGTATCTGCCTGCAGCTGTCACCCCTCCTTGGAGACGATAACCTGAACCTGTGGTGGGCTGAGAAGATTCAAGTTCTCGATGATGACAAGTCAATGGAATTCATTAGCGCCGTGCAGGTCAAATATCGTGAATGTGTAGCAAGTAGCCAGTTCCTGGAGGGTAATATCGCGTCGCCCACATCGCATATTGATGTCCGTCACATTGAAGTCTCTGGATGCAGACGTTCTCCCATCAGTTCCTACATGCTAGGTTCTTACCACAGAGACAGTCAACGTACCTGTGTGAAACGCACGGACAGACCGGAACCCGCGCCCGACGTATAAAGAGCATCCCTGAATCCGAGCTTGCAGTTGCTCCTGTCAGTCGACGTGGATGCCGATCGAGGGGTTGAGGATGGATGGGTAGCAAACTGCCGACGCGAGGCGAGACACGTTGCACCGGATGAAGGCTAGCCCCTCCCGTGCTGGGATGCCCGCCTGATAAGGCGGTGCACGGATTGGCGGCTGCCCTGATCTAATCCTCGTCTTTCAACAATCCTACATGAGACCTCTGGCGAGACCGGCTTGGATGCATCTATCATGGCGCTCGCCATGGCGGCGTGACGTGTATATGTCTGAAAATACCGCATCGCATCCATCTGCATATCACGAAATTGACGGAGGGCAGAATCCCCCGCTGCGACACAATCCATCCTCTGCTAGAGACCGCAACGTTTATCATTTTCCTGCTATACCACTATCCTGCTATACCACTATTATGCTAGTCTCAAGTATCCAGCGCAAATAACACCCGGTTCAATAAACACCATCAAACTCTGGCTCTCGCAGGTCAGAACCAAACTCCACATCCATGTCATCTGCTCTACGAGTCCCCGGTGCAGGCTGATGATTGATCCCGCCCACTGGCGCGTCACACTGCGGGCAGCGAGCTTCCTCCATCGGCATGCCGCACTCTCCCACCGTAAACTGGACTGCGTTAGTAGTTGACGGGCATCAAAGGGTGGGTCTTACCGGATGATTGTTTTCACAGTAGTACCAATGGCCGGTCCCACTGAACTGCAACGCCATGGCCTCATAGACCTGGCGTCTCTCTTCCGTGGTCACGGAGCTGTAGAATGTCCCACCTTTGACCAGTATCCTTGCTCGGCCAATGTCCTCGCGCAACGACCACAGAATCCTCTCGTGACGCAAACACATCTGATCACAAGCTTCCAAATCCTCGAGCGCCTTTGCACGAATCAAGGCCTCGGTAGCCCCATGAACCGGGCTACCCTGTGCTTGGAAATTGCTAAGAGATAGCATCGAGAATTGGACATGATAGATACGGGATTCAACTTCCTGTTGCAGGAATCTGGCTTCCTGGCAGTAGCTCGCTAAACCTAGACATTTGATCAGAAGGCTCGGGATCTGGGCCCTGACCACTTGTCCAAGAGTATCCCGGATGCCTGGGTCAATGGTCTTGTTGCTGCAGATTCCATGCAAATCCAATAAAAGAAGCCAGTTGAGTCGCAGGTTAAGAACATGGCCGCGTGATTGAAACCCCGTCTGAATATCCGACTCGTTGAATTGAAAGGAGGTAGCAGGCATGGCACGTCCTCTCGCCGCTGCAGACGCAAAGATACTGTTCACCCTCCCAAATGGTTGTTCGGATTTAGCCACAGATTTAGTAAAGTCTTTGATCCGCTTAAGGAGTCTGTTTCCACTTCTGCGATAGGCGTCAACTGAGAGTTTGACCTGATTGACATCATTTTTTTCGACTGCTTTCTGCGACCAGTTCCGGACGAACTTGGCCCTTTCGCCCTCCATATCCCTCTCATGCTTGCCAACCTCCCCCACCAGATTCCCAAACGTTGTATTTGCATGAATGGCAAATCTTTTCGTTGCTTCATCGAGGAATGACTGCTTGGTAATCCGATTATAGCGATCAATATCGCGGAGGGGTGTGCGGCAGTCTGGACACCCTTTAGGGCGCCCGGAATCCAGGACTCGGTAGGTCGTCTTTGGGGCGATCAGTTTACGCGTCGACGGCTCTATCTCATAGTGGTGCGATATCTCCATTATACCATCCAGGGAGGATGCGATGTAGAAGTGGCCACATGAGAGAAAGATCAATGGTTCCTTATCGACGTCGATTTCCTTGTATGTCCTGAAATCGAGCACGTCGACAAACCGCTCGAGAATATCCTGTCCACAGCAATCTCGGCAATACTGAGACTTTGGACACCTTTCTCCGCAAAGTCCAGGGCATTGATGCCCACAAGGGAGTTTCTTCTCACATCTTAAACTGCAGGGAAGGTTGCTACAAGGCACGGCACATGGTAGATTACACCGTTTTTGGTGCTTGCACCCCCACCCACATGGCTCTGCGCATGGGGGACACGGCTCACTGCATTTATTTGCACAGCGGCTATGTCTACAACGCACTTCGCAGGCCAGGCCACAAGGTCGACACGCAGTGCCTGCATGACATGGTTGGCGACAGGCATGTGAGCAAGTTGAGAATGGTCTCCCACATGGACTTTGGCAAGGGCCATGGTCAACATGGTAGGAATCACCCTCCCCATGTCGGCATTGCCAGCATAGATTCCGACAATTATGACCACAAAGCAGGGGACTATCGCATCGGCTGGAGCATCTCATGGTGTCGCTGTTCTCGAAGCAGCGTATCTTGATTGTGTGGCCACAACGGTTCATTGTGCGGACAACATGCTGTGTGCATCGTACCGTTTCAAGATTGCCCATGCGCTTGCATTCAACACGCTCGGTTCTATGCCCACACGGGAGGAGAACATTGTAAAGCATCTCCATACATTCTCCACATGGTTCATGACATTTTCTAGGGCATGCGTGACCACACTCCTTCATTCGGGTACATAACTCCATGCACCTTACTGCTTTGTGCTGCCTCTCTGAATGGCATTTCACCATGCAGATGTGTCCGCAGTTCAGCCGTAGTCGACACGTCTCCGCGCACCCTCCTTCAGGCGCGTGTATGGAGAAATCATTCGGACAGGAGACATGAAACCGGTTATTCGGATGACGATCGCAACGGAGCTCGAGCTTTGGACCAATATTTGCGCCCTTTTCTAGCAGTTGGATGACCGATGACCACATCGGTGCGGTTGAGGCTGTACTTGCATCGCCGACTATGTACATACCATGCTTCGCACGACTATAAACCGCTTAGCATTAATATACCCTAATAGGCAGGTCACTCACCTCAGTAGAACGTTGATCCGGTTTGGCATTTTGAGGAAGCCGCAATTTTGATATCGGTTGCTGCGAACGAGAGAAACGATGATTATACTGGCTTCTTCACCCTAAAGATACTGTCAGAGCTACCACTGCATTGGATGAGATGCTTACCTGGAAGTTGTCTACTGTGGCTAATCGGAGCACATCCAGTAGGCACCCCTTTCGGGTATTGTCTTGCCTAGTGTACCATCTGCCCTTCCCATTCATGGCAGGCCCTTCTTGCATTTCTAGCTCTTCCGACTCGTTCAAGGCGTCCGAGTCTGTCTCGCTGATGATCAATGCCATTTCCTTTCCCAGCACATCCTTGAGCATCCTCAGCTGCCCAACGTATGGCGTCAGAATGGCAATTTCACCCGGTCCATACTTTCCCTGCTGACAGAGATACCTCACCAGCGCGGTTACCATGCCGATCTCCCAGGTGTTTGTCTTGCTTTGCATTGGCTCTGCGGGGTCAGTGAGATCCTCTGCATGGCGATGGTCCAGCCAGAACAATCTTCGCTCAAGACCGGGGATATCAGGATATGAAGCCGTTGTCGCATGATCTTGAAGCTTTGGGTATAAAGTCTCCCGGACAAGGCTCGAGATTGACGGATGCATCCGTCGTTGATGGCTTAATTGCATGACAGGGAAGGAGTACTCCGGATTAGTCTGCATCTCCGTGCTATTCGGTCTCACCTCCCCAGACCGATAGTTGGCAAGCCGCTCAAAGAGTGACTCATCAAGGTTGTGCTTCAGCCCTGGGCCATCTGATTCCATTGACAGCTTGAGGTTTGAGATCCGAGGGCGCAGTTGTAGGTGATCCCCAATTAGTATGGCATGCTGGATCGAAGGTATCAACGCAGTCAGAACATGCGACTCTAAAACTTCTGCAGCCTCTTCGCATATGAGCACCTTGGCATGAAGATTACGTAGCAGATCGGCGTTATTGGCTAATTGAGTGGTGGTTACACCGACCACTTGAGACTCATTCAGCCGTTGCAAGTCGGACAGATTGTAGGATGAGGTAAGCCATTGCTTTTCCACTGAATGGGCGCGTAGAAGAGCTGAAAGTTGTTGCGTAAGCTCTGCCAAAGCCGTCTCCTGCCAGTAATTTAGAAGATTAATCCGCTCCGAGGTCTTCAGCGTCCAAATGTCCACCTGAAGTAGTTGATCAATAGAACGCTTAGAATGGCCATCGCTCCCATCACCAGGGGCGTCTCCGGAAGCCCACTTCTTTATTGCGCCAGTTTCTCCTTCAGTAGTAGATTCAGAAACCATGCTTCTCGCTTGAATAGGGAACTTTCTCTTCAAAAGTCTGAGAACAAGACTGAGGTTGCCGCCCTCTGCAGTTCGGAGCAGCTCCTGAATCCTGCCACCCAGTACAACCAGCTTTCCTCGTGATTCGTCCCTTATCCTTGGAAGGCCTCGGATTCGGGGTCCCGGTTCCTGCTTCTTCACGTCTAAAGACAAGGCCTCGATATGTGGAGATGCACTCCGCGGGCCAATCCTTATGATATTGGAAATTCCCGAATTCAGAAGGCCATCAAGAAACTGATCCAATGCATGGGCAGTGTAACACCTGGGATTCATGAGTAAGTCAATGCAACGCAACGCAGACAACCTTCACTTACACGCATAATATTGGTCCCAAGTCCAGTAGGCATTTGTTATGCAACAGGCATCGGGCGAGCTGCAGTCCAACGTACGACTTTCCAGTCCCTGGAGGGCCTTGAATCAGCGCAATCTTGCGCCTAAGAGACCAAACCAGTGCATCCGCTTGGCCTTCGTCTAAAGCGGTTTCTTTTGATAGTTGTGTTGCTAATGCCCGTGGGTCCTGGTAGAGAGACATAGACAACAGTTGATTAGGTATATTGGCGCTGCTTTCTTTGCAACGGGAAAGGCAAGAAAGATCAAGATTTATCCCAGATTGAAGATATTCCGGAGGCGGTATACTGATACTGTTGGTGTTGGGGCTGCTCTCTAGGGCCTCGTTCAGCTCAATGTTATCCACACTAGGAGCTAGCCATGCAGAAAATGGCATGCGTTCTGGATGTTCGTGCAATATTTGTAGGCATCGTAAAACTCCCTCAAAAGAGTTATATGGCACGGCAGGAAATTCAACAAGTATTAGGGGTCTTGCAAAGGGCCTATTCGTTGAGAATGAAATAAGTCTTTGCAAGCCCCGCGAATCAGTTGGATTCGCTAGCGTCAGTGTGACCATCGCTCTGTTGGCATCGCTGACGACGTCGCTGACACGATTAGGCTTCAGGGGGCTCTGCTTGGCATTGTCGACATAGCTAATCTCCCTTTTCGATACAAGTAGGAAAATTGCAGATGCGTCATCCGGATCTTCTGCATCCAGCAGGGCCAACAGTGTTCCGCCCTTTCTCAAAGCTTTTGAATCGATCCACCATTGCTTTCGCTTTGCCAGGCTCATCTGCTTGAGTCGATGTAGCTGGTCAAATTCTATGTCCACTTCCACTCCCCTAAATTCTGATCGTATTCCGTAGACCTCGGCCCCCGAGTACACTCGAATTGGTGTTGGACTGTTCTCGCGGAGAAACTTGCGCTTCAGTCGCCAATCGGAGCCGTGAACAATAAGCCCCCACGTACTTATTATCAACCTAATACTTTCACGGAGCACACCGGATGTATCCTCTCTCAGAAGACGGAACTGAGTATCGAGGAGTCGACGAATGCCTCTTTCATGATGTGGAAAGGGGGTATCAGCTGAGCATCGTGCGGGAAGAAACTCGGGTCGGTCATCATCGCTGAGGATTTCGGAAATTGTAGGTAGGATCTCAATACGTGAAATGGCGGAATGGTCGTTATCATGTCTAGGGCCGAGCTCGGACAATTTTCCGGGGAGATCAACGACAAACTCGGGGAAATGTTGCGTGGGTGTAGTCGCGGCTCTGTCAATATTTAAGGCAGAGATTGCGTCTCCCATAGAGAGAATCTCCCTGATCTTGAGTATGTTCACATGCGCTAACTGGAGGTCGCGGTCACCAACGTCAGGCTTCGGGTTCTGGGCATGATAACAACTGTAGAGTTTGTCAACGATCCCTTTGAGGCCGGCTTGTATAGCAGCCTCCTGGTTCAAGGTTATAGTACTAAGAAGTGCTTTCGAAACCAGAAGTAGCATCTCGCTCCGTGATCCATCAGCTCCAATCTGGGTCAAAAAGTCTGTCATTCGTGCAAAGAAGGCAATGCCCCTTTTACCTCCTGGCCCGTAGATAACATTGTATATCGTTCCCACAGCCTTCTCAAGTATAAGTGACGACAATATTACGTCGTGAGAGACCAGACGAAGGAATAAAACACAGTGTGTATCGAACATCGGCATCAAAACGCTGTAAGACGTTGCAAAATCAGTTTCGACGATTTGCCGTACTTTATGAAGTCCAGACTCAGTGGCCAAATCTTCAACGAATATCCGTCGTGTGTCAGGTGAATCATCGATCATTGCCAGGCCAGTTGCGAGAAACTCTTCCATTTGAGCAGCTGAAAGCTCTGGACAGGAATGAACGATAGATGTCTTGGGCCTGAAAGGTCTATTTAATGGTCTATCTTATTAGCATCATGCGCTTACTACTTATAGACCAAGTGAAGCACTTACCTGTACCCAGTCGGTAATGTCTCAGCGGAATAACTGTCGCGTTGTGCAAGCTGGAGACGGGATGCGCAGTCACTTGTCTGTCTGATATTCTTGCCTCTGAATCTATTCGTAGACTTCCTTTTATCAGGGCCAGCTTGTGAAGATGCCATCTTGTCACAAGTGACAGTGTTCTGGGCGCCACCGCCGTTACCTGCATGACCTATGGCAGCTCCTTTCCCACGATGGGGCAGTTTAGGGATTTTATCCCGGCCTGCCATTGTAGATGCCATGTCCTCAAAGTCTGGGCTAGATTGATGGTCTTTTTAGCGCGTAGCTAATTAACTGTGATGCAGGAACAACCGTGAGCGAAAGATGGTAGAGAGGGGAAGTATACGGTGGGGTCAGACACTAAGCCTATTTGGGTCGAGAACGGAAATGGCCGCGAGAACACAGAAGGTCGGGGATATCATTGAACAAATATCAGGATGTCCTCCTTTTAGTCCGACGTCATCTGGTCCTAGTATCTTACATTTTGATCGGAATCAACCTTGTGGAGTCTATTGCCGGTTTGTGCAGATAAGTACTGGAGTTTAGAGGTGAAATATATATATTCATAGCCTCACTACGGAGGTACTACTACACATGGGTTCATTTAAATCTCTAGGTCCATCCCATTGCTCCCACATGTCAGTATCTTCTCATATATATCCATAGGAAATGCGACACAGAGTATGCGAGATATCAGTAAAGTTGATGATGTGCTGAGTCTAACCAAGCCGATTTACTTCTGTCACATACAGTTCTAGATTTAGCTACAGCTTCTTATTAGTCTGGTGTTTCAAGCTAATTCTGTTGCCTGATAGTAGCTCTTCAGTTCACTTGTTCTATGACTTGTTATACATTGCCAGTACACACCGCTTACACCTTTATGGAGAGGGGGGAACCTCCCCAGTATATATTCAGATTGTGTTTCTACGTAGATTCAGGCTGGAGTTCTGGATTAAGTACTGTGCTTTAAATTGTTTTTTTGGGTTTTTTAGAAGTGATTGATAAAGCTCTTGCACTTCATTATGTCTTTTGATATGCTTATTTGGGCCCTTCACGGCTGTTCAGATTATCTTGAGCTACATGCTTTTGTAAACGTGTTGTGTGATGCTTACTGAGGCGCTTCGCAACCCCTTGGACTGTGGACGACCGAAGGCTGTCCGCAGGCCTGGACCTAGTATTCATTACGGCGGAGTTATAACATCACATACGACGCCTTGCCAATAACTACCAGGATCAACAATAGGTCGATGTCGCTTTCTCATTCGTACCTGACTGGAGAAATGAGCACGTACATTATAAGGAACAACTACTTAACCTACACTCCAGTAAACGGGGAGTTTGGATAATCGTGTATTGAGAGGAGGCAAAAAGCACAAAAAGCACAAATCGAGAGGCGTATTTATACGACTAATAAATAAGTATCAGGTCTGAGTAAGCGGTTAAATATGCAGGGTAGATTTTACCCTTTTGCATGGAATAAAGACTGGTCGCCTGGATGGACAGAATGTGCCTGAAAACAGGACGAAAGGGATCTGGGCTGTTGGGAAGTCTATTTCTGGTTCTATAGATGACGATCGTCGGATCCGAATCCACGAGTCTCCAACAGCTGGATGGACCAATGTGAATGAATATGATCACACATAGAGGCAAATCTAGATGAGGCTCTGCTTCCTGGAATAGAACACGCTCTAAGAAATGGATGATTGTTTCGCTTCTAACCTTCCAAACTGAGCCTTGTTGTTAAACCTTTCTTGCCTCCAAATCTAAAAGTCAAATGTTAACCCAAATTCTAATTGAACGGGAACCCACTATTGAGAACGAGTCAAATGCGGAAGTGATCCAGTGGGGTTATGATCTTCCATTATGAGACGCTGGATGCCACAACAGACATCAGAGGCTGTACGGGTAGAAGAACTAAGAGGAAGCATTCAGCCTGGCAGACGTCGAAAAATAACTGCAGATCTAGCTAGATGAAACATCACATCTTACACCGTAGTCAATGACTATGGAATTGCTGCATCTCGCCCATTATTCTGTGACAGCAAAAGCTCATAATCATTGCAGTCTTGAAGAAGAACGTTGAAATACTGTTCTGCCGTCAAAGATACATCATGCGAGTCCACTTGAGCAAAGGATGCGGGCTTTTTCTCCGCCGCCCACGAGAGGCGCCTGGATTGGGTCGCTTTGAGCCCGGATCATCCAGTCCAAAGCTGATGTGCGGATTGGAAGGGGTCAAAGATGTCAAGCCAAGTTGGCCACAAGCCAAATATGGACTAGACCAGGGTGTAGCCCGCTACCGATGGGTCGACGGCTTCCCAGTTCCGCGACCAAAGGGTAATGAAAAGCACGGTCATCGTCCGGGGGTGAACACCTCATGTCCGAAATTTTACTCAAATCCCCAGCACTGGCCCGTTGGGGCTCCATCGTACCAACACTACAATGACCTGTGGCGTCTCAGATCCCGTGTCATGGTGTCACACATGGATGAGCGGATCTCGGAGCTCAGTTTCTGTTCACAGCGGTGCTTGTTCATAGTCTATGCCAGGGTAGATAGTAGGCAAGCTAAGCATGACCGTTGCCACTCAGCACCAGAGGAGGGAGTGGAAGACGGGATGAGCGTCTCATTGGATTAGACCGTTGCAGAGGGATGGTGAAATCCGAGGTCCTCATTGTCACACCGTGAGTCGAGTCCACAGGCCTTGCATGATCTCATTTGGCCCCATTCAATCAATAGGCGAGCGATATTATATTTTATTCTTTGTAATAATCTCCGTCATAAATCTTATTATAGTGATTATGCCAATGAAAACCACCCAAGTGGCTGGGCGCGGTCCGAAGGCATCTGTCTACTAGCAGAGCTCAAAAGTCAGCACATGCCAGGTACGGGATCGGATAGCTAAACCAGGCTAGCAAAGAAAGCGTGCCACTAATTTCAAAACCGCTGTAACGCAGAGCCATCCCTACGCCTGCAGGCAAGTTGTTGTTGCTGTCCGCCCGGTCCGAAAGATCACGCAATCTTGAAGGCGTAGCGGAAAAGGGATATCAAGCAGCTTTGCTGAAAATTGTGCTGAAGAGAGGCTCCTGAGTGAGGTTGAGGCAATTCCTGAGGTGCCAGAGTAATATCCAGGCGTCGCATCAATCGGTCTAGACGGATCAAGGCGTGCTGGCAAAAAGACGGGACTTGATCAAAGTGGTAAAAGTGGTAAAAGTGGTAAAAGTGGTCATGGTGGGGTCGGGCGATCGCGGAGGTCTTTCCGAATTGGGGCGTGGTGTAGAGGATCGCCGGGGAAAAGTCGTTTCGCCCAACGAGAAGGCTCGAAAATGAGTCGGACCAGTGCGGGGTACCGGCCTAGTGTCCGTAGGGTTGCACCCGCTAAACCCACTCACCACCAGGTTCTCCCTCGCTACGCTGCTCGTATGTCTCACTTTCCCCCTCGGACCCTGAATTTGCCGACGCACTGCAGTCCAGTTCTTAGCAGCCATGCCATTAATTCCCTAGTCCTAAGCAAATGAGAATCCGGGGGCGGGCCAGGTAAAAAGGTCATCACAACGCCACAACGGCCTGGTCGCCAACCAACGAAGTCAAATTAATTGCTTCTCACGAACAGTCCTTTGTTAATCAAGTCAGGTGCGCTTTCTCCGCGCTTCCATCTGCTCCTGCTGCTACTGCTGCTATGGTTCCATTAGGATCATCCCAGCCGATGGCGACAACTTGGGCAGGACGTGCCAGAACAATCCGGGAAGCCTTCAAGGTTCCGGCCACACTGAAAGAGGGAAAAGAGCACCGGCCCTGCAATCAAAGGCATTGGCCCAGAACAAATACCACAAGGACGATCCTTGGAGCACGTCCCAGGCACGAACCCATTTGTTCTCATTCATCGGGGTCAACATCTTGGTCCAGGACCCACCGACCCCAGAATTGCAGGCAAACCTTCCCCTGGTCCACAGTTTGTCCTCGGCCACCGTATACCCTCCATGTGAGTTCCCTCTGCTTCCTCGTGTATATATAGAGGCTCATCCACGGCCTTCAGGTAGCAATTCATCAGAGCCAGTCTCAGCCTCAAGCATTCGTTCAGTCTTCCGGTCTTTCATCTATTTTCGCTTTTACTCCCTTAATATCTATTCATTCACCGTCGTTTACGTCGCCAAAATGAAGTTCACCACTGCCCTGTTCACTATGCTGGCCACCAGTGTCATGGCCACCCCCACCGTCGTCGAGCGCGATGCCTCCTCCATCACCGACGTCCTGTCCCAGATCCAGACCCAGGTCCAGTCTCTCGACTCCGCCATCAAGGCCTACTCCGGTGGCGATCCCAGCAAGGTCGAGTCGGCCTCCAGCTCCTTGGTCTCGGAGATCACCTCTGGTGTGAGCACTGTCAACAAGGCTTCTGAGCTCAGCTCCACCGATGCTCTCACCATCACCGGCCCTGTCCAGGATGTCACCAAGGAGGTCCAGACCACCATCAGTGATCTGATTGCGAAGAAGGATAACTTCGTCTCTGCTGGTGCCGGAGGCAAGGTCTACTCCCAGCTCGAGGAGCAGTACACTGCTTCCAAGAACCTGGCCGATGCCATCACCTCCAAGGTCCCGTCTTCTCTGTCCAGCATCGCCAGCTCCCTGGCCTCCGGTATCACCGACGCCATCCAGAAGGGTGTCGACGCCTACAAGGACGTTGCCAACTCCTCCCCCAAGTCCAGCGCTACCTCTGAGGCCTCCTCCGCTACCTCCGCCGCTTCCGCTGCTTCCTCTGCTACTGAGGCTGTCACCACCGCTGCCGCCGCCACCACCGAGAGCACCACCGAGAGCGCTGCCGCTTCCACCAGCTCCAGCCCCGTCATCCCCGCCTCCTCCGCCTCCACCACCCCCAGCGGCTCTGCCACTCCCTCCGCTTCCGCCTCTGCCACTCCCTCCCTCTTCACCGGTGCTGCCCCCATGGACCGCTGCAACTTCGCCCTGGGCGGTGCTGTTGCTGCCGCTGCCATGGCCATCGCTGTCTAAGCGACGCCAACTTGGATGACTGATCGTGTGACCGACGAACGAGGTGACGAGGCTAAGCTCCACGACAGTTTGACTACTGTCGCAACAAGGCACTGGGCTTGCCATATATAATTCACCATTGAGGCTTGGATCCTATAACAGACTTGTGTCTACATATTGTATCTTTCTGTGACTTTACCTTGGTTTATCTGATCTTGTCTTGCTACATCTCTAATACAATCTATTGCAGCAATATCTATCGATGTTGCGCGATTAAATAACATTCTTCACTACGTACCATGCCTCAATCGTAGAAAATGACTTGTTCCATCCCATCATCGCCTAAAAGCTGAATAGAAAACAATGGAAAGAAAACAAAAAGCACCACAATTAGTACCACATTATCGCCTGACGACTAGAGACTCACTGAAAATGCCTAGACGTTACGATTCTACGCCATGTTATACTGTACTGCAATTCGGACTTCATTAACGCAGCCACCTGAGACTGATCACTAAACTAGACTATGGGAAATGCTAATCCTCGAACTGCACCTGAAGATATGACATAAAAAGAAGTAAGAAGAAAAAAGAAACCAGACGAAAAAGAAACACTACTCAGAGCTCAATTAGATCTTAGAGACGGGTACGGTCTGCTCGCGATCAAACACTTCATGGAGAGAATCGAGGTCAATCGGAACTCCAGAGACAGACCCGTTCTTGGGCTCCTCAAGTTCTTCCGCATCGAAACACCTCACTTCAGGGTGAAGATGGTCGTACACGCGGTCTGATAAGATCATGTTAGTGGGGTGTTTGTGTAGAATTATGGACGGGCTACTTACCCTTGGAGACTTCAATGATCATTCTATGTGCCGCTGCATACTGGACATATTCGCAGAGGTAGGGCAGCTTTTTCTTCTTGAGATCACGACGAGGCCCATTCCGCTCCTGATCATTGGTACTCAAAGCGTCGCTGCCGATGGTCGACGGAACGATGTTCACCATGACCTCGCGCATGCGGGACTGGGCGACGTTGCCGCGGCTATCGTCAATAGTGAAGCCAAGATCTGACTTCTTTGACGCGGATGAGACGACCCAGTCGACGATGATCACTCGGTTCTCCTTGCCTTGTATGCTGTCGGCGGTTTCTATGCAGGGGAGTGCGTCGAAACGTAGAACGTTCGCCTGGATGAGCTTGTGTAGTGCCTGTAGGTAAAGGACCTTCTGAGCTTTGTAAAGACAAATCACGGTTATCTCGGTCGGGAGATAAGCGGTTGATTCCATGCAGCAGAGAATCAGGGATATCACGGCGTAGAGGATGTTATGATTGAGACGAGACTTGCTATGCGGGTCAACGAAAGCCTCGCTACCTTCGATGCTTAGCACAATGTTGCCTGTGTCTAGTGGATAGTTGAGGTCATAGAGGTCTCTGACCATCGCGTCCCATCTGGGGTCAATAGTCAGGCCTTGGGTGGAAACATGGCTTTTCATCATGGAGTTGTAAATCCTCTTATTTAACCATCCGACGAAAGCATCGCGGAATCTTCGTTGCTCGGTGAGTTTCGTAACGGGGTGGTTCATTTTTGTCGCTCGACGGAAAAATGATAACTGTAGTTGGAGGGCAAATCCATTATATACTGGGTCGTCCTGGGCTGAGAGAACCGTGGGCTGGGGTTGCTCGAGGTCTCCACTAATCACCATGCCGATGACCTTTGCTCCAGAACGGAGGCAGGCAATGGGAATCCAACTGTTCAGTTCTACTTCCTTGGGGACTTCGTCTCTGATAAGGATGATTGATTTGGCATTTCGACCGAAGTTGGAGGCCACGATGGGAGACCCAGCAGTATTGTTTGTGCAAACGAGTAAATTCGCCTGCTGAACCACATGCGCGACGACTTTTGCAAAAGCGAACATTGCTTTGTTGCTGTATTTCTTTTCCCAGTAACGGAATGGAGTCTCCTTCATCATTTTGAGGAATCCTCAGACCTCTGCGAACATATCAACACCCTTGGCTTCGTGATTACCGCCTCCAATATTGCCCGGTCTGGGATAAGCCTGAGAAGTCTTGACTTTCTCTTCCGGGGGATAGGTGGCTATCAGTTTGAGACCAGTCCTCTCTGCATCTTTTGCGACGGCAACTACCTTTGCTTCAAGTGAGAATTTCGGCAGTGCGTAGTGTTTCAATCGGTTCTCACTGACGATGGATTCAGCGATCTGAAGCATGAGCATCTGTACCGCCACATCAGAGTCGTTTGAGCTCTCGTCTGGGGTGGTAGGTCTTTCCTTGACTGCTGGTGAACCTGAATTTTTCCAGGTATATTCTTCCGATCCTGGACGGTAGACACGCAGAGGAATCATTTCGTGACCCACTTGCGAACTAAAGTTCTCTATAGTGGTACAGATCGCATCGGCCGCATAGTGGCTAGGAGCCGTGAAAGAACCTGGATACCGAGGCTTAGATAGACACTGCTCATTCCAACTATCAGAAATGTCTTTCCGGCTCCGGGAAAACCCTGGATAAGTATCGCACGTCCCGGAAAGGAGGCACAGTTTCGAAGGCACTCCCTTTTGTCTTCAGACCAGTCAAGGCTACCGTGCGAGACAATATGATCAATGGCTGAAGTGACCGTATCTGGCTTAAGACCATGCTCGGTAGCCAAATCATTAACCTTCCTCACACCGGAGTGCTGGTTTAGCAGGAGTGGCCGCCACTTGTTCAAGTATCCAAGTTCATTATCATGCACTACACCGCAAAGGCGGTTTATAGCATCAACCTGTCTCTTTGCTCCGCTCTCCGAGATGCTCATAGACATGGTCACACGGATGAACTTTGGCCTTTCGCCCAGTGCCGTGGAAAAAGGCCGAAACCTTTCCTGGTCCTTTTTATGAATATAGAATATGCAACCCGATCCGTACGGTATGTTAAACACATTGGACATTAAGATCGCGGTGCACTTCCAACTGCCTTTCTTCTCTGCAGTTGGAGGGACAAACGTCAGTTGAGCGACTGAGATTTCCTTGATGCGAAAGTTTTCCTCTTCCTCTCTGAGTCGAGGGTTCAAATCGACCAAAGCGGTGATTCCATTCAACCCAATCGTGACAAAAGCAACAAGGTGGTCGTACTTTTGGATATGGTCATGGGACTCCTTTTCTCGTTTCCACTCCAGAAAAGACCCGTAGGCGAGGACAGTGGCGGCTTCTTCGAGGTCAGAAAACGAGTAACGGGGATGGAAACGGATCAGGCCACCGGTGTCCTTAACAATCGCCTCCCGGCCGACCATCCTATTCCAGAAAGTCAAAGGTCGGTGTAGGTTTGACAAATATGCTCCATATGGCCAGTGGAAGCAATCGTTGAAGCTCTCGTGGAGTCTGCGAGCAAGTTCGAAAACCTCTTGCTTTCTTCTTTGACGGGCGCCCTTTGGCTCATCGCGTTTGACAGACCAATCTATATCTTCAATTCGTAAGAAGCCTTTCTAGTTGAATCTATCTTCCCCAGTAACACAAAAAAAGTCCAATCAACCTCTCCTGGAAGATTGATACAGGTCCGCCCATCTTGTCCAGCAAGTACCAAGATATCTCCATAGTTGATTGAGCCAACGAGTGACGTAGACGCGTACCCGCCAGGCCAAATGCGCCCACAATGCAACCACGCTAATCCACGCTAAGCTTTCTGCTGGCCCCCGACTGGCCGAGAGGCACCCGCTTATCATTGCGCCCCGACGCAGCCTCCAATCGGGTTAGCGACCATATAAGCCGTTCGAAATCACCTCACCTCCAACGCCATCCATATTCTCACTTCCCCTCACCCCCTGGGTTCCTCTTGAACGCCATGGCTCCGAACTTCCCTCCCGACACTGCTGGCCCGGACGCAGTCCGTGCCTACATCGCGCGAGTCCTCGTCAAAAGATACGATGCATCCCCCGAGCTCGCAGAAAAATTGGCCAGCTGTTGGCAGCTAGGCCGGGGGTCTGAGCTCCGTGCTGCATCGTTGAACCATCTGCAAAGCGACTTTGGGAATGAGGCTGGCCTGTGCCTTCACCGCGCCATTCGGGAGGATATTATTGATGACTGGCAGGAAACAACAGCAGCGGCATTCACCATCTGTATGTTCATCCTTACCTCGTGTCACTAAATCCCATGGCCGGAATTAACAATCCTCTGTTCAGGGCTCGCATCTACCGCTACCGTCATCCATACCGTGGTTCTCGTTTTGTTTTTCTTGCCCGAATTGAGATTCCAATCTGCTTGCGGTAAACGATTCACCAGCCTGAATACAAAGAAAGCGCGACTGACTTTACTTCCGTATAGAACGTATCAAGCTGGCGAGGTCGCCCGCGTCGTGGTTGTTCTTCGGTGTCGCCATGTTGAACTATGCCTTCCAAAGACGACGTCACGAAAATTTGACCTCTGTCCCAATAGCGATTGCTGCGGGGGTTATCAGTATTGGGGTAGGGGTTCAGATGTTTACTCCCTAGATGCATATAAGCCGCCATTATAGAGCCCCTTTCTTTCTATATCATAGGATATCAAGGAACGCGGGGTTGGCATATTGGACGCCGGATACCTTCTCATACCAGGGACATCTGCATCATTTACTCCAGTACCATATACCCATGTACATTCGATGAATGGAGTATTGAATATTGCACATCCTCTTGACCTGCCTGAGACCTGCCTAGACATCAATGAACATGCTGATAGTACATGAAACGTCTTCTATTTTAGTAGGAAAGGTATTTGATGACTCTCGGGCCTATGATATCATCCCAATCATCAGGGCACCCAGAATAAAAGATCCATATCCATCAGCGTGTAAGTAAGTGGGTCTGATTCCACTGCTTCCAGATTCCACTCCGACAAGACTTTAGCCTTCAGCTCGTATCGGGCCCTTCTTCACGCCTGAGAGACCATAGTCTTGTTGCTGTCAATGAAATATGCTTCACACCATCGTGAAAGTCACCTTGGAGTTGTATCATCGGCAGCCGCTATCATATGGGATGGCCAGCCTTTTTCACTTTTTCCCATTCAAATGTTGCCATCGCTTCTATCTGCCAGCTCACTAATGTTTTCCCCGGATCTAGCCGCCCCGCCCCTAGAGTAGCCGCGTCCGATTTAGCCTCCGAAACCACCCGATACCTGCACCCACAGTGAGATTCCGACATAATCTCCTAACTGTGGGGTGCCAGTAGAGGCATGAAGTATCTGGTGAGGTGCTAGTGTTTCTTAGTAAGTCACTGTTCTATTTACTATAGAAATATGTCTCGCTAATCCGGTGTCTTTTCAGCGGAATCCGTTCTGCGCACAGGTAAACCCCTGAAACCTCGACCCAGTGTTACTTGACCTGATCTCTGGCGCTTGGACGACATGATACTTGCAATGATCTTAATCGGTATCCTTCTAGATTACTGCTAATGATGAGATAAAGTACAGATCGTCGGGCTACGCAAAAGGGTTCTTGCTGTCTTCTCCCCATGGACCAACACCCGGGCCTTTGAAGAGTTTACCTCCTTTCCAGACGTGGGTGATCACCTTCGAGTCCTGGAAAACCTTGATGTCATCCAACGGATTCTCCTCCAATGCGATCACATCAGCCTCATAACCCTCTCGAAGCTGGCCGGTCAAAGGTGCTTGTGGGCCAACCGACAGTGGAGCATTCGCAGTTGCCGCTCGAATGGCCTCCAGTGGGGTCATGCCTCCTTTCTCGACAGCAAACTGCAATTCAAGCGTAGTAGGGCCCCCGGGAGCAGTATCGGTACCTAGGGCCATGGTGACCCCCGCCTTAACGGCTCCTTGATAAGCCTTCAGATGCGCACCCGCGAGGGCCTGCACCTTGGCCCAGGACTCCTTAACCAATCCCTCGCCATTGCTAGCCAGAAGGAGCTCAATGACCGCCCGCGTGCCCACGAACAGAACTCCCTTTTCCTTCATGAGTTCATATACCTCTTCGTCTGCATACGACACATGTTCCAAACTCTTGCATCCTGCGTGGATGGCAGCCATAATGCCTGCCTTGCCATGCACGTGTGCAGAGACAATGCGATTCTGTCGTGCGGCCTCGTCCACCATCACCTTGAGCTCTTCTGGGGAGAATTGCGCAAAGTTGGGATTATCGTCACGCGACATGACTCCTCCAGAGCCCATGACCTTGATAACCTTCGCTCCACGACGGAGCTGTAGCCGTACCGCTCGTCGGACCTCATCGAGACCATCGGCAATGCATAGCTGCCCAGCTCCCCAGTATCCCGGGCGCGGGTTCGTCACTCCATAGTTTCCTAGCACCTCGCCAGCTGGAAGAGCGAAGATATCTCCGTGCCCCGCTGTCTGGCTGATCGCAGCTCCAGACGAGTATACATTCGGCCCAACGATGGTTCCGTCATCGATAGCTTTGGCCACTTCGCACCCATATCCAGCCAAATCGCGGTACGAGGTATAACCGGCCTGCAATCCCTCCCAGCATCCTCGGGCTAGTCGAGCGCCGGACGCGGCTGGGTGAGTGGCCAGGCCAGAGGTATAATCGTTGTAGTAGTCATCGTCGCCGCCAAAGTGCATATGACAGTCCCATAGGCCAGGCATCAACACAGGGACTCGATGGCTTGATTGGGTGGCCCGGAGGAATTTCTTGGGGATATCGGCTGCGGGTCCAACGAAGGCGATGACCTTGTCGCTGATCACCAGGGCAGCATTGCGCAAGGGCTCTCCGTCGCCTGGAATTAACAGGTCTGCATAGATTGTCGTAATCTTGGCCTCGTCTGTTGCTGTGGCTAGAACGAGCGGTCTGGGATGGATGTTCATCGACACAGAATTGGGGCGAACGGTATATGCCATGGCTAGTGATGGTATCGGTGATTGCGTAGGAGATGTCACCAATGCAAGTCTGCGAACCATGATGTACAATGCAATTGAGTTGTTGGGTAGCAGGCTGACGAAGATCGAGGAAACCGGCAGTTATGTTTCCTGGGTCGAGACAAATAGCTCGTCAGCACGTGAGTGTTATCTCCGGACTCCGTCGGCGGAGATGACTCTTCCAGCGCTATCTCTCGTATCCATCAATCGCAGCTTGATAGGTGAGATTTTAGCCGTTAGCCTAGGCCCTTTTCGATTTAGTCATCTAATCCCGCTTGAAGATGAGATGTTGGAGCCTGGAGGTTTGATCCCCTGTTTCTCTTCCCCAACCTAACAAACAAACGGTAAGCGCATTCAATGAAGCCGTTCCATCACGCCATCTCACTCGGATGGCTGGACTGACAGCATTCCTAGGACAAGAATGTCAGCCTAACCCCAGTCGAAAATCGGAAGAATATCTGGGTTTAGCCCTTGCAATAACCAAAAACTGCTAAACAGATGGCATCAGCTAGTCAACGCTGATGTCATTGATCCCACGCCTATCGGCGACTACTCCATACTCGACACCATTTAGACCCACCCCCTGGTTGATATCGGCTCAGAATAACCGACGGCAAGGATTTAGTTTAACCATACTCACCACTACCTGGATGTTCCGCAATTTTCTCATCTTCGTCTATACCAATCCAAGTCGGAGCGTCCATCAATTTTATCAAGGAACTTCTTGTATTCTGCGTTTATTCAGACACTTCATGGATGAGTACTCCAGGTTCTCCGTTAAAAAATGCAGCACTGGGCTTTAGAGATGGCCGCATCACTGGAAATGACGATATTGAAAGGTTCTTACCACGTCCTCAATAATGACTTGTCGATAAAACTATCGAAATGGAATACTAAAGTGAGAGTCCATTTCATCATACGACAGACAATCTAGTAACGATAACCATGTGGTTTATCAGCCAGGACTGTCGATGCTATCGGGAGTGACAGCAGAAAGGCATGATCATCTACGTTCTGACCGACCGTGCTTCATAATTCGAGAATTCCGCCTTTCGAATGGGATTTCCAATCTCATGCAACGGGCACCAGCTGCTGCTCAAATGTATTTTTCAGCACACCATGGATGATGAAAATGCCTGTCAATCACTTGACTAATTGGATGCCTTTTGCTTCTGCGTCTCCACAAAGAAATTCCGCAATCTTAATATGGTGGATTGACTTTCCGATGTTTTTCCTGCCTTCCCGCAACCTTGTTCGTTCCAACCATGGGGACCACTCGTATGATGTGGTCATAGAGTCCCTAGTGCCTTCTTTCAATGCTTCCTGCAACAGTTGGCCCTGCATTTAATTCTACCAGTTAATCTGCATTGCATGAAGAAACCTTACCCTGCTTTTGACCACCACAACCCGATCGATCGATCTGTCCCCTGATCGGCAAGCAAGGGTGGGTCTCGGGCCGATCATTACTTCGTCGGTAAGTTCTATTGTCCAGAGCCACAAACTATGCTGGATAGCAGAAGCAAATTTACGCAAGGAAATAGTCATCATTTCACCGCAGACTTAAGAATTGGCCCTCCTTTCCACACATCCGCGCAGCACAACCGAAGGTAAACAACAGAAACGATGCGACTCTCTCTATTCTATTTGCTCTCATGGGTTCTGCAGGCCTCGGCCACCATTCTGCAGAATGGCCAGGTTCGAGAAGATCCGTATCCTGGGCAGGCTCCGAGTATTTCGCTGGAGGATGGCTCCTGGCGGAGTTATGGGCCGAATGCATCGGAGATATCGTACAAGGGGAGGTGGGATAGTAATTATGTTTCTTGTGAGACTTATACCCAGAATATATTCATGTTTTTGACGTGGGGTGCTAACCGAGTCGTCCGCTAGGGTGGTCGTAGGTTTTAATACGAGTTCGGTGACAATTATATCACGACTGACGGATATAGACTTCCGGGCATCAAGCTTGGGTTTACCGGCGATCAGGTACGATTCCGAGTATGTGGACACTGAATATCATCATTGACATGGAATAGCTTGCTTTGAGCTTCGGTCCACAGACAAGCAAAGGGGTACTTTTGGCTTATCGGTAAGTCCCTAATGCCGAGATATTGGTACTACTTCTGACTGGATAGAATCGGTGGTTTGGACTGGGAATTCTCGAACGTAACTGCGAACGCGACATACCAATTTGCTGGATCATGGACCCCGGGGTTAAACCTGTCCACCAACCACACGTTCGAAATGCGAGGTAAGTGCGTTCTATCCCATCAAGTGTTTTTACTAACCGTGGTTAGTCACGAATTGGGGCTATGGATAAGTTTATCAATCCTCACGATGATGCCTAACTGATCAATCGTACAGTTCAATTGTCCAGCGTGTCTGTCGCTTCTGGCTCAAAACTAGTTGTAGTCCCTGCATACAACAAGACGGTGGAAATCATCGGTGACTCGTGAGTACAATTACCCCCCGTGCTTCCAGTACTAACATCAATAGCTTCGCATCGGGACAATATGCCACTTATGAGGGGCTTTCGTCATGGGCGTACAACTTTGCCGCCGGCCTAGGGGATGTCGAATACTCGATCACCGTATGTCTTCTCGATCGCTTTGCATTCCCATCTAACCACGATAGGCATATCCCGGAATCTGCTTGACGGACCAAGAGTGCTATGCGGATAAGGCACGGGGCATGGTTGGTTTTCCACACCCTGCAGAAAATACATCTAACCAATCAGACACATCAATGGTTCTACGCCTCTGACGCAGGTGTACGCGCAAACGCTACCTACGGAGACCATCCCGAGAAATGGAACTTTAGCTCCCGTCCCCCAGCAGATCTAGTTGTCATAGACCTGGGTACAAACGACCGCCGGCCTCAAAACAACATCCCCGGCTCAACCTTCTATGACAGCTACGTTGACCTGGTGAACAGTGTACACGACACATATCCAAACGCACAGATAGTCATCATGGTACATACCCCCATCTACACAATCCAACCAACCACTCACTAATCAATGAACAGTCCCTCTGGGGCAACTTCACCCGCTCCGACGACACCTACATCCAATCCCCATTCTACGTCTCCGAAATCCAGCGCGTCTGCCAACACTTCCAAAACGACGGATTCGTACACTACTTCGGCACCAAAGGCATCCTTCAACACAACGACATCGATCCCCAAGAACACCCAACCGACGTCGGCCACCTAAAAATCGCCAGCCATCTAATGCAATGGACGAAACTAAAACTCGGGTGGGAATTCGGAGCCACTGGTCCGGAAGTCCAGCACGATACACTCTACTGGAATAACCAGGATAGCTACCGTTGATCCCCCATCCCCACAAGATGTACCTATCCATACCAAACTTCCAATACGGAAAGAAAGAAAGTATGTAGGACAACGACCCCACGCTGCACCACACAAAACCCCGAGCCCGAATCCAGTCCACTCGACTCAAGTCTGCAACAACATGGTAATCGGCATCCACTCGGTTTCGGTATCAAGAGGCGTACAGCAATCGACACTCGCAAGGGGGTGATTAATTTCAAGGGACTTGTCGTGGCTGGGGTTTAATACCATTGCCTAGATAATAGAGAAACGTTATACTACTCTGTACTCTGTATGCATGTAGGCTAGTTTCCACGCTAATCGGAAGGATCGTGGATAATGGATAATCCAGGAACAAACAGTATACAGTCATAACGGCTGGAGAAAAGTGAGCAAGGTGTTGAAAGATAAAAGATGACGGGAATCATTGGGGAGGATGTGTCTGCCGACATGATAGCAGATGCTGGGGCGTTGGATGAAGTTGAGATGGTGAAGAGGGGAAGGAAGGGATGAAGGGGTTTCGTACGCGACTGTCCGTGTAATCTAGCTAGCCGGGTTGGGATTAGCTACCAAAGTTGGGCTTGGCGGGGTGGGATTGGCGGGGTGTACCTGCGTAGCATTCTAGACTCCCACAGTTCGTATACTCCGCAGAACACATATATTTCGTTGTATGCTGTGTGTACACTCTACATAAACCATAACCACAGAATAACTACAACTTCGACCCCTCGACAACACGGGCATATCTCCCACAGGTCGCCGAAAAAAACATATTCCCTGCTGCCGCAACAATCATCGCGCGCGCATACCTCAACCCCGCCTCACTTATCCCGTGTCCCCTTTCCAGCCGTATATACTCCCCATCCATCCTCCCCTCCAAATCCCAAATAACCATCCTCACCATCCTCTTCGCTAATTCATCACTAACACCCATGGATTCCTTCACCACCCTCACCGCATTCAATACCTTCTCCCCACCCCCCGCCTCGGCAATCACCTCCTTAGCATACGAATACAAATCATTAGTGAGGAGCATATGTCGCGCACAGAGATCTTCCAACACCCTAATTTTTTCTCTCTCCTTTGGGGAAAAAGGGGGAAGGTTGAGTGAGAATTCAACGGTGCGGAGAATAAGCCCCGCTCCGAAATCCGATAGTGCGGGGGGGATGTATGTCTCTAATGAGGTAAATGCTGTTGGTTGTTTGTGTTGGGATGTAGAACCCCAGGAGAGAATGCCTTGGAGGAGGGTGTGTCCCTGGGATGGAGACTCGGCTAGGATGTCCTGGGAGAGGAGTGTAAATGCTGTGGTTTTTGGGTCTGGGGTATTGGTTTCTGGTGTGGGAATGAGAAGATGAGAGTTTCTATCTCCGTTTGGTTTATCGGCTGTGTCATCGTGGAGGAATGCGAGGACGAGGGCTCTAGTGAGGAGCTTTGTGCGGGCTAAGTCGCCTAGTGGGAGGAGGTTGATGGCGTAGGAGACTGCTGCGTCGGATATGGCGGTGATGTATTTCTCTTCGGGCTGGGTGTTGGGATGAGATGATGAGAAGATGGTATGTAGATAGTCTGTTGCTGCGTGTTCGGCTTCGCGCCAGTAGCGGGATTGAAGGGCGCAGGGGAGGGAGGTTGGCCAGGGGACTTTGAGATCGGGTGGGGTGATGGTGATGGTGTGCTTGTAGTCGGGGTGGGTGAGGTTGGATGGGTGTAGGAAGCTGAATGCAGTGGGTGTAGGTGGTGATGGTGGTGTGGCTGGGTCAAATGCGTGGGTTATTGGGCGGGGTGTTGCGGTTTGGTAGGTGGCGCTCAGTGGTATCTGGGTGAAGGTGCGATATTTTGTTGATTGAAATGGAGGAGCTTGGATGAGACTGATGTGTCTTCTAGGCTGAAGCTGAGGGATGAAGGCTCGAGGGATGGACATCGTTGCGTCGTGGGATTATTGTATCGCATTGCATTGCATTGCATTGCATTCGCGTTAGGCTTTCGTCGGACGCGTCGATACGCGAAACAAGCACGGACTCGCTCATGATTGCGATGAGGTAGAGTTTCACGACACGGATAGAAATTTGGGTATATTTTGTGGTAAGCTAATCAAAGCATGATGGTTTCAGGAGCATGGCATGAGATGCTCGAAAAAGCAGCTGTAATGAGGAAATGAAGAAGGAATCAAAGGTGTTTGCAGTTTGCACGCGCCGACCGAGAATGGCTATATGGAGCATCTTGCCATTGGCTCTGGACAAACTTCTATGCCTCGCCCTCCTAGCAGCTACTATTTCCTCGTCCTGGCTTTTTCTCTATGCTTCGTGCGGCCTTCAACCTCATTATTGTCGGTTTTATCCCCGTTCATCGTCTACCATCAAGAATGAACTCGAGTGCCATCATATATCTCAGATGATCACTCCCCCCTTAAACACCTCACCACTTGACCTCACGTTGAGCGGCGGCGGCGGCTCCTGCTACTCCGCAAGTTCTATTTTCTGTTCTAGTAGTCGGAAAGAACATATCTTCATTGGTCTACGTGGTAGTAGGTTTGACAATGCCTAACATTGGCCTGCGGCAGAACAAGATAGGAGGAAGAAGACTGTGGTAGGTGAGCAACAAAGCGCTCAGACCCACTGGGCTCTTTCTGCCTCATTTCTACGCTGGTTGATTGCAGCGCCTACTCCAAATGGTTGGCACCAACGAGGGGCTCATTTAAACCAGCGATGCAGTGACTCGCGTCGAATATGGCCGAACAGCAAGCTGATAGGATGGCGGCTCCCGCTGTATCACAAGGGCTGAGGGCTCGAAAGGGGCACTGCCTGATGATGATGATGCAATTTTGGACACGTGCACCGTGGAATAAGGCTCTATAAATAGGCTGTGCTAACCTTCTGACCCTCCTGTGTCAAAAATCGTGCCCCCATCCCTTTGATCTCCTTCCTTCAAACCACCAAATACACCATCCATTCCTCATTTCTCATTTCTCTCTATCCGAATCATCTTCAATTGAGCCAACATGACTTATGACCAAATCGCCGTGGGCGGTGGGAGCTGTTATCTGCTTCGTACAAATGGAACGGTTAAAATGTACAGTGCATACTCCATAAACTGGGTGACCTTAGGTCAGGATGAGAGCAACAGACAGATCGTCGGCAATGGACCTTTCATCCGTCGGGCAAATGGTGAGGTCTACGAATATAAGGAACATAAGTGGAAGCGGCTTGACACCTTGACCAAGATGTGGGTATGGGGTGACATCACTTGGCGATGGCAGGAACAGGAGCACTTATTGTCGTGTCACGACTTTGGAGCCCCTGACGAATGGAGAGTTCGGGGCGGTGATACTCAGACGAAGGACCTGGTCATGGTCCAGAATTCTATTTACCAACTTGCCGAAGATGGGACAATTTCGTATCTCAAGAAGGGAAAGTGGAAGATCCTCGATGACAAGAATGCCACTGCGATTGCCACAGACGACAATTCTCTGTTCAAACTCGACAAGCAAGGGTTTGTCTCCCAGCTTTATGGGCAACAACAGTGGCAGCTGGTTGGGGTGTTCCCCATTGTCCAAATTGCCGCCGGTCGTGCAGGGCTTTTTGCACGCCATGAGAACGGGTCAATTTATGAACATTGTGGAGGCATGATTTGGAACCAACGCGACATGAACACGGATAATGTTCATCTTGCAGTCGGAGATGATGCTTACCGAGTGAACAGCAAGGGAGAGCTCTACAGATTTGACCGTGGGGAGAGAAATTGGGAGCTGCTCCATAGTAACCTGACCATCTCTCAGACGAAGGAACAGATTGCCAATCACATTCCATCAAATCCCATTCTCTCCATTGGGATTGCAGAAACCCCGTGGTGCGGCGTGTTGCGATGTACGTCAATACATAAACCCAATTCCCCTTTCAGGTCACCTAACCCTTCCAAAGCTCTTGCTCTTGGATTTATCGACTTCCACGCCTCAATCTCCCCCGATCCCTTCAATGTGGCCTGGAACTTGAACACCTCAGCCAAGCTTATTGAGTCCTTGCAAAACGGCAAAGTCGATATCGTAATCGCCAGCCACGTACTCCCCACCCGCCCTGAAGCGGAAACAGCCGCCGGCAGCACAGACACCGTTCTATATCCTATGCATTATCTCTTCAACGACCATGTTCTTCTCGTGGGACCACCCTCCAACCCAGCTGGGCTGGACCCGGAATCCCACATAACCACAATGCTAGCGGACTTAGTCACAGCAGGAGAAAGGAACCCCACCTGCGAAATGATGTTTCTCGGTCGATCCGGGGACTCAGCCATCAAGGCCATTGAGTCCGACTTGTGGAACCAAGTCAGACCAGTAAGCTACCCCATCGCCTCTTCCACGCATCCATCTAACAAACCCGATCAATCTATCAGTGGATGATCCACTCCCCCAACTGGTACCAGGAGACCGTAATGACTGATCAAGAGATGGACCTCGCTACCGCCGGAAATTTGAACATGTACACCCTAACGGAGCGGAGCTTCTTTCAATTCATGGGCCAGACTGCTCTTGGTTCTAGGTTTATAATATACAAAAGCAGCGAGGATGCCCCAGATGAGATCCCCCCCATCCCTGCTCATTTGGTGATCAGTGCTCAAGCGCAGGCTTCTAACCTAGCCAAAGACTTCGCGGCATGGGTTACTGGGCCCGAGGGACGAGCAGTCGTGAAGAACTTCAATATAGGCACGGTTTGGGGGTTCTCAGCCCCAACGAACTGAGGTACTGGTGGGAGTTCGACTTGTACTTATGTTGGGTGTTGCTATATTTATTTATTATTATTTGGCACTTGGCTCAAACTGGGTACTTTTCTTTCATAGAGAAATCGAAGAATTTCCATTCTTGTCCGGATTCCTTTCTACATATCTCCTTAAGGCAGACGCTACAGCAAACCCGAACCCGCCTACTATATTGTAAAAAGGGACCACATCAAACACTAGACGACGCCTCCATAATCTAAAACAAATGAAGAAAACGCGTGCGAAGCCATCATTTTATGTAATTCCAGATACAGTAAGAAGAAGGAGGAAAACCTCTTAGAGGTTGGCATTCCACGTGAGTTACGCCTGTTAGGCAGGCGCTTATGGCAGGAGATGCCTGTTACAGAAAATGCTTACTTATTCATACTACATACCTACTAGTAGGACCTCCTCCGCCTGACTTAATGATACCCGAGGTTAGTTACGCGTCTAGAGATATTAAGTATACTATCTCGGGGGTTGTTTATCGTTCTATGTGAGGTCCTAAAGGTCCTGCGTGAGATATCTAGACTGTGTCTTGAGGGGGTGCTTTTTTAGAATTACGTATTTAATTTGTATCTATTTATAGGTCTTCTGTATAGAGTATACTGGTTGATTATGTAGGTTGAGTAAGAGATAAGTGTGGTTGTGACCTCGCCGGTGTGGCTAGGAATATGAGGTGTGGTGTCCGCTTGTACGTTGACAGAAAGGGTCTAATGGTCGGTCGTGTATGCAGAGACCTGGTATGGCCATTCTTGGTGTTTCTGTGCGGATAGAGTCTTTTGGCAGAATTTTACGGAGAGCTTTGCTTTCGCTATGGTTATGTTAAAGTTATCGATGAATTTCTCTAACAATAATATTTGAATTCGTCCCGTGCGAATCTAACTACTTCGGCAGACCTTTTTTCTCCATATTCCAAATCCCGATGGCAGCAACACGATAGTAATAAGGCCAACTTCCAGACACTGTTCTATGGTAGTGACTACGACCCATGCACGGCAAGGGCCTCTAGAAAACCATTTGGTTTCCTGATAGACTGGCGGGCCCGGATTCCGATAGCTTCCAAGATCGTAGTGCTCGTTTCGCGTCGTCCTTATCTGTGGCTGATTTGATGATAGAGCCCGCTAGATTCCGCATCACCTCTACCTTGGCCTCAAAGTCTTTGCGATGTACCCAGCCATCCCGAGGGATTCCGAGGAGGTGGAAGACAACTCGGCGACCGGCCAAACTATTTCTATCATTACAGTGAGGAAACTCTTTATTTTCGTCGGATCTGACAGGACAAGAGCTCAGTGGCAGGCCTGTTAGCTCGGTCCATTCACGCCTCGCTTGCTGCTGCAGCTCCAGAAACACGATTAGCCCATCATCTTCCCACGTGTATCCTGCAGAATGAATGAGTCGCTGTCGAGTCAAAGCTTGAGGAAACGACAGTGCAGAGAAGACATCGTTGTCAAGTTCCTGAAATTTGGAAATATAGAACTCTTGAAGCTGTGTGAGCGGGTTTCTCCGTCGACTCTCCTTTCTTTCTTGCGATGTTAGTCTTGCAGTCAGAATCAGGTTGAGAGAAGACGTGATATCTATTTGCAGAAACCTGGGTACTTCGCATGCATAGTATATTGGAAGACTTGAACCGCCTTGCCAACCAATGATGCTTACAATCCGGTTTTGTTCGACAAATATATTACTGTCCTGTAGATCGGGGTGCCAAAGTACCGACCGATGTAGGCCCTTATGGGGTGGCATCAAGTTAGATACCATCTTCAGATATCGGTCAAGCAGTTCTGCATGCCAACGAGGAGACTCTTGAGTGTATGGCTGTCTTTGAGGGTCTTCTAATTGATGGGGCTTTGCAAATCGCAGGATCCATTCCCTCTCCCGCCTCGCGATATCTTTCACATATGCCTCGGATGAAATCCCTGCTCGGTCTCTCGTTAACCTTTTCTCTATAGCAACAAGGATATGATCAACTTACAGGGACCTCTATAATAGTCCATTGATCTCCTCTCCTCCTCCCAGAATCGTGCTTCGTAGCTGGGACCGATGCAAAATCGATCAACGAGTCCAGGAACATCAAGACCATCTTCAATGTCTTTTCGGTAGTACAGGCTTCCATAACTGTGCAAGTCGACAGTAGCTATTTTCGCTTGAATACTCACCAACTGGGCCACAATATCCATCCTATGGGAAAGATCCATAGTAGGCCAAACATTGGTCAGCTCCTGCCCAGGAGGTTTTTCCATGATGATATATTCTACCCCAACAGGTTGGTCCTTGCTGCTACTCCAGGCAAAGACTCGAGGAACGGGTATGTCTAGCTCGTTTCGAAGGAAGTCAAGCGTTGCAACTTCACTGGCTGTTGCAACCTTCTCGGGGACCAAAGGATTCGGCAACTTCGCAAAGACCTCCACACCATTGTCCATTGTTAACAAGAAAGTCTTATAATATCCATCCTCATTGAACTTGATTAACTTGACGCAGGATCTGGCATTGACGGATCTGGCGGCGGCTTTTTTGAGCTCATCGACATTAAAGGACCGGTACCGTTGCAAAAGTTGGGATGCTTCATCCCATAGCCAGCGACCGGAGGTATAAGAGAAGAGAGGGTCGGGCTTTTCGTCTGATCCTATTGTCAATAAGATGATTATCAAGCAATTCCCTCTTCACGACTTACCGGAAGGACAGGTGTCAGGGGGTTTGGAGTCGACAGTGGAAAGATGTACTGAATTCATAACGCTGAACTGGACTGGCCAACGTTAAAGATATGCTGTTGAGAATGAAGAGTCATGATGCGAACGAGGATGTTTGTACAAATCCTGCCAACCCAGGACCACCTTCCTAGTAAGGAAAGTACTGAAAGGGTGACTAATCACCCCTCATCGGGTGTTCATTTCCCGGATCGGAACTCCGAAAACACCTCAAAACATCAACTCCACAACCATGACATCTCCACGTCAGAGACGAGGACACCGGCCTCCCCCGCGCAAAAAGGCTTGTCAAGGCTGCACCAAATCCAAAGTCCGCTGTGATCTGGAGAAGCCGACCTGTTCCCGCTGCCGATCGCTCGCCCGGCCCTGCGAATATCCATCCCATCCTCCTGTCGTCACCCCTCCGGCCGAGCTCAACTACACGGCGCCCACTGAGCCAGTCTTGCCGATATTCAGTTCATCGCAGCTCGATACAATGCCTATCCCCCTAGCCAACTTTAGCAGTTCGGCCTGGACTCCGCGTCAGCCACGCAGGCAGGCGTCCAACACTGTGCGTGAGGAAATCAGTGGACTGGACTTGACGTTGGTTGATCTGGTGCCAAGTGAAGATGCGGTAATCATTCGCGATCGATGGCTTCGGCCTTATATTCTGCCTCCGCTGGGGCAAAATGAGGTTCCGAAGACTTATCATCCATTCACGCTGCAGTTCATCTCCAGGATATTGAGCACATATCCCCGATGTATGATGAGAGATGGAGAGGTCCCGCCGATCATCCATCGATTGCAGGTTACGGGGGGTAGAATGCCCCGTGCCTTGGCTAATTGTTATAGTCTGGTGCGAATGTGGGAACAGGCTGCGGTGGGGAGTGAGGCCTTGGTGGTCGAGACTGTGGAGAAGGAGATGGAGCGGCTGGAGAATGAGGTTAGCTTGAAATATGGTGAGAGGTACTGCATACTGATACCGAATTTAATAGGACAGGACTCGTTCGAATGACATCGATCTACTTGCAACCTTTCAGGCCTATCTCATATACTCTATCATGCTATACTTCTCTCCTCTGGGAGACAGCCCGAATGTCACCGACAAGGTCATGATTACACTCATGGAGATGGCTTTCCGTACTGCTCGGAATGGACTCTTTTGTGCCGCTGAGATCTCGCATACAAAGCCTAGCTGGGAATCGTGGATTGTGGCGGCCGCTAAGCGCCGGTCGATTTTTACCATGTACTTGTTCTGTAGTGTATATAACGCCGACAAACTCCTGCCTAACTTTATTGCGGATGAAATGACGGGCGTTTTTGCCCCTGAGGCCAAGCTATTGTGGGAGGCTAGTACTCGAGAAACATGGGAGAAAGAGTACGATCGGCATCTCCTCCAGTGGCAAGATGGGATGTTGGAGATATCGGAACTTTGGAGATCTGCAGAGACGGGGACACCACGACGACGAGAAAGAATTGGACGGTGGATAAAAACAGTGGATGAGTTTGGAATGATGATGTTTGGAGTGACTACTCATGTACATGGGTGTTGATCTTGCTATGCCACTTCTGCCAGTGCAATTTCTTACTAAATAAATAATCATTTTTCTCATACTATTACCTAGTATTACCGTCGGGCAATACCAGAATGAATATATTTTTGGACAATGTGTCTTGTTCTCCGACTAAAAAATGCCATAAACCTCCCACACATCATGTTCAGAACCACCATCTCGGAACTCCGATCCCCACCCCACCTCCCACCATTAAAGTGGGCCTCACCCTGAGCATATAAACCCATTAATCACTACAACATCAACTACAACAACAACTACTCCTCCTCCTCCTCCTACAACAACAATCCCACCACCACCTTCTCCCCAATTCACCCAACTCCAAACCCAAAATGACCTACACAACCAACCACACCTCCCCCGTCCTCACCACCCACAACTGGCGCACCCTCACCAACTCCGCCTCCTACCTCCTCCCTTACCTCACCCCCAGCATGCAAATCCTCGACATCGGCTGCGGCCCCGGAAGCATGACCATCGATTTCGCCCGGCGCGTACCCCACGGGCACGTAATCGGTCTCGAACCCGTCCCTGAACCTTTAACCCACGCGCGCAACCTCGCCTCCACCGAATCCATCACCAACGTTACATTCCAAATTGGCGATATCCACTCTCTCCCCTTTGGCGACAACACCTTCGACCTAGTCCACGTACACCAAGTCCTGCAGCATATCGCTGATCCGGTGCAAGCGTTGAGGGAAATGCGGAGAGTAACCAAGCCGAATGGGATCGTGGCCGCAAGGGAGAGTAGTAAGATGAGTTGGTACCCGGAGGATAACGAGGGGATAAGGAAGTGGAATGAGTTGATGGAGAGGGTGGGGAGGGGGAATGGCGGGAATCCGAACCCCGGGGAAAGGATACATGTTTGGGCTGTGGAGGCGGGGTTTGAGAGGGAGAAGGTGAGGAGGAGTGCGGGGGCGTGGTGCTTTAGTGAGCTGGAGGAGAGGAGGTATTGGGGGGTGGGATGGCGGAGAGGGCCAGGGTCGGGGGAGTAAGTGGGCCGAGGTGGTGGTTGAGGGGGGGTATGCGACGAGGGAGGAGTTGGAGGGGGTGGTTAGGGGGTGGGAGGAGTGGGTGGGTTGTGAGGAGGGGTGGTTTGGGGTTTTGCATGGGGAGATTGTTTGTTGGAAGTAGGATGCTATATAGTATGGGTGGTTTGTTGGGGGGAGGAGGATGGATGGATGGGTGGATGGATGAATGGAGGGGTTTAGTTTCATGTTGTTTCGTTGGTTTTGATTTATGAGTGGTTGTGATGTCTAGATTTTGTGATTCATTGTTCGATGCTTGGTTGGGGTATATCTCTAGGAAGTAAGGTCTTGTGCTGAGATGCAAATGATATTACATATTCACTGTCTACATACTGGGATGCTCATGGTTGAGTGGCTATAATATACTATCAAACTACGACCACATGCAATAGTCGACTAAGCTATCATATGCCACGTACGCAACAACATACAATTGTAATCGAATCCAATCTATATTGGTATAGGTATAGTTAAATGCATAGGATACAGCTAAACAATTCCCGAAAATGCAATGAATTAACAGAACCAGGTATGATGCAAGTAGAGGAAATCGTCTACCAGTCATCCTCCGGGTAGGGCTCGTAGACGGGCACCTCCTCACGCTCAATGATGGTCTCCCGCTGGTACATCATCGGAGGAGGCGCATCCTCGCGTTCCTCTTCTTCACGCTCTTCTTCACGGTGCTCGTCTAAATCACAATTAGCATTCTGAGAACATGAGGGGGTTGATGGTAGGGCAATGTACCAATCTCGTGGGTGATGAAGGCAGCTCCGAGAGCACCGACGGCCAGACCACCTGCAGCTCCAAGGAGCATGTTCTTCCTGTCCTTCTTCTTCTGCTCCTCCGCGGCAGCCTGCGCAGCCTCAGGGTCCGGAGAGTAGTATCCGCCTTCCTGCGGCGGAGGGGGACCCGGGGGACCCATATCGCGGGAGCCATCAGCAGGAAGAATCCATTCCGAGCGGCCAGAGGGTATGTGGACAAAGTAGGCACGGCGGGCGTTAGGGTCCCATTCCTGGACCCAGTCCATGGGAAGAGGAGGGGGAGGGACGGGAGGAGGACGAGAGGAAGGAGGAGGGCTGGCGTAGGGAGGACGAGGAGGAGGAGAGTCGAAGGAGCGTTCGCCACCCTCGTAGGGTGAACGGTCACCGTACGGAGGGCGGTCGTATGGGGGGCGGTCAGACGGGGGAGGACCGGAGTTGTATCTCTCGGGAGGGGGACGGTCGTAAGGAGGACGGTCATAAGGAGGCCTGTCGGGGGGAGGACCACTCTCATAGGGAGGACGGTCGTAAGGAGGACGGTCGTAGGGAGGGCGGTCATAAGGGGGTCTCTCAGGAGGAGGGCCACCCTCGTAGGGAGGACGCTCATATGGAGGGCGTCCTCCGTAGTAGGAATCCTGTGGTGGGTAGTAAGACATGGTGGTGTGGTGGGAGAATGTGGAAGAAGGAAAGGAGGATAGAAGAGGAAAGAGAAGAAAGAGATAACGGACGGATCGTAGACCCTTAAATATTCAAAGTGGTTCGGGAGACCCTGTCAGGTGGAGGGGGAGAGTTGGAGTTGGGGACACGGGTGCATCAGCATCAACGGCTCTCAGGGATTCACCTCAGCCCATCGGCATCGGGACCCAGGCTGGCGCTAAGGCAGGCAGTCCCCACTGGGTTATTAGGTGGGATGGGGAAGCGTCAATAGTCGGGTGGATGGTCATGACTGGACGCTGTAGATCTGGCAGTCTGGAGATGCACGCCGATTAGGCAGAGACGTAACAGCACCGCCCCTGAAGGGGGCAGACCCGGCGCAACTGGGGCTGGATTGAATCCTGTTCATTATTTAGCAGTAGATACTGCGTAATTGCAGACACCGAAGATGTGCAGCGTGGCTGAAGCGCATGAAATTCATCACAGCTCATCTGCTGGATGCGGGATGCCTAGGAAAGTGCATGGAGGGGCAGATGCCATCCATCGCGGATGCCTGGCTAACCGCCAACCAGCCAGGCTCACTGCACAACCTGAAACAACCAATGACCGACCAGCGCGACTGCTAAGAAAAGACCTACCGAATTCTCCGTCTGACTTGTCCCAACGATTCCGCAGAAGTCCGTTGCTCCCTTTTTTTCTTGGCGCCACACAGGGCTGGTGCCGAGGCCTCACTTCCGCCCAATCGGAAGCGCTGTATCCCACCAGCCACAGTACTCCCCCACCCCGTAATGACGCCGTATTATGGATCGATCATTGCCCAGCCGGCTACCGTCCATTTGGGCAGCCTTCCAGAAAGCGGCTTGATAGGGTCCTCCAGCCGAAGCATGGCTGATCGCTGCGGGCTGGAATTCCACACGGCAGAGAAAACGCCATATTGAATCAAATTCACCCAATATACCGGACACGTAGGCGAGATGAAGCGCCGGTAACAAGCGGGTGGGCGATGTATCTGGAACCGGATAAATTACGCCAAGACCAGCCCCTCCGCAGCCCCTGAGCAAAGCGCCACGTGTGTCTTACTCAGTGGCTGTGGCGGGTGTCAACAGTGCCTCAGCCACTTTTCCTCTGGTACCATCTTAATCGGACCTGTCTGGCAGGCCTGCAGCCATGAGTCAACAGATGCGTCCGGAAGAAGGTAGAATTCGGTTGCCTGCTGTTATTGCACCGTTGGAGTCTCGGTGGAGTTCTGAGCAAGGGAGTCCTTCATCTTGGCAGCAAGTTGATATATTATTTCATGCAGTGAAAGCATGGCGCCGGCACCAACACCGAACAAAATACCGCAGGTTATGAAACAGACTGGAACAGTCATAAACAAATATAATCTGCATTCTGATATGCGCCGAGTAAACCAGGCAGCAATATTTACATTATCGTTTAATGCTATAGAATTTCTTCCGACCACCCCCATCTCCACCCTTGGCGCAAGATGCCACCCCTTCTCACCTGCAATGTGCAATTTGATGTGTAAACGCTAGGGTGTAACATCAAGCTGCTGAGTCATAGGGAGAGATTATGCTCCCGCCGTGGTGCTGGACTGACCACTATCGGGATAATAGAACGCGGCAACACTAAACATGTTAGTATCCGGTAAGGTGCCAAGTCAGAAGGTAACTTACCTGATGATTACATAGGCTGCAATAAGTAGAGAGCCTTCCAAGTAGTTGCTTCGACCATCAAGCACCAGGAAGTTCACAACAAATGCCGTGACGAACAGGCAGATGGTCTCGAACAGCGTGAAGTACAAGGACATGTCCTTGTCCATACACCAGCCAAGGATGACGACCAACGGGGTTACGAAGATTGCTGCGAGGAATGAGTCTGGGTTCGACGACGGATATTTCAGATACATACCAATTTGAATACTACTTCCCACCGATACACCGATCGCTAGGTCCATTTTGTTTTTGGTGGCTACACTGACTGCCGTGACGTGTTCCGCGGCGTTGCCGACAATGGGAAGGATAATCAGACCGATGAAAGCTTCGCTGACGGATGAACTTTCGACCATGGTGGGAATGGCATCGACAAGGAACTCCGCGCACACCGCGACAAGACCGGTTGACACCAGGAGCATCACCACCGCCGCGGTGCGTGACATCTCTGGCTCCGGTTGTTCGGGGGCCACTTCGGCCGTAGTATGGGTCACACCAGTGGGCATGCGAGAGGCGCCCCGAGCGAACTGAACGGCACTTCCCGGAGGGGGAGGACGATTGGTGAAAGACGGTAGAGAATGAGTTCGCCGAAGTCCATAGGGATTTGAAGGGCTTGCGGGCACTGCTGCATTGGATGGTGTCGTGGTCGAAAAAACCGTGTTGGTGAGCAAAGACGGCATCGTGGGACGGAAGGCCGATCGCCGCTTGGCGGGCTCAATTGCTTCCTCGACTGGCAAAGGAGGCTGTCCGCGATCAACTGTAGGTTCTGACTTGTGGGTTTTCATGGAAGGGCGGCCTGTGAGTGTGGTATTGGTGACAGAAGTGGTGCCTTTTTCCTTTTCGACGCGCTTTTCTTGCTTTCGCCTCTCACGTCTCTTTGCCTTTCGATCTTCCTTGGAGGCCTTGGCACCATTATGTGTCCCAAAGTCCCTTGGCTGTGGTTCGTGATCCGCATCATACCGGGTGTCATCTCCAAAATCAATGACAAACGACCCAGACCCGTCTTGATGAGTGACGCTCAGGTCGGCAGCAGAGCCGGCGTTCTCATCTATGACCGCCGTGGGAGGAACATCGGCCAACGACTTCTTACGGAACGACTGCGGGGAGACGGTGCCGCGAGAGCTGGTGCTCGATTTGCGGTGTCGTCTGTATTTCATAGCCCTCTTGATACGCTTGGCAGTGGACCAGGACGTCGTAGTATCCACAGACTCATCCGAGGAACTGCTTGAATCTGACGAGCTGTTCATAAACTCGGCCAGAATGCCTGGATGAGATTCCTCGTCAATAATCTGTTGGGGGATACTGGCATAAAGATAAGCGTGAGATTTGAGTTGAAACACGATGTACAAGATGTACACAAGAAGTAGGACCTATTTGATACGAGTTAGATGGGCAATGAGCATAGCAGCCTGTTTCTACTCACAACGCTAGTTCCGCGGCTGACTTTGAGGGTGTATTTATCAGCATCTGTTTCGTCCGACCATGAAGCGTGAAAGGCCGTCTAGAACAACATCAGAAGGTATGAAAATTTAACTGGGGGGCATGAGAACTTACCGGAAGGAGCAAACTCATGACACTCAAACTGAGGAGACATGCACTCATTTGAGTGACAGTGCTATTGTAGATCTACTATTGTCAGCTGAATTTACACAAGCAGTGCTGACAGCAAACTTGCCTGCTCCTGGAAGCGCAAACCTCCGAGCAGAAACGCCATGCCCAGGATTAACAGTAGATTCGCCAGGATGGAACCCAGCAGCGATGCTTGGACGATTCGAATTTCATTCTGTACCACGTTAGGACAATCCACAATCCGACAACGGGCTAACAAACCTTGACTAGGGCAATACTGGAGCCACCGGTGTGTTTAGTATTGATCAATAAGGTTCCTGCATGGCAATAACTCACATGCTACCGAAGCATTAGCACCGAACTGTCGGAAAATATTAAAGGAGATAGATGACTTTGATTCACATACAAGATAATCAACTCTACAGCATTTCCGAAGGTGACATTGATGAGCGCACCCACGGTGTCACCCAATCGACTGGCAACACATTCGGTGGCATGGCTGAGGAGACCGGCCAAGGGGATGATGGCTATCGCATTCATGGCAAAGATCAAGCCTGGGTTCAATCCCGCGGCCTCGGCGGCAATGCCTACGGGGACGAATACGAGCAGCACATTGACCCAGCTGTGGCAAAGGGCTCTTTTGGTGTGTCCGGTGAAACGAATGGTTCCATCCTTCATCCGGACGAGTAGTCCCCTGTTGGGGGCTTCTTTGGCATCTTTTTCCGACTCCGGGCTGGCCGGGTCACGTATAGCTTCTTTCACTTGTCCATCTTGTGCAGAGGCGTCCTCCGAGGACTCGTTCGCTTGGTTGGGGCCCTGAGACTGAGGGCTGAGGGTAGACGCGTGAGCTTTCGCCCACGAGTGAATCCGGTCTGCAACGGGGGCCAAGAAGTCAGTAAGAAAAGTCGGAGGGACCAACAGTGGTGGCGGGTGAGGGCCCAGAAGGGCCGAGAAAAGGGATGGCGAAGGAGGGAGTAGGTAGGTAGGTAGGCAAGTAGGTAGGTAGAAGAGGACTTACGCATGTATTTCAGGACCAGGAACGGAAATGATCAGGTAGGAGCGGCAGAAGGTAGCCTGTCGAGATGGGTGATACGGAGATGGAAGCTGTGTCGAACACAGGGAGAAGCAAGCCAAGCCTCAGAAGGGAGATGCTAGATGCCAGAAGGGCCCTAGACCGAGCGACCGGATGATTATAAGAGAAGCGAGAACGTTGAACCTGCTGGGACGGGGCCTGTGGCATGGAAGCAGAGCCAATGATGTTTGCCAAGGCACCAGGATGATCATCCTGATCCTGACCCCAAAGCGCAATGGAGCCATGGTCCGCCCCGTTTCGCCCAGGCCCTGGACGCCGACGCAACTGTGAATGGACACGCAGCGTCCCCACCTCACACCTTATCAATCGTGGCCAAACCTCTGCTCCCTCCCCCAGGGCCCCAATGTCCTATCACAGCCTCCTGGACACCATCCAAGGCACCGCTGAGGTCATTACTTATCTCCGGCCCTGGCTCGGACAACCGGTTTCCACGGCTGCTCGGTCTTGTCTGGTCGTCTCCGAGCTGCCTGTGATCGTCGCGGGGATACCGGGCATGGGAATTAGAGAGGTGCTATTATTTTTGGGAGATAGTAAGTAGATAGGTCTCCACCTCTCGGCCGCAGATCCATATGGGAATCTCGCCTTGCCGAAATCAGCCCAAGAGATGTACACCTACGACGTCGATGGTGGGGCCAGTGAAACCAGTGGGAAAGGCGCAAAAAAGTAAAGTCAATAATGATCCAAAGTATGATCGATCCCAACTGACGGGCGACCCCGTCGTAGTTCCAGTCCTGTGAATCTCATTTTCACGATCACCCTTGGGGTGGCGTGGCTTGCAGAAGCAAGGGGCAAGATACTCCGTATCCAGAGGATCGCTACCGACGGACGAGCACATACTGGATACATACACAATTACCTGGATTCCAAACCTCCGACCCAGAATCAAGAGGCCAAACTGGGAATGGATTGCCAAGCCCACACCATTTCTCAACAAATTGGATCACACGGCACAGAGGCCCCACTAAGTTTGCTGGCCAATCATGCCGTGGCTCGCCTTGCGCTTACTCCGAGCCCGATGACACCCATCTTTCATTGGCCATCACTACGTCAGGAGTCAGCCTCGTCTCGGGACCATTTCTCCGACCTCCGGTATCTATGACGGTACTTTACTGTGCCTCGGGGTATTCAGTAACCAATTTCTAGTTTCCACGGCTGGCAGCAGCTTTGGGTAACGCATCACATGAGTCTGTTGTGCAATGGTCACTGAGCTATCGTGATCCATTATTCCACAATCTTGGCCTATCTGCTCGATCAATATTCGTAACACCATAGCACTGAGCATTGAGCACAGGTACCTTTGCTCTTTTGCCTTATCCACTCAGTGTCATTTCTTACAATCCGTGCATCCTAATGCGACCGCTGAGTCACGATCTAGACCACGGACCTGTCATCCCTCCGTCTCCGCACACTGTGGCTGAGCACCACTGATGGCTGTGTCATGTCATGGACCGTTGACATGGGTCTGCTAGCGACGCATGTAGTTAATGTTGACTGCGTTTTGGAACTAAAGTTATCCTATCCTATCGCTTGTCCGGCTTGGCCTATGTAAATAAAAGGTGAACCAGGCGACTCCGTTATCAACCTGGCCACAATGAGATCATGGCCATGGGGCTGGCGGGCATAGAAACCTCTCCACAGTGTTCGATTTAGAATACACGCAAGCAAGCCCGGTTCACATCCTATCTGACAGCTTGGTCAGCAGGCGGAAGTATGACTATGAGAGCTTGCATATGCGAGGTGATGTCTTCATGTACCAAGACAAAACATGAGGTGGCCCTTCGTCATCATGTCACGCTGAGCAGAGTTCTCAGTCACAGACCGGAATCCGTGCTCCATCATGAACGGAGGAGAGAAATTAATAATAATGAAGACCATGACCCCTTCTTCCTTGCGGAGAGTATTCCTCCGACTCTGGCGTACGCGGTAGACACAGTGACAGCAAGTGTGCCGAGCCTCACGTGACTGAAGAGCGGGGAGCGCGGCAAAGGCTTCAGCCGGCTCCGAGCATCCCTCCGAGTTCGCTATTATATTCCGACTCGCTCATGCATTCATTATTGGCTTGGATCTCCGACGTAAAGAATCCTGCGGACAAGGGTAGGGGAGATCTTATCTTACCCGTGCTTGAATCCCGATGGCTTCGGAAAGGAGGTTCTCTACGGAGTATCTGAGGTCTACTGAGGACTAATGACTGATGACCTCATGCCCGGGCCTTCAACATCCACTTCAGCTTTTTTGTGATACGCTGCTGTTGAACGTCTCCGTCCAATCAACACTGCAAGTCTGCATAAATCAACGATGGGAGTTTATTCTCGGATCATATCAATGTCAGACGCCATGAATATAGTATATGGTTGTCAAGTTCTTCATTGGACAAGGCGTGTAGACGCATCATTGAGTTACTAGCAGAAACCTTCCATCGGCATTTCGCTCGGCACGCGTCACGAGAGCCAGGCACGGCAACCCGACCCGGATGCGGCCAGTCTTCAGCCCGGCTGGATCGATGATCTTTCGGGCATAGGGGCCAGAAGCAGAAAACTCTTCACCCTAATCTATGCTAATATATATTCCCCCTTGATTCTGCTCATATGGGAGTCCATGAGATACTCTGCTTCCCTGTAACATTTGGCTGTACGGACGCAGCAATCAATGCACCTAGCTCCTCCACGGGGTTCTGGAAAGAGCAAAATGGCCAGATTGCTGAGGTAGGCTGTTGCTCGAGTGCTTGTAGACGGTGTGAATGCTAAATTCGGTCTCCCACAGCGTATTCAATCCATTGACATGGAGACAACGCTTGGATCTGGACGCGCAAAGCTTCCTTATTATGCTAAAAGGCGCTTTGCCACCAACTATTGTCATTGCCATGTAGGCAAGGTCTTCGTACTATGCTCTCTACTAAACAAGTCTGATGTCCCGCAGTTACCAGAGTAGTGCTATAGCGGACATTACCTCCACGATTGGCTACCTGTCAGCCCTGATATCGGTACTGTCACAGGCACTCACGCCTCGAGCAAAGTTTATGCGGATCATCTTCTTTGATCTTCTATCGACATGTGTATCTGCTTCTCTCTGCTGCCTAGCGGTCTTCTGTGCCGTATGGGCGAGAGAGCACAATATTCCTGCGGACGCTAGTGAGAGCGTCAGAGACGGCTTTAGTAGTGATGCCTGTGCCGTATCCGCTGTATGGCTGATCTTCATGATCTGGTACATAGTAACACGTGTCCAACTGTACCTCCTGCTCTGGCTAAGATTTGTATAGGATTGCTAATACCATCCGTGCCTGGCGTCCGATGGAGCTGCAGGATCCGATGGTTGCCTTTTCCATTTTCCCCTGCGTTACTATTACCCGCGGGGGCACCTTCACCACACTATCAGAGGGTCTATCGTTCATATCTAGATTGTTGAAGGGGTTTATGCTGGGATTCGCAATCGCCACCGGAGTCTCTCTTCTCATACTACCAATCACTAGCCGGGGCCATGTCTTCGACGATATCAAGGCCTACGTCGCGCAGATCGACACCGTACTCCAATCCCAGATCGGCTTCGTGAAGGGCACGTCGGAGGTGTGGACTGGAAGTCCGGGGCTTCTGGAAAGGAGTCGCACGGCTCGGAGTATGCGAGATATGGGAAACAACCCCAGCTCAGATCTTGAGTCGAAACAGAAACGCCTGACGGCTTCGATCACCAAGTTGAACGCACTACATGGAAAACTACAATCAGACTTGCTTTATTCGACAGACGAAATTGCTTGGGGCAAACTCTCAGCAGATGACCTGACTAGAGTTGGGAATTTGCTGCGAAGCATCTTGTTACCACTTTCTGGAATGGCAATGCTCCCTGAAGTGTTGGATATGATTGTCAAGAACGAAGGGACACGCCACAATAATCTCGGATCACGAGATAATGACGAGGAAGAATCTGTGAAACAATCCGAGTTGCAAAAGTTTGCCCAAACGCTTCACGACCGCCTCGCGGAGTCTTCCCAGTTGGTGACCGTTGGATTACATTATGTTTTACTGGCCTTTGAGCTTGTCAAGCGAAAAACACTGGAAAAACAGTATCTAGGCCACAGCGACGAAGAGGCGGCAGGCGAGCTGCTCACTCCATTACAGCCGAATTTCGCGCTGCAGTTTGAGAGGGAAATGAGGAAATACTTTTCCCATCGCAAGGACCTGACAAAAAGTCTAGCATCGCTTGAGGCTTTTTCTGTCTCAGAGAAGTCGAATGATCCTACCTCTCAAACTGACACGAGAGCGGTCACCACTGACCCTGATGCCAAACAAGAATTTTTTCTAATCCTGTACATGGGCCACTTGCAAGATACCCTACTGATGGCGACGCTCGACTTAATCCAATTTGCAGATGGCAAAATTGAGGATGGGACCATGAAGCGCAGCAAATTGATTCTCCCGAAACTCAACACCATCAGACGATGGCTCTCTCTCGATTCTACGAAGGACTCTAAGACTGCTCCGGACCGCAGACAATCCTCACACGTCGATCCTTCTGTCTTTGCACAAACTGAGGCGAACAACTTCCCAGACCCTGAACACCTGCCCCCTGCGAACTGGTTCGAGAAAGGCAGCTTGGCGCTTCGCTACTTGTCGCACTTCATCAGATCCGAGCAAAGCGTCTTTGGCTTCCGCGTTGCGGCAGCTGCTTTTAGCGTCGGTATTCTGGCGTTCCTCCGTCAAACCCAGGAGTTCTTCATCCACCAGAGATGCATCTGGGCTATGATTGTCATTGTGATCGGAATGAACCCAACAAGTGGACAGACAATGTTTGGCTTTGTCGCGCGTATTGTCGCGACCGCCGTCTCGTTGGTCTTGAGCCTGATTGTCTGGTATATTGTGGATGGGAGAACTCCCGGTGTCATTGTGTTTCTCTATCTCGCGAATGTCTTTGAGGTAATTGTGCATCCGTCTTGAAGATATTCCCTGCTAATTCTTTCCTGCAGTACTACTTTTATGTGAAAGTCTCTCAATACTTTGGAGCATCTGTCATTGCCATTGTCACTTTAAATGTCATTGTTGGATACGAATTACAGGTAAACAACACCACTTTTCTTCGAATGTACCCTTCCTAACCGACACAGGTCCGGAAATTAGGTGTCGAGGTTGCTACATCCAATGGCCAACCCTACTATCCCATCTATCTTTTCGGACCTTACAAACTCGCTGCCGTAGCCGCCGGCTGCGCCATCTCCTTTTTCTGGGTGGTCTTTCCCTACCCGATTACCGCCAAATCGACACTCCGGAAATCCATCGGACGAGGTCTCTTCGTTCTGGCTAAGTTCTACAGCTGCATGCACACAACCATCGAGCTCTGGCTCACCGGCGAACTTGGCGTGGCTGAAGACGTCAGCTCCGCATCCTACACCCTTGAACGCTCACGCCACAAAGTCTTCAAAGAGGAAATGATCCTGCTCAACAGCCTCCGTATGCACAGCCACTTTAGCACGTTTGAGCCTCCTATCGGGGGCAAATTTCCCAAGTCAACCTACGACCAGATCATCTCCCAAATCCAGCGTATGCTAACCAGCATGGCTCTCATGGCACAAACAACCCAAAACCTCGACGCACTATCCACCAGCGACTCTAGCTCTCAGGATCAACCAGAATCAAACGACGACAAATGGGTTTCGCGCCTTGCGGCAATTGCTCTCCAATCCCCCGGTTTTAAATCCCACAAGATCACCTCCTTGCTCTGCCATCTGTCTGCTTCGGTGTTAAACTCCCAGCCCTTGCCACCGTATCTGTCCACGGGGGACACCTTCCCGCTTGCCAGGGAATTACAGCGCATTGATGAGGAGATGTTGAGTATTCGCCATGTACAAGACCCGGCCTTTTCGGCGTTCGTTTGCCTGGAGGTCTTGAGGTCGGTGGTTAGTTTTACGTTGGATAATCTTCTTCGGTATGTATCTCCCTCTGCGTTGGAAAACGAACGCCACTAACACTACCTTGTCCTATAGGAATGTGAAAAGCTTAGTTGGTGAACTCAGCTTCGATTTCCACATTCAACATGCTGCCGAATCTCAGCGCTTGATGTCCGAAGCAAATACCCAGGATGATTAGATTGGCCTTTGGCTTCTATAAACAAGCATAGATTTATTACATCACATTTCATATACCAACACACCACGTACCATTTATTCTCTCAAATTCGATCTCTAAGGAAGAAAGAACGACATCATCAAACCAAAGAGGAGCTCAATATACGACTACGGTCGAATGCAGCGATAGTGCTAAAAGATAAATTAGCGAGAAAAATATGTAAGATGTGAAGATTCGAGCAGTACCATTCATCATTAGAACTAAGTATAACTGACTGCATTCTGGTCGTCGAAGCAACAAAAAGCACCCATGATGCATATCATGCTAGCCATATAGTACATGGCAGATAGACAACAATCATTTCAGAGAACCCCGATGGTATCATATCATAAACTCCGTATGCCACATATTGTACTGACTAATAGTTAGCACCAAGCCAATTCCAGCTCTCGACATACGTACACACGTACCAGACTCGCGAAAACAAGCAGAAACTAACGATCATGCGACTTCTGAAGACGAGGATAGTAAAAGAGGAAAAACACCACGACAGCCAATAAGACCACGAGCGTCGGAAGAAACATAAATAGGAAGAGAAATAAGCTCAAGCCTAAGGCGGCACTATGTCCAGGAAAGAATCGGCGAGCCATGAGATCCACAGTCGATGCGAGCATAGATTCCATGGGCAGATGGAGAGTTCAGAGTTCAAACAAAGAAGATCCGCGCTAGTGATCGGGAACCTGTCTAGTGAGACCGACTAGCGAGCAGACGATCAGGGTTCACGATTATTTATATATCGTGGGTCGGAGGAGATGTGGTGGAGGAAGAATTTGTCGTGATAAAGGCAGGCAGGGAGGCAGTGAAGCTGGGGTGATGCTGGAGTGGAGCGGGCACTGTGGCTGGGCCGGGCACGGAAATTAGACTTGAATGTGGCCCCAGCCGGACCACGAGTGAGATTTGCGGCTTCAGAATCTAGAAGATTTCGACCGTTTCTTCAGACAGTGGCTGAAGCCTGAAGCATGTCACCGGAGGGGGGGGAGTCGAACCATTTGAATGAAGCCTGCCAATAGCCGGTGCCTGGCCCGTATTGCCAGAGGTAAGGTACCAGTGTGGTAAGTTACACGGGCAATCAATTGATGCGATCCTGATACGCCATCCATCGCCGGCCAAAAATGGATGCCTGCAGGGATTGCTTCATTATTGGGGGTGGTGGGGTGTCCCCATTGGCTGGTGGGCAAACGCCCCGCTGGTAACCCCCAGACTATACCTCTTTCGGCCGGGACGTTGCTATAAAAGGACGGGCATTCGGAAGTCCATCATACCCGGGATGACGCAAGAAGCAAGGATTATCTGGGTCAGGCAGCAGTATTTCATGTACGGCGTGCGTCGTACTTTACCCAAGGATGCTGATGATCTCTGGAGTCGATCAGGTTAATCAATCATCTTAATATGCAACTGCGTTAGAGGGGCCTGTATGAAACTAACTAACCAACCACGCAGCTACTTATCCACACTCCGTGCTCCCTGTGCTGGACGCGGGGAGATCGTCTGATGGAAGTACCTTACCAACTCTGTTACTCTGTATCATGGCCGATTGCGAACGGAACGGTATAAATAACTTCCAGCCATACTTAGTATTACGGCTAGGGCCAGCCCATCCAGCGGCCGTGACACCAGCGAACCAATGGTCGTGTTGCCCTGTAGGGCTGAGGCGCGCTTGGCACGGTCCTCGGGTAAATCAAAGGTAATCTGGCCAGTCGCCAAGTGTCGACAATCGAGCTGGACATGGGAATGGCAGGTTTCTGGTCGTAACGTATATCCGTATGGCGTAAAAAGACGGGCAATTATTAATCGAAGGTTCCAATCAGGAAGCCCGCGCTACTCCGTAAAGACGATAGTCGACCATCGGGGGCGAGAGCATCGTCCATCCATCCATCCCTTGCACGTCTCCATTCTCTCTTTCCCCTTCCCTTTTCTTTTCCCTTCCATCAGCTCCCCCCCCATCTCACCGAGCTCGGATGCATCCGTAAGTCCCCGCGGAGATGAGGCTATCCCGCTCATTATCAATCGTCCACATTTGATCTGGTATCTCTTACTTTTTCTTTTCATCCCTTCTTCAATCCATCCCGTCCTTTCAGCAGTCGATCGGGATGGGTCTCTTTGCTGGTCACGGAGCCCTCGAGCAGGCCGAACTGGATAATTTCGGCGTCGATTGGGTCATCCATTACTCTTTCGAAGAAGTCGGTAAGGAGTCACCCCGATCCGGTCCCGTTGATACCGTTTCTCACTTTCGTCTTTCCCGACAGAGCTTTCGCAGGCGATCCAAGAATTTCGTACTTTGATTCAAGACCTTCAAGAAGCGCATCTCCAGGTTCAAGTCCGCCATGGCTATGGTCCCTCCCTACTAGTGTGCATTCGGGTCCCCCCTGACCTCTTGGGGAACTTGGTACATAAATCTCGGTACGGTTGACTGGTGATAACGGATGACACACGGTCGCGTATGCTAACAGCATCTAGCGTCAAGGACTGGCTTCACGGTATTATCCATGAATTCCCTGAAGGGGGCGACTACGCCGAGGCCGAGGCCGACACCCCTGCGGAAGCCCTGCGATCAGTTTATCATGCGGTGACCTGGCAAAAGTCGTTGGGAGGTGCTGGGATTACCCCCAAGTTGGGTCAGTGGAAGAACATCACAGCGGCTATTCCTCTGCAGGACCGCGCCGCCAATGCGGAGCTGCTGCGGAAATGGAGTCGCACCATTTTCTTGACCACCGAGGATCTCGATGCCATTCGCGCATTGTTTGGTGAAAAGGTAATACGCCTTGAACTTCCGGTCGGCATCGTAAGCTCACATACTGACGAGTTCAGGTCGCTTTCTACTTCGCCTTCATTCACTGCTACTCCTGTTTCTTGATCTTTCCGGCCGCCTGGGGCATATTCTGTTGGTTCTATCTGGGCCCCTATTCAGTTACGTGTGCGGTGGTTACCTGCATTTGGGGTATCGTGTTTATCGAATACTGGAAGACTCGCGAGCTGGACCTGAGCCTGCGTTGGAATGTTCGAGATGTAGGCTTTCTGAAGGTGAACCGACCGGAGTGGGTTTGGGACAGAGAAATCCAGAACCCGCACACCGGGGAAACCATCCGCGTGTTTTCCGCTCATCGACAGTTCCTTCGCCAGCTGCTACTGATCCCCTTTGCGACCGTGGCAAGTGTGGCTTTGGGTACCTTAATCATTGTGACCTTCGCCCTGGAGATTTTGGTGTCGGAAGTGTACAATGGTCCAATGAAGGGATATCTGGAGTTCCTTCCCACCGTTCTATTTTCACTCTCGCTACCTTCCATCACCAATTTATTGACGGAGTTTGCGAAGCGGTTGACCGACTACGAGAACTACCGCACGCAGGATCAATACGATCTGGCTCAGACGGCCAAGACATTCGTGATGCACTTTATTACGGCCTTTTTGCCCACCCTACTGACCGCATTTGCGTACGTCCCATTCGGAGGCAAGATTGCGCCCTATCTCGACGCGCTTCGGGAACGTGGTCTACTTTCAGCCAACCTGGCTCGAGAGATCCATATCGACACTTCCCGCCTGCAGCAGGAAGTGATTTATCTGTCCATGACCGCCCAGGTTCTGAACTTCGGGGAAGAGATCGTACTTCCTTATGTGAAACAAACCCTGATGCATAAGTGGCGTGACTGGCGCGAAGGTCGGGACTCGTCGCGTCATCCCCGCCGTTATTCGCAACGGACCGACCAACTCCTAGTCGATGCCCCGGAAGAAGCCTCGTTCCTCTCGCGTGTCCGTGACGAACTCGATGCGGATGAGTACAATGTCCACGATGATATTCTGGAGATGTGCGTCCAGTTTGGATCTTTGGCCCTGTTCGGTGTTGCATGGCCCTTGGTATCCCTGGGATTCTTGGTCAACAACTGGCTGGAACTGCGTGGGGATTTCTTCAAACTCAGTCTGGAGTGTCAGCGACCCGCTCCCATCCGCGCTGATTCAATCGGCCCATCGCTCATGGGCCTGGAGGTGCTCAGCTGGCTCGGTACATTGTCGACGGCCGCCATCGTGTACTTGTACCACGATGGACTGGAGGAAATCCACCTGTCCTCTCTCCTTCTGACTCTCCTCCTTGCCGAATGGGCCTATGTCGCGGTCCGCTTCATTGTGCGGAGCGGACTTGAAAGGATCAGCTTCATCTCACTCCGCCGCGAGGAGTCGAAGCGGTACGCGATGCGGAAGCGCTACTTGGAGGCCACCTCTGGCCGGGTGTCCCCTCGGGCTAAACCCCGCGTGCGGTTCCAGGACCGCGTGAGTGTTTTCTCGTCATCCACGGACGTCCCCGGTACCAAGGAAGACTTCCTGCATCCGGGCCATGATGGAATGGGCCGGGGAGGACGGTTCTGGTCCTGGGCGCCCCAAGAAACAGCGGACGCAGGCGTTCGGCTGATCAAGGCGCTGAATGGTAACATGGACGGCTCGAAGACGGGCCCTGTGAAGGGAGCCAAGGGGGCTTGATTAGAGCCCCATCCGCTCATTGTATATTGTCGATCATTTGTCTTGTTTTGGATTCGAACCGTCGCGGGTAGATGGTCAGCCGAGCCTGCCGGGCGGAAGAAGTGGCCTATGGGATAGGCCACTGGCTGCCTTAGATTAGCAGTTGCTGCTCTTTCATTCGTTCGACCTTACTTAGTAGTAGTAATAATGATGCATGGATGCATTGGGATGTTTGTTTGTTTGCGTAGGGAGTCGGACATACCAACCCGATTGGGAAAGACGGATGCCTGGCTGGCTGAATGAAGATCGTGGCTTGTCATGCCGCTGCCCCTCCTTTCTCTCTTGGCCAATCTCCCCCTTCGCAGTTCCCAGCTGTCATCATGGCCCAACTGACCCGTAAATGCACCCATTTACAATCGAAACCTTCCTGCCAGATCCATGGGAACGGCGAGACAGCCGACTTGGCTCAGCCCTATAAGGCACGCCAAGTGCGGAACCTCCCCTCGAAGCGACCAGCCAATCAGGGGCGGGGCTTGCCGTGGCTTCCGTCCATCTGGATTTTGGCTGCCCGCCGACCGGGAAGAAAGACAAGTCCAACTTGCAAGTGAGGTGGAGTGAGTGGATGCTCCAGTCTGCATTTCATTCTTTCTCCCCGGCCGTCTCCTCCTCTCCTCTTTTCCTCTCCTCTCCCCTACCCTTCCTTTCTTCTCTCCTTCCCCTTCCCCTCCCCTTCTCCCTCTCTTCTTGTCCTTCCTCCCCCTCTTTCCACCGTCTCTTTGCCCAGCTCTTCCATCCTGTCGGTCCCACGCCCGTGAGAGGAGCTTGCCTCCTCTGGCCTCCTGCCCCGATGCCCCCTTCGCAGGATAGCTTGTCCTCTTTGGTCTCCGACAAGGTTTTTCATCAGGAAGAGCATGAGACGGGCGATTTCCCCCCGTCGTCGGTCACTCTCGTCCGCCACAGACGGAAGCTTGTTGTCACCAATCCGGCCTGGTACCGGAACAGTTTGTTGGCCAGCGTGGGCTTTCTCGAATTCGCCAACGCAGGCGACTTCGCAGCAAATGTGTGGAACGACGTACCCGTACCGTTGTATGCGGTCATCTTCATGGCCATCGGGGGTCCATTAGCCCTCCTCATCAGCGTCGCTGCGCTGTGGGATGGCATCCTCAGCTGGCGAAATGTCCGCATCCTCCACACAGAACGACAGTACCTCAAGGCCCTTCGACTGCAGCATCTCGACCCACCCACACGCACCCCGGTAGATCAGGCTTCCGTCCGGCTCATTGACCACCGCCTCGGCGTTAGTTTTCGCGAGTTGGGCTCCGAACTCATCGACCGCGTCGTCATGGATGTATTTCTTGGCATCGGTGCCCTTCTGGTCGGCACCGGCACGATAATGGCTATTTGGGGTGCACATCGCTACATCTACTACATCAGTAATCTCCTCTCCGGCTTTGTGGGCAACTCTTTCGCTGCCGCATATGGTGTTCTTAACGCTGTTTGGTCCCTCTATCTCATTTGGCGATTCCACGGACACGACCGTGCATGTATGCGCTCCGCTGCCGCCGCACCCTTTCGCGATCGCCTTCACCGACGATTCCAATACTTCAAGTGGCATTCTCTTGTCAGTGGGATCACGGGACTGGTGGCAGGTGCAGCCTCAATGCTCACCTGTAAACGGTGGTGGGGATATGTTATGTTGATCCCCTGCATGCTATTGGAGGTAGGCTGTAACCAGTTTTGGCGGGTTCAGCTGGGCTACGATCGTCCGATTGTGACCGAGCATCCGCACTGGGGCTTGATCCCCGATTATAGAGAAAGTAAGGAAGATGAAGAGAAGGACAGCATCCTCCTCGACACGCTGGCGTCCGTCATTGGCATGCAAAATGCCCTGACACCGCTTCCGACATCCATGATTGACGTCGACTGGACCTCGCTCGATTCCCTACTCTCGTTCATTGTCAACAACCATCTCTTCGATTCTCTCTGCGGCTGGCTCGCAACGCACTCCTCTGTGCAAATAGACTTCAAAAACGGCCTGTTCCGCTTATCCGCGGAGTACAAGGAAATCACTTTGACGCTGGCAGACTTTCGCAGTCTGCCCGATGCCGAGCGTCCCCGACTTCATCAATTTTGTCAGGACTTTTTATATACCGAGGGACGTCAGGTAATGCTCGGCCGGGAACGTTATTTATTGGAGATGGTCGGGTACACCGCTTGGAAAGATGGTTGAAATTACTCTCATATATTATGCCGTAAGGTGTGCATCCGTGTATATAAGCATGAAGAGTGATGATACTGGCATGCGGCTACGGAGACTCGTGCCGGCACACGAGTCATGACGACTCTATATAAATGACTAATGTTTGTTCCTGTTGCATCATATCCACCGATCCTGCAGTACTCCTCAAGCCACGTATTGTAATTATATTTGTAAAAGAAAAGTGGAGAGGAACCAACTGTTTTACGTCAAAGAAATGACCGCGGAGGAAAAACACGGAAGTAATATTCAAGTATTTCATTAGCAATCTATTATGATTCTAGATCTTTTATGCAGCGAAAGACGCATGCATGTTGACAGTATGTAGACATGAATTTGAAAAGCGAGAGGGAGAAAAAAAAAACATTGGGACGCTGTTAAGGTATGAAATTCTCATGCTTCGTTCGTTCATTCTTATGAAATCGATAATTGGCCCATAAATGCTAATTTTGTGTAATGCAAAGCGAAGCTAGTTGGCGATGCAAAAGACCGTAGTCTGTATGGAGATGTAGATGTAGATGCGAGTGTATTGATGCAAGAATGGAAGAAGAAGGCAAGCTAGAAACTGAACAATCCACTTCGTCGCTTTCCGAACGGATAAACCACCAACGCAGCGACAAATAATCCGACGGTGATGCCGATGGCGACTTGGATCATGCCGAAACCGAGCACGTTATTTGACATGTCGCTGGAGGATGAGCTAGAGCTACTACTTTCGCTGGAATTTTTTGTGACGTTGGATCGGATCTCGTCTGCGGTGTCGACGCCCGTGATTAGGGATCCGGTGGCTGCTAGACCTGATGGGACGAGGACGAAGATGGCTGGGAGGACGGCTGCGGCGGCATGGCCGTGCCAGAGTCGACTGTAGAGGTTGCCCATGACTCCGACGGTGAAGGCGCCGACGGTGTTGGCGACCTGGGAGTTGGAGCCGAGGCGGGAGCTGACGAAGTAGTTGGTGACGTAGCCGGCTACTGAGATGGATATCATGATCGGGGACTGTTTCCATTTGCCTTGGTTGACGACTAGAAGACAGAGAGAAAATGCAGCGACGAAAGGAAAGCGTTGAGCATAGGCGTTTCCAAAGCCTCCACCCGCGGGACAAGATAGGTTGGATGTTGCCTTGGTGTCGATTAGGCCGTAGATGGTGGTGCCGACTGTGACTCCGTAGCCGAGGAAAAGCGAGTAGATGATGGCGTAGACCATGCGGATGGAGCCGGCCACGATCTGGTGCGATTGTAATTCCAGGCTGCTGCAAAGGACCGTGTATCCAGGGAGGATTAAGGCGATGGAGGACTGCGCGATGGCGGAGAAGCAGAACAGATAATCGCTGGTTCCGTTAGTGAAGGCCGTTGATTTGATACTGCCAAATGCGCGGGCAAGAAAGGAGGTGAACACTGCAGCAGTCACCTCGAATACGTTGGAGTAGAGAACTGAACGTGGTGCCAGGACATGCTGCATACATCCAAGAAGACAGCCATTGAAGAAGATCAGGGGCATGTCGATCGGTCGTGCATTAAACGCGAAAGGGCCAACCATAGCTGTGGCAAGTCCGTACACAAAAACGATAATCCATTTGTTGAACCGAGGCTTCTTGGTCATTAGTTCCTCCAGTTCGTTGCCCGCTTCTTCGATGCCAATCATGTCGTGTATGACATTCTTGTACACGTTGTGGGTATCAGCCAGCCGGCCCAGGTCAACCCCTTGGACAACCCGGACTAATTTGACTTCAGTAGTCCTGGTGCTGGGGTCATCGAAGGACATGATCATGCATCCCGGAACATACAGGAACTGGCTGTCGACATCCAACACCTTGGCTGTCACATGCATGTACTCTTCCAGTCGATGGGTAGGGGCCCCAAACATCATCAGCGCCCTGCACAACTGCATGATGTATCTCTGTCGAGCGATAATCTCTGCGATCTGTAGGGTCACCTGGATCTCCTCCTCAAGTCGCATGCTGTGCCTTCGATGCTTGTTCTGCCGTCTAGACGCCGCAGTCAAAAGCTCTCCGGTAATGGGCGTACTTGCACCGCTGGCACTACCAGCTCCGACCAAGGTCGATGTCGAAACATTTCCTTGTTTCTTGTACCATCGTACTTTCTCCTTTCGAGGAGTGGTCGCACCTGGTGTACTCCCACCAAATGGATAGAACATATCACTGGCCAGATTGAGTCCCCGTGCACCTCTTTGAAACTGATCCCAGCCGCCGCTAAGCCTGAGGAGCTGGGAGAGAACACCTCCCGATGCAGAACCGCGCCGAGGGTCCTCTTCACGCTCGGAATCATCATCGTTGCAAGGAACTCCTGCGGCACGATGTAAGGCCGACTCTCTACGGGTGCTAAGACGACGACCGGAAGGATCATGTGCTAGTTCACGGACGATCCGATGTGCTTCGGTACTACTAGTGAACTGGTCCCGGTTCTCTTGTCCATGATGAAGGTCAATGTCTGTGCTGCGGCGCCGATGGTCAATGGGTTGTAGGTCATCTTCACTGATTTCATCTGGACGACCGAGACGAGCAGCCAAGTTCGAAGCCTTTGTTTTGATTGAATGCCTGAACGCTCTTAGACGCTCTCGTTTCGACTTTTTCTCGCTTCCTGTGCTGGACTGCCGATCCTTATCGTTCGCAGCTTGTATTCTCCCCGCATTCGAAGGTTGTGTAGGTCTGCTGGATGCATCGGTGATGTCAAGTGACGTCTGGGTGGATGGACGGCGTCGTAGGTGAGATGTGCCAGGAGATATAATGCCCTCATCGGTACTCCTGCTTCCATATTCGAATCTTCGATCTTCTCCGAAGCGAACTCGATGGATGCGTTGCGGGCTGCTAGGCAAGGAATCGCTATCGGGTGTGAGATTGGCTCTTTTCTCATCGTCGAAGAAGCCTGGATTCGGTCTCTCAACACTGTGATAGCTCATCAAAGAACTCGAGCTCGACTGGCTACTGGGTCTGTTCTCGGGTTTTTCGGACATGGTTTTCGTTAGTCCAGGGTATCAAAGTGTGGGCGGTGATTCTGTCATAATATCAGTGCCATGGATCGCAACAGCCGCGTCGTTATCCACCTACTGGAAGGCTCCAAGACCCCGGGGATATGGAGGTACAAAGGATGCAACACTGTGTGAGTCACCAGCCGACAAGAAAGGCAAATCCCCTTCCAGGTCGAGTGGGAAAGTCCCTCAGGAAGTCGACTCCATTGAATGAGAGCTACCCCCGCTAAGCGAGTTCCTCCTGTCTAGAACAGCGGAGACAAGACAATAAGGGAATTGTGTGATTTTCTCTGCCCTACGATTGTAGCCAGATCGGACGAGTGAATAACCCGCCACGGAGGCAAGTCTGTTGCGACCATCGGGTAGACGTCATGGAAAAATGGATCCGCATGGCACCTGCTGGGGTCGGAGACGATAAGAGGCCAGGGAAGATGTAACCTTATCTGGCCGGCAACAGAGTCGATGACGCATCTCGTTCCAGCGGTCCGGTCTAGGCTTTGCAGTGAGTGTTTCTCATCAATGTGGTCAACGGTCAGCAGTCAAATGTAAATAGCTGACAGACCCCACAGCCTCTGCGTGTCAGGAACAGCGTCGTGTTTTTCCCTGGTCAGGAACACGCCTGCTCGGAGTAAGATCGGCCAACAATGAAGCCTGGACCTCAATGATCGGCCCGAAACTGGCTGAAGCCAAGCAGACTTTGCTGTGACAATTGTAACGTTGTTGTACCTGATGACTTTATCGGGGGCAATGACAAGGCGGAGTGAGATTGCCTGAAGAGAGGGATATGGTGTTCACATGAAGATGACTTCATTTCACAGCCCCTCTTCAGTCACGTGGCCTCATGTGTTTCCAAGACAACAATTCAGCACAATCTCTGTCCTTGATGATAATCATTGTAGGAACCCTCAAGTACAAGGTTTGTCACAACCTCTAAGGCTCAAGAAAGTTACAAGCGTGGTTCCATAATTGGTCGGTGATAGCTTCAACATCCTATTCAGATATCCTGAAAGCAATATAATAAAGGGACCGCTAATTCCTAACCAGCCATTGCGATACGTAAACAATCTTTTAAGCATAATGGTGCCCCATTTTCTGGCCTGTCATAGTGCTCATCTACCGGGGTCTCCTGCCATGGATCATGTCAGCCACTTGAATGGATAACATAAGCGGAGACCATGCCTTGGGTCTTACCCACGTATCCTTTCAAAATTCATGATCTCTTTCAAGATAGCTTTGTTTCTCTATGCGCAGGAAAATATCTTAACTACTGGCAAGCTTCTCTATGACAACAGCAGCGGTGTTTGGCTGTACAGGAGCGGTGGGCTCCCAAATTCTCGCTACCCTCCTAGTTCCCATCAATCAAGACTATCTCGAGGAGACTCCCCAAACTTCAGTCATCTAAGCTCCAAGCCCTCGAGGAAAGCGACGTCTCAAAATTGGCTGGCATGGTTGCCTCTCTGTCCCCTAAGCCGTCATTGGTCTTTAACGCAGTCGGCACGACAAGAGCGGCAGCTGGCGGAATCCAGAATCAGTGGAAGATCGATCATGACTCGTGCATCGAGAACGCCCGAGCAGCCAAAGATGCGGGTGTGAAGACGTACGTAATTATCTCCAGTGCTGGGACCAGAGGCGTTTTCTCTGGCTACGTGCCTTGCTCGAAGATGAAGGTTGGGGTGGAGGATTCTATCAAGGAGCTCAACTTCGAAAACTCAATTATTTTGAGGCCGGGGATGATCCTCGGAAGTGATACACCAAAGGCACCATTGTCGGAGAGCATTGTGGGAAACCTCGATAAGTTGGGACAGGGTGTTCAGGATTTGATAGGTATGGCGAACCAAATAAATGATTGGATCTCCGAAGACTCTGGTTCTAAACTGTAGCCTGTGGGTCAAGATCAGACTATCATCGGTCGAGCAGCGGTGGCGGCTGCTCGAATGGTCGCAGAAGGGAGAGCGCTGTCGAAATATTGGGTTGTCGAGATGGCGGATATCGTCAAGTTGGGAAAATATCTAGAAGCTATAATGCTCCGTTTGTTGTGTTGAAAATATCATGATGAAGCCATCATATAAGCTTAGATACTAGTAGATCAGCTGATCTGCCGGCGGAGCAGGCAAGAATAGCCAGTCCGATTTCTCCCTCCCTCCGCTCCAGGTCACGTTCGTCATTTGATCACCGCAAGCGCAGCCCTTGCATCTCTGGGATGATAGTCTTTCCATACTGGTCCAGCCATAAGATCAAAAGTTCTCATCAGAAAGGAATTTTAATGTGGCATTCCAGGCCTAGGGTTCTCCCAAGCCTAGGCTTTCACTAAAGTCAGCCCTCTCCTCTGCTGGTGGGCTCGATAGAACCCTTCGATGACACGGTAGCACCATGAAGATAGTTGAGCATGTGCATGGGATGGGTGAGCATACTTCATGAGGAGTCGGAATAAGATACTGGGATGAAGATGTCATGGTTCATGAGTGGGGAGACGCCACAGTGCAAAGGTGAAGTCAATTCGGATCTCTAGGGAATCGGTCAGGGGAAGTGGAAGCAAGCCTCTGACGTACTTCCCGACGGCAAACATAACCTTCCTTATACTAATAACTTCGTCTATTTACAGTTCTATACCTTCGATCGTACCGCTTCGACCGGACCTTTGACCAGACCGGATCCCAAAGACCCCCTCTCACCACCAATGCTGAGGCCTAGACCTTACACATACATCCCGAGGCAGAATCACAAGACGACCATTACCATTATCCTATAACAGAGCTAATTGATTCCAGCCCGGTATACATCAATCATACCCTACACGTCACGGTGACTGTCTTGCACATGTTTGGTACTTGATTTATTGGGTCGAACCTCCCAGCTGGCTATTCCTGAAAACACAAATATCAGCTTCCGCGCCCTTGGATTGAACATAATGAGCACTTCAACCATGCTGAGCTTCTTGCACTTGCCCCATCGCTCATCTAACACCGAGTCCAGCTGTCCAACTTCGAATATGCGCTACGCAAAAATTGTGAACGAGCTTGTTGAATTGCTCAACAAATCGTTTCCTTACGCTTCGGGAATGGAGGCCCTTGAACAAGCCATCCAGTCTGCTCGTGCTCACAAAATCCCTGAGATGGACAGTTACGGTCTTATATCTGCCGCGGGATTTTTGAACTTCGCAACCTGGCTGGTTGATGGATGGATTCCCACCGAGTCAGCTAAGGGACGGGATATCTACTATGTCCTGTGCATCTTCTATTTTGTATTTGATCAAGTACCGCTCAAGGACTGCCAAACCGCGATTAGGCCTGAAAACGTGGGAAAGGATCTGTCGGAGCTCTCCCAGTGGATAGTGGATTTCGCCCAAGAAGTCGGGAATCACATGAACAGACCAGAGTCTCTGAACGAAGCATCACTCACGACCTTTTGGAACGCTCCGAGTTTCCACCTATCCGAGGCTGACGAATCTAAAACCGAGGGGGGGAAATGGAGGAACTTCAACGACTTCTTCTCTCGTCATCTCAAAGATGGCGCCCGGCCTATTGACGGGGAAGGCGACGACGGGATCGCTGTATTTCCAGCGGACTCAACCTTTTCTGGGTATTGGGAGATCACGGATGATTCAATGGTAGAGCTGAAAGGTCTACCTTGGCATATTGGGGATCTCCTGGGTCCATACAAATCCGAATACGGGGACTCTTTCAAGGGCGGTATCTGGCTACATTCCTTCTTAAACACGTTCGACTATCATCGCCAACATGCTCCGGTGGGCGGTACAATCAAGGTAATTGACGTTATTCCTGGTGCGGCTTACCTGGACGTTGAGTATCAGAAAGACACTCGTTCCCTTGTGCCAAAACGCCCCATGCGCCCAATCTACTCTTCGGGACCCGTTTTCAGGGGAGCTGAAGCGACCGATAAAGAAGGATACCAGTTTCTGCAAGCACGGGGTATCATCATCATTGAAAACGACAAGCTTGGCACGGTTGCTGTGCTGCCAATTGGTATGGCGCAAGTTTCTTCCGTGGTAGTCAGGGACGACCTTGAACCAGGGTCCAGCATCAAGAAAGGCGATGAAATCTCGCACTTCGAGTTCGGAGGGTCGGATATAGTGGTGATGTTCCAGGAGAACAAAATTGACATCAAGAGTCTGCCGCAGCCATTGTCACGCAAACCGGAAGAGCGCTTGTATGAGCACCACAATTACGGGGAGATGCTCGCCAGAGCCAAGACCAAGGGCAAATCCTAGACCGGCGTCTTGCAAAAGTATTTCGTGTTTTTCTTCGGCGGAGTTAGGGATCCTATTCAAACGACAGATTGCCAACAAACAAAGGATCTTGCAGTCATGCGTATCTATGTTGTGATTACAGACAGATTGTTCAACCATAGTATGTATTCCACGGATATCTCCAAAGTGTGATGGTGCTTGTAGTGAATGACCTTCAGTAAAGCCTGGCTTAAGTAGATAGCAAGAACTGGTAAGTTGTGCGCTATTCAAGAAGACCAGAACCGGGGAGGGTATATATTGTTCTTACTGCTTGAAGGAAACTCCATTCATGCACTTCAGACATAGTAGTAGTAGCTCCTTCCCGGATCATACCTTCCTATTTTGTGGAAGGGGTTTATCGAATCCCGCCCATATTTCCACGGCACCAAAAAAAAGGGCCCTGTGTTCATTCTCTACCTTATCACTTTTGCGTCCTGAGGATATTCATAGACTCTATCACATTTATCCAGTCCTTTGCGTATTACTCTACCCTTGTCTTCGTCCAGTCGGCATTCCTGATGGATTTCAACGATCAACAACGGGATATGGCCTCCATTTCAAATCCAACTCCGGACAACTCGGTTCAGAGCGAAGATCCCTGGTGCATCAACGACCGACGTAGGGTCAATATGCCTGGGCACCTTGGTCAGCTTCCTTTCTCGGCATAGGCAGTACATTCTTCTCGCTAATCCTTCCCAGAGGAACTTTTAGCTGCGCAGGAGCAGTTGACTGATGGTAATATCGCTAGTGAGACCCAGTCGTATTGCCGGCTGTCCATAATCATGACATACCTGCCACTCGCTGTGCTCACGACTAAATCGGCACAAGGCTCCTATCTACCACCTCGTCCAATGCAGATGCCGCTCGATACTATTCTAAGTTCATTTTACTGGGCGAATCCATTTCAGGAACATGGAAATAAATTGCACTCCTGCAGCATTCAAGCAGATTACATCCTGATGTTCGGTTCATTCACCTCCCTGGATACGAATCTCATTGTGGTCAGATCGGCGGCTTTGAATGAAGACCGGTTACGACCGCCGCTTGAGCAGATGTGTAAGTCATCGTCTAATGGAATGTTCATGAAACCTTTCTGATATATTAATGGAACAGGTGCATTGCATCATGATCGAAGATTGGCTGGCCGGGATGCCGATATCTATGGGATCACTACAGATAGCTACATTTGGATCTTTGAGCATCTGGACAACAAGAGCAAGGTACATCACCCCATCACTACGTGTATAAATACACAGACTAACCGATTTCTCCACCAGTTGACGCGCCGGGTGTTCGATTGGGAGAACGGGCAGGGGCTAGAAATTCTCAACCATATTGCTCACATCCTGGACCAGGCAGCTACAAGGGCATTGAGGTCACGCGACAGCACTCATTGAGGTTGATAGTATCGGCACTGATGATATTGTTTCCAGAAAGTCCACTGAGATTGTCTCGTGGTACTTTACTGTGTTAGATAGAAGAAGAGTACTAGGTCCTGGCCTGCGGGAAGCCCCCAGCCCAAGGCATTGTGAAGCGCCTTAGTAAGCAACATGCATTTAAAGAGCTTCGTCAAGCGCATGTAAAGGGCTACTAAAGGGCTCCATCGAGCGTTACTAAAGGGCTCTGTTGAGCGCTCCTAAAGGGCTCTGTTAAGCGCTTTTAAAGGGCTCAGTCAAGTACTTAAAAACGCAGTACTTAATTCAGACCTACAGTCTGAATATAGACTGGGGGGCCTTCCCCCCCCCAGACCCCCTCCGAGACCCTTGTTAGGCTGAAGCGGTGAGTACAAGCAATATAGTTTAAGTCACGTTACGAGTGAATCGAACAACCAATCAGGAAGCTGAAATTGAGCAAACTATCGGACCAATGAGAAGTCTTGGAGCTGGAAACTTCCCTAGTAGGACTGAACCTAGTATTGCTCAGCGCTAGCGCGCTTCGCAAATTAATATATCCGGCTGAATAGCCGTGGATCTCCCGAGAGTTCGCTAGTCCTGCTTAGGCATAGTTAGTGTGGCGCTAAGGAAGAATGTGGCTGACATCAGCCATCGCACCACCTCACTTTCTCTCACTTTCTCTCCAAACCTGTGGATGATTCCCCCGACTTGGCCGCTTAATTTTTGCGCAGTCATTGGCCAGTAGATATAGTATACCATGCCACCGCAAACTCGAGGGGCGCAGGAGAGCGAATCCGTGGAAAAGGAAAGACGGAAACCTGTCCGCCGTGACCCAGAGAGGAGACGGCAACAGAACATTCGAGCCCAGCGGAAATACCGTAAGTGCGGGTCTTTTTGAGAAAAGGTGAGTACTGATTATCTGTCTAGGAGAAAAGCTGCGCGAGCGCATGAGCCACCTGGAAGCGCTTGCAGAAGCTACTGTACAGACGCCCGCCGTTGAAAGAGTACCCGCTGCGGGCACAGGCCCATGCAGCACACCAACTAATCTTTTTACGGAAAGCCTCCCAGCTTATGATGCTTCGGACGTATCTATTTCTAGTGTATCTGTGGCGACTCTGGGGGAATGCCAACACCTTATCCAACAACCCGATAACACTCCCTCGGCACTAACAACCCACGTCCCACATTCCGGTGGACCCCCATCAACGTTGGATGTGTGGGACCCCACCCCATACATCGATCCTTCCCTGCTCGCTCTCGATAAACCCAATGACAGCCTTGAGCTATACTGGACGACCACCATCGATTGCGGCTGCTCCAGCCCACACTACCGCGTATGGACAGAATGCGCAAACCCACATGGCGAGGTCAGGATATTCAGATTTGGATCGAGTGCACCCATAGCCGATCCATATGCCAACAATCTTCGCATTGATAGAGTCTGCACTGTGGCTGCACTGTATACTCTCGTAACGCATCTTGGAATTGACGAGGAGGTGCTCTGTGCTGACGAAGCGCTCTCACCATTCTTTCGGTCCACCGCGGGGTTGACGGATGATGTGACCAAAGCAAACATAATATCCACGGTTCAGGGAGCGTTCAAGGCCTTAAAGCCGGACTTGCGGCCGAGCAGTGAGCAAATAGCCGTCGAGCATCATCCATGGATAGATATTCTGCCCTTTCCGACGTTACGAAAGAACCTCATCACCCATCAGAAAGACATTGACGAGGATGACTTCTTCCACGACATGCTGACCGGTTTGGTATGTTGGGGAGGTGCGGGCATCGGGAAGAGGGATCGGCAGCTCTCCACTGGATATGCTTCGACGGGTACGCCATGGGATGTCCGTAGCTGGGAAGCAAAGGTATGGTTTTTGAAGAAGTATTGGATGTTGCTTGGTGGTGAAGATGGGGAACTTGTACGGCAGAGTGAGTGGTGGCGCAGTATCAGGGGAGACGACTCGATAGCCGCATAGTACATTCTAGAATTACATACCTTCAGTGACGATTTCCAGCTTTCTAGTATCGTTTTATACCATACCCTATGTTTGTCGGTCAACTTCTCCTCAAACTACGTATTACAGACTGTGCATTATCCCGAGGATATGGTCTAACAAATAGTGCTGTAGACAAATTCTCTGCAAAAAATCCTCCAAATGACAATGTCGCATTCCGGAAGTGACCTCCTCAGGCATTCGTAGATGGGGAATTCCATTGGATCCTCAGAGGGGTAACTCACTTGGGTTTCCCAACGTGTGCTGTGTTACCGGGCCAAATTTCCGCCGACTGGGTTTTCCTTGTGTACCTTCCAGCCTCCCCCCTCTCTCTTATCTTACTTCGAGGCCGCGATGCGTCGTATTTAGGTATTCTACCTCTACATTCACTCACTGATGCAAAAGAGTCGGTTTGATACAAGACTTGTGAGATTTAGCGGACATACTGCTGTTCAAGGTTTGTGTGGCTGCAATATTCACTCTTTGAGGCTGAGACTCACTAGCCTTTGCTCAAACAAACAGACAACGCACCCAACTGCCGTCTCCTACAACACTCAATGGAACGTCTCGAATACTGGACTTCGGGTTTTAAGCCAAACAGACCAATACCGCCTAACTCTGCTGTTGGAGCGGATTTTCATCCACCAGCAACAGAACGAAACACACCCACTACGGACGAACTACCCCGGCGACGTTTGGGATGTACAGGATATACGAGAAGAGGAGGTGGCCCCCAACCTTCCAGTATCCCATCAATACTCTATGATGCCCACCCGATGAATATTCCCAGCCCAGCATTGAACCCTAGGACAGGGATTTTGCCAATGGCCGATGCCACTTCTGCAGATTACGCCCCAGCAGGCTCTATATGCCAGGCTTGCCATCTTTATGAGACAAGTCCTGACAAGAGCTCTCGCACATCATGGACTAAAACACCCCCTACTGATCTGGTTGGACCAGCAGAGAATTCCGAGTCAGGCCAGTACGCGCTCCTCGTCCGAAATGTCAAGTGCTACAGCGGACGTAAGAACCTCGAGATACATTCGATCGTGGTACAGAGTGGCCATCTCAAACGTGTTCTGGCCGATGTCATGCGTGGCTATCCCCGTCTCACCATGGAACTCGAGCGCGTCGAATTTGCCAGTCCCTTTGAGCCGTTTGTCCACCGCTGGAAGAAGTTCACCAAAGCCAGAGACACTGAGTCTGACGAGGCGGTCAAAGCCCACATCGATTTGCTGTACAATATTTTGGAAGGAGAGCTGCACGACGTTATCTCTCGCAAGAACGATCTGGTCCGCAACGGTGTGATGACTTATGACTCGCTCTGGACGATCTTCGAGCCCCATCAGGCCGTTTTCAGCATCGTTAACGGCCGCAGGCGTATCTTCAAGATGGAATCCAGCGAGGTCGACCCCTTCTCGAGAACCTTCGTAATTGCCGCGACCTATGTTGATTTTGACGGAACCAAATTCGGGCACATGCCGCATCACCTTTTCATCCCATACTACGAGGGCACCAAGCCCATTATGTCGTTGTCGGTATTCCCTCTTGTATACCATGGCGACCAAGCCCTCATTCGCAAGGATCTGATCTCCCGTGGAAAGCTCTGGTCCGAGTACAAAGGCCATCACTACAAGCAGTACGAAGGCCTAGCTCTAACTAAAGGTACGAATGGCTACAACGTCAAAAGCCGCATCATCATCGACGCAGAGGCATACAAAACCTTTAACCCCAGCGATTCCTTAGCCGTCTCCGGAAATATATCCGACAAACTAACAGACAACCACTTGTTAATCGCAGCCCCCGTTCTGCGTGGCTACTCCCTCAAAGACAAAAGATGGCTGGAATTCTTCATCGACGGCGTATCCGACATTGTCTGGAACGCGCGAGCCTTTGACTCCCTGGTCCTTCCCCATGGCCATCACGATCTGAAGGAGCTAATCCTTGCCTTTGCCCAGACCCAGTCTAGTAACCTCGACGTCTTCGACGACGTCATCCAAGGCAAAGGCCGCGGAGTCGTCATGCTGCTCAGCGGATCCCCAGGGGTCGGCAAGACCCTCACAGCCGAAAGCGTCGCTGAAGTCATGCAAGTCCCTCTCTACGTCCTCAGCGCCGGCGATCTAGGCACCAGTGCATCGCGCGTGGAAGAGAACATGAAACCCGTCCTCCGCATGGTTCCAAAATGGGGTGCCATTCTCCTTCTCGATGAAGCCGATGTCTTCATGCAAGCACGCGATCAAAGCGATCTGCAGCGAAATGAACTCGTCTGTGTGTTCTTGCGACTACTCGAATACTACGAGGTAGCCTCCCCCTCCCCAACACCACAACATCATCAAATTCAACTAACACACTAAACACAACCTAGGGGATCCTCTTCCTAACAAGCAACCGCGCCGAAACCATCGACCGGGCATTCGAATCTCGCATCCACATCTCCCTCCGATACCCAGACCTCAATGCCAACTCCCGCCGCCAGATCTGGATTCAGCTCCTTGGCGACTCGGTCAAATTGAGATTCTCTGAGCAACAACTTGACGAGTTGGCAGGTCATAACTTGAACGGAAGACAGATAAAAAATGTGCTCAAAACCGCTAGTCTTCTTGCTCGTCGGCAGGAAATGGTTCTGTGTCATGGACATATTCAGACTGTCTTAAGAGTGAGGGCGGCGCATTCTTAGTTAGATTGATTAATTGGTTGGGTAGGTAGAGTGAAGGAGGCATTTATTCGTTCTTCGTCTTTATATGAATTTGTTTGTCTTTGGGTTTCCTGCTCTAAAGATTTGATTGGTTCTAAGGATGGTCGTCCACGCATAATACTTACTTGACTGATAGTTTCACATTTTCATGTGAGATAGAGATTCTTTCGGGTGATCAAGCTTAGACGATGTATCTATTGCGATGAATTTATTGGCTATTACTGAGCTACATTCCTCTCATTGATCATAGTGTGATACATTGGAGGTTTTACTTGGTCGACAACATGTAGAATTTCCCTCGATCGTTTTGTCTCTTGGGGTTATTTGGGTCCGTCGTTCATTTCAGCAAATTTGTGATATTTTCCATGCTACAAACATATAAACTCGGCTTACCGCCTAACATACCTCGTTTTTGTAGTGACATGAAAGAATAGAGTGGCAGGTAAATCGAATACAGGGGATTTAAGGATGCCATTGGACAGGTATATATTTTCATGCTGGGATTCTATACTAGTAGCATTAGATAGATAAGATAACTGCGGGTACAAAGCCGTGAAGAAAAGCCCCATGCTATGAAACTGTGAAGTACCTGCTGACTACCACAGGTTGTCTTGAATGTCTGCCTCTGGGTCATGGTGAATCTGGAGAAACCGTACAAACCGGTTCCTGTTCCCTTGACTGGATGGGGAATGCCGTGGGGCCGCCGAGGGGTGGGGCCGCCTGACTAAGGCAAGCCGGACAGATCGCCCCGACACGCCAGAGTAAGCAGCATTTGTTGATGTATGAGTTGCTATACTCGGTAGTCAAGGGTATTGCAGGTTGATGCCGATTGACTTGAGCGCGTTAAATAGCTACGAGTGAATTGGGTAAAGTAGCTTTTGAAGTGGGAACCGCCGCTAGGAATGAGCGGACCTGAATGTCAGATCACATGACCGTGACGGATGGCCAGACCGCCTGGGATTCGCCGCTCGTATTTATTCCTGCAAAAAAAACTTTCCTGATCTCGTCCAGGTCAGGCAAATCCCCTGCATCCCCCGGTCCCTTCTTGGCCTCTGGAGTCTTCTGTCCATCAAGTGCCTCTGAGCAGACAGGAAGACACTTACGATATCACCCACCTCGGCAAGATGCAGCCCGTTGCTCACCAGTCGGGAGGCGCGTCTGGAGATCCGCTTCCGCCGACACTGCCGACCGAGACATTTCAAGAGAAGGCCAGCGTGTCTAGCCTGGGATCATGGTCCCATTTGATCGCCGGCGCGTGAGTTGTCCTGATGCTCTGCTGGGAGCTGAATACTGATGATTAATAGGTCCGGTGGTATGGTCACAGCGATTGTCACGAGTCCTCTTGATGTTCTTCGCACCCGGTAGGATACCTGTTCGTCCTTTGCACACGAGCTTTGCACGCTAATACACTCTTTCTTTTCAGCTTGCAAACCGATTATTACCAGACACAGGCCACGAACCGTCCGCTTCCCATACAACCGCACATCCGCCAGTCATTCGTCCGGTCTTCGATTCACCATTTCCGTGAGACATTTGGCATCCTCTTCTCCATCCACCGGGTTGAAGGATGGCGGGGTATGTTCAAAGGCCTGGGTCCTAGCCTGACGGGCGTTGTCCCGGCCAGTGCGGTGAAGTTTTACACATATGGCAACTGCAAACGCCTCCTGCCGGAAATCCTGGGATGCGACAAGGATACAACTCTTGTGCATGCCATGTCCGCCGCATGCGCTGGTATCGCCACCGGATCTGCCACCAACCCCATCTGGGTGGTGAAGACCCGTCTCCAGCTCGACAAAGCCGGAGCTCGTCGATACAAGGGCAGTCTGGACTGTGTCAAGCAGATCATGAAGCACGAGGGTCCCAAGGGGCTTTACCGAGGCTTGACGGCCAGCTACCTGGGCACTATCGAGACCACGCTGCACCTGGCCATGTACGAGCGGATCAAGGGGGTTATTTCGAAGAAGGTCGATCTAGACAACAACTCGGAAACGAATCACTTTGTCCAGGGTCTTGCTTTGAGTGGAGCGTCAGGATTGTCGAAGTTGTTTGCTTGCTTGATTGCGTATCCTCATGAGGTGAGTCCAACGCTGTGAACCCGCCAGGACGAGTCTGACAAATGCAGGTTATCCGAACTCGGCTTCGACAGGCCCCGATGGCGGACGGTCGTCAGAAGTATACCAGCATTCTGCAGTGTGCGCGGTTGATTCTGAAGGAGGAGGGTGTGATTGCGCTGTACGGCGGTCTGACGGCGCACCTTCTCCGGACGGTGCCGTCGGCGGCGATCACCATCGGGACATACGAGCTGGTTCTCAAGGTCCTCGAAGGACGCTAAGGCGTGGTGTAATGGACGAGGCCAGCCCTCGCGACTTCCCTTCTCATGTATTATAGACTGTACGATAAAAGTGGCACATAGATACCCTGTAATAATGATGTGAACAGCAACGACAGCTAGGGTTGTTTGGCGACACGGAGTTTGCATCAATCAGGGCCGTTTGTATATTACATATTTTGCGGATGATTTTCTAGCAACGTGAATGTCAATGATATGATTTTGTATTTGTTGTGTGGTTAACGTACCGCTGTAGTCTGGAGTATGCACGTCATGGAAAGAGAGCCAGGCGAAGTATGGTTCACTATTGGACTCCAGGAAGTAGTTGGGGAACTAAGTTTGGCCATGGTTCCGTGGCGCTCCTGAGTGGAGTTGCGAAGCGCAGTGAAGACTGAAGTTTGAGTCGACGGGCGCGGGACATGGCCGAAGACTTGGTTCCTAGCTGCATTGCGTACATACAGTATACGGCGTGTTTACCCGTTAGCTCTTCGCTTGTCCGAATTAGCCTGGCTGGAGATTGTATCCGTCGGCCTAACAGTAACCAGCGTAGTGACGGGCGGCATTGTGCGATGAGATCGAGCATCGACTATCGAGGGGTTAACCTGTTACTAGCCTGGGAGCCTGGGGTCTAGACGGGGGTTAGTGGCAGTAAACCAGGGACCGGGTTGGCCGCAGTCTCACTCGGGTGGGCCCGATTGCCTTTGCACCGCGCCGCCCATTGTATAGCACTGCTTCCCTGTGTTTCTTGCTGAAGACGCACCTGGTAAGTCCATGTATCTGCATGTCGTCTGATCTTATCCATCGCAGATGAGGATCCGGCGCGATGAACCGAATTTTGCTCGTGTGCCACGGTCTCCAGGGCCAGTGGCAGTGGCACAATGCGTCTCGCAGCCGGTGATCGGCGACCCACGACATCCCCCATGTGGGGAGCCGAAGTGAGGAGATGAAGAGGTCCGTGGAAGAAGATTCCCCCAGCACCAGACAGGCAGGTCGCCAGCATTCCAGGGATATCCTGACATTCCCTGTCCTTTCTTTCCATCACCTTGACAGCCGGTGCAGCAAGTCTGGCCGTTCACGCAGACAACTTGGTCCGTGGCTTGGCAAACTCAATCCGATCCCTATAACTGCTGCTCCCCGTCACCACCTCGACTGCAATCTTTTGTTCTTGGACTTCTTCGACCACCGTGTCTTGCAGCTCGATTCCGCCTGGTAATCGCGCGCATACCGAGGCAATGGTCGCAAAGGCTTCACCCACGGCCCTCTCGGCCAACTCGGGGGCGGAGGAGGCTGGACTCGCGGGTCCGGGGGATTCGCAACTGCTGGGTAAGTTTGCGACCGGTCTGAGGCGACATTGCTAACCAGAGCAGCCAAACTCGGCTACAAGCAGGAACTCCGTCGCCAGTATTCCACCGTGCAAATCTTCGCCGTCGCGTTCAGTATCATGGGACTAGTGCCCTCGATTGCATCCACCATAGCGTTTTCCTTACCGGCTGGGCCTGCGGGGATGGTTTGGGTACTATATTCTTTCTTGATTGTTGAACAGCGCTGATGGATATAGGGTTGGCTTACTGCGAGTATTTTGATTTTCTTTGTTGGATTGGCTATGGTAGGGCCCCCTTGACCTTGTCGAATTACGCTAACACAGGTATAGGCCGACATGGCATCGGCAATGCCCACCGCGGGAGGTTTATACTGGTGGACGCATTACTTTGCGGGGAAGAAGTATAAGAATGCGTTGAGTTTCTTGGTGGGCTACAGCAACACCATGGGATTGATCGGTGGAATGTGCTCTGTGGATTGTATGTCTGACTGAACCCCGCGAGGACTGCTGCTAATTTTTAGACACTCTCTCGCTTATGATCCTCGCCTGCGTTTCGATTGCCCGCGACGGCAACTGGTCCGCTTCCAACGGTACCATTTACGGCGTTTATGTCGGCCTGATCCTTGTTCACGCCTTGTGTGGCATCTTCTCGGGCCCTATCATGCCGCGCATTCAGACTTTCTGCATCTACATCAACATCGCCATCATTATCGCCACCGTGATCGCCCTTCCCGTGGGCAAGGTCTCCCGCGGGGATTTCCTTAACCCCGGCAGTTATGTCTTTGGACACGTGGACAACGACACCTCGTGGCCGACGGGATGGACCTTCATCCTTGCATTCCTGGCGCCGATCTGGTCGATCGGATTCTTTGACTCGTGCGTGCACATGAGCGAGGAGGCCTTGCATGCGGCCAAGGCGGTACCCCTGGGCATTATCTGGTCTTCAGGATGTGCATGCGTGCTGGGATTCTTAGTGCTGAGCATTCTGGCGGCCGTAATGAACCAGGATGTGGATGCGACGATCAATACGGTGTTTGGACAGCCGATGGCGCAGATCTACTATGATGCGCTGGGCAAGAAAGGGGCACTCGGGTTTATGGGCGTGCTGATCGTGATTCAGTTCCTGATCGGGTTGAGCTTGGTAGGTGTCACACAGTGGTAACATGCCATGATGCTAACGATGTTAAGATTGTTGCTGCCTCCCGCCAGGCATGGGCCTTTTCCCGAGACGGCGCATTGCCGTTTTCCAACTACTTCCGTCATGTCAGCCGGCGTATTCGCTACCAGCCTGTGCGGGCCATTATTGGTCTTGTGGTGGTGTGTATTGTCTTCGGACTGTTGTGCCTGATCAACTCGGTGGCCGCGAATGCACTGTTCTCGCTGTTCGTGGCGAGCAACTACGTGGCATGGGGAACGCCGATCCTCTGCCGGCTGATCTGGGGAAAGGAACGCTTCCGTCCTGGCGAGTTCTACACGGGATGGCTCAGTCGGCCTATTGCGATAGTAGCCGTGGTATGGTTGGTGTTTGGATTGATTCTGTCGATGTTCCCAAGCACGGGGCCGAACCCAAGCCGTAAGTCTGCCGATCCTCATCTGGAAATCATACTAATGGCACTAGCGTCGGAAATGAACTACACGATTGTGATCAACGGGTTCGTCTGGATTGCCTGCATGACGTACTACTTTTTGTTTGCACGGAAGTGGTACACGGGGCCAAAGATGACTGTCGATGGTGTAGAGGGGGATTCAGATACCGAGTCGGGGAGCAAAAGCGACGAAGCTACCGTTCACTAGGTAGATATAGACAAAACATCATATAGTCTCATATAGAACCGAATATCTCATGTACATTATAGGTATCATAACCATCATATCCCTTCCTTCCTTCCTCCCCCAATGCCCCCCTTTTACGGAGTACATCCATTCACTTTCCCCCTTCAACTCCCATCCCCAGATCAACCCCATCTACAAAGCAACCATAACCCCCAACACCCCCACAACCCCCGCCCCCAATCCCATCCCCATGCCCATCCCCCCAACTCCAGGGGTGGCCCTCACCCCCGCCCCCTCGGAACTCGTACTCGTCGCACTCGCCCCCGTCGCACTCGCACTCGTCCCCGACCCCGTCGCAGTCGTCCTAACCGTACTAACCCCACTAACCGTCTCCGTCGCCGTCGCACTCCCGCCACTCCCCGTCAACGTCGTCGTATGTTCCCACTTGGAAGTAATATCCGACACCACATCCGAGGCCTTACTTCTCGCATCGGAGGCAATACTCGACGCATCGGACCGGATATCCGACGCCACGGAGGTGCCCCAGGATGCGGCATCAGAGGCATCGGATCGTGCGTCCGAGGCAACACTCGTGCCCCAGGATTCGGCTGCTGAGGCGATGCTCGTGCCCCAGGATTTTGCGTCCGAAGCGGCGGCTCCCGCGGCGGAGGTGATGTCGCCCCCGACGGAGGTAACGTCGCCGACTATGGAGGTTATGAGGTCGGCGGTTGTGAGGGAAGTCATGGCGAGAGTTAGGAGGGGGAGGAGGGTAGTGTGGTATTTCATTTTGGTGGTTGTGGTGGGTGTGGGTGTGAGGTGAGGTTGGGAGTTTGTAGTTTGTAGTGGATGTAGTATGCAGTGGTGTATGTATGTATGTATGTAGGAGTGATAATTACGCCCCGACAATATAATACGAAAGATAGACAGTAGATAGATAAACAAATAACTCAAACCGTTCTACCCCGGGGAGAACCCCCCAATTTATACCCCCCAATCCCTTTCTCCGCCGAGGCTCAAATAAGAATCAACTCGACCGAAATTCAGGGCCACCCTCCCCCAAAACAGACAAGAATAGCATCCCTCCTCCTACGTACCCAGCCACCGTGGCAATGCCCCCCCAAACCCACGAATCACACACCCCCGGGGCATTCTCACCATGGAGAAAGATGGTCAACGCACGCCGGCATTCGACGGGAAACACGGCAATGCGGGATCCACTATGAGGACATAACTGTTCTTGGGTCCACGCGTATACCCGGTTTTTGAATTTACCTAGTCTAGGCCTACGTAGGTACCTGGGAGGTGTTGTGTTAGGAATCATGTTGCCTGGGGAAAGTGACGTGTGTTGGTTGGGTTTTGAAACTGTCCGTTTTGCTATTTGTTGTGGGATGTGGCTTGGCTGTGGCGTGGTGAGGCTTGGCTTTTGTCATTTGCTGGTCAGTTGATTAGGATTTCACCAGGGGGATGCGGTGGGAGTAGTAACACTGCAGATGTAGGTTCCCGAAATAGATACATAGGTAGAGTATTTTCCGTGACTTCCGAAGCGAACCTTGGATGGGTACATTGGGGATGGTTGTTTGATTCGTGGGTGGTGTGGTGTGGTTGTGGCTGTTTTTGCCGTTGCCACCTACTTACTTACCTTACCTGGTCTGGTGGGTGGAAAATTATTGGGTTGACTTTTGTGTACTATGTTACTGTTGGATACGTTTACATACTATTCTCTGTGTTTGTGTTTATGTTGTACATTTGTTGGAACAGCAAAAACTATTGAATCTAAATAAATGCATGAATCCTGGGATGATCGTAGAATGACTTCAGTCGGGTATTTCGGCCCGGATGGAGCGATCGTCGGAGGTGTCGGGGTTGTCTAATTAGGCATGTTTCATGTGTTCCGATCGTCATTGGGGAACTCATCATGCCGTCTACTGCGGGATTGTGGTGGTTGGGCTGGATGGCTTCCGGGAGATCCGGGAATATACTGTGTAGTACATTTGAGATATTATACTACGGAGTCGGGTTGTCTGCTGGCAGGATGGGTTTGGGATCGAAAAGATTTTGATTGCGAGTGAACGAGTGTGTTGTCGTGTGCTGAATGCTGCATGCTGCATACTGTGGACCAGTGGCAGGTGTGTCAATTGAGTGGGTCAAACGTTTGCTGCGATGGAATGGGCCAGGCCTTGTGATTGCGTATCGTGGCTTTTCTATGGCTAGACCGATAGTCTTGGGGTTTGTCTATGGCATTTGCGGAAAGGAAAAGATGCTTAATGGATAGAGATATTAAGATGGCTAGATACAGAAGATGAGAATAACATGCACCACATCCTCGTGCTAACAGTCTGCTATACCAGTGCATCATGCTCCTATAGTTACAAAGATTACCCCATTCCTAAAAGACAATGAAAGCCACTGTGAGTTCTGGATCCTCAGCAGCAGACGTGAGCAGCGTTCTTCGGACACAAGATCGTGCCGAACATCTTCCACATCTTCAAGATGGTCCCGTATATGACATCTCATCTTCGAAAGGAGATAACGAACTTCACACGTGACGATGTGCAGCTTCTCTGGGGTACATGCGTGCGGGGTGTTGACAGTCATTCTGCTCCATGACATCCAGCGGAATATATGAAGATTCAACACTGGGTGACTCCTGCGTTGCCCTCGATTCTGACGACGTGAGAACATCGAACGTGTGGCTTGGGTTGGCGTGAGACGCAACCGACCTGACCGGAGTGTCTTCGTAGTGACTATAGGACATGTGGTTTATGCTGCCAAAACTCGATTGTGTATCCGCTCGCGAGGTTAAAGTCCGGCCACCATTATTGTATACTCATGTGGTATACTCAGGTGGCTCGATTCGGTATCAGCTCGCGACGCTAAGGTCCGGGGCACCATGATTTCTTCTCTACTCATGTGGTATACTCATGTGGGAGGATAGGGCACAGGACCACATGCACCGTGTCCACTCTATAACCCTCGCTATATCAAGACACCATCCTTATATTATTTGCATCGCGACAGGGAATCGTTCGAAGACCTTGCGTCCTGTCGACATGGCTGACTCAAAACGGTCGCGTAGTTGAAGGAAGCGATACTGAAAGGCACAACGGCCCTATATTGAACAGCTAGCTTGCATGACTGTAACTGAGGTGCAGGCCACCGAATGCTCTGGCTGAGACGTAGTGATCGTGATTCCGACTTTCTCGTAGAGTTGACGAAGAACCACCGGGTTCATCTCTTTTTAAGAAGCTCGCTATACCGGCTATCGTATAATGGGGGCATGGTTCCGACTTTCTCGTAGAGTTGACGAAGAACCACCGGGTTCATTTCTTCCCAGCAATCTTGCTTTATCGGCTATCGTATAATGGGGGCATGATTTCCACCCCGCAAACCACCAGTAGAACATGGGAGGGATCTGCGCGTGTGTTGTATAGGAACTGCTTGATAACCTTGTTGCATCAATAGGCGCAAAGGCGAGCATGAATTGTACGTTCATTAGCAGTAGTACGCTAAGGCGTTGATAAAGGCCGAGCCGTGAGACGTGATAGCATAGTCTGAGGCAGAGCAGTGCTTGAGCCGATAAGAACAAAATCCAAGTGAGGATAATGACCAAGGGAGTTGAAAGCCATCAGATGTATGAACTGTCCACGGAGAGGTCAATCCTGCGATTTGAGCCACATTGGAGTGGCGCAACAGCCACGTTGTCGACGAAGCAAGCGCAGAGGATATCTATATTGATATCCTCAACAGCGCACGTTGATAAATGCCCCAGCGCAGCCACCTTGTAGACGAAGCGAGCGCAGAGGATATCTATATTGATATCCTCACCAGGGCACATTGATAAATGCCCCAGTGCCGCCGACGATGGCTTGTCGAGGATGTTGTGTCTCCATGATTACAGCACATGATAAGGAACGATGTAACCGGTTTCGAGACAGGATCGAGTGTCGAGTCGATTATGGACTGACGAGAGCTGGGACGGTGCCTCCAGAATTCAGCGGTTCTAACACGAGCCGCTCCAGTGCCGCCGACGATGACTTGCCCAGATGTTGTAGTTCTGTATTGTAGCTCCGTGGAGTGGCAATGTAATGACGAATCGACGAGCGCCCAGATGGTACCTCCCACCAATTTTCCACTAGCTGGAACAGCAGACGTGGGGTGGGGATCAGATATCGAACAAGCGAAGGCGACTAGCTAATAGCAGCCGTAGCCAGAGATGAGGAAATGAAAAGACGGGGTGGAAGAGTTGAGGTCGATGGGCAAAGAGAACGATTGCTGGGTCGCGGTGAGATGTTGCGATTCCACCAGGTGTTATACCCTCTTCCAACGGGTTATTGGACCACCATGTTTCTCGGCACGATGGCACGAGCGATGGGGTCGTTGTATATATAAAATGAGGATGTATACCTCAGTTGCCGTCATCTGGTCTGCAATGAATAGTGTCAGTAACGATATGGACCATGTAATGGTGATAAGTCTATGGGAACAACTAACCAAAACAACCATATAGGAGACAGACCAGGCCAGACAATAGGGCGAGAGAATAGGATGATCCACTGCCTGCTGCCAAAGGCAAGCCAACATAAAGAAGATAGTGCCTTCGGTGATGTATAGGTGCCAGGTCCAGCAGCAACTTGTTGTCGAAATCGTATACACATATAGATATTTATGTATCGAGTATCGAACCATAGATGATATGCTGACATCATCGACCACGCATGCTGCTGAGCGTTTTGCTTGAAAGCATAATTAGCCATTGACACATGATGATAAACAAGGACTGGTAATACCTGCTGAGTCTTACTGCAGTGGTATAGTGGTAGTGGGGTATATATACGGTCGATCCTACTTCATCCCGCCCGACCTTCTACTCGTCGGACAGCTGCTGTTATCCGTCAATGCGATAGGGACAGCTTGGATATAGCTCAGAGTATGATGGGTATACTGCATGTTGCTCCGAAGTTGCTGAGCTCGGTCGGGCAGTGCGGGCAAACAGGACGATGGAGGACACGCCACTATGCATAGTTGACGATGGTCAGTCTATGTCAAATAAAAACAAAAAACACCAAGACAGGGTTACCTCAAGCCACTTTAGTCCCTTTCCATCTATACAAGGACATCAGCTAGTGGTGGTCAGTATATCTATGAACAGGTGAATGGCCAGGGGACGGACGGGCAGTGAAGCAGTCATGGCGACCGGAGAAAACCTTGGTACTCGGGAAGAGCTAGATGAGTGAATCTATCTATCAATGTAGGAGGAGATAGGAGGAGATAGGAGGAGAACGATGACAGGAATCGACTTCAGTTGATATAACTCGCCTTGGTCGACCCGTGGTGTCTGCGTTGGAGAGTAGCGATGCTGAGGCCTACGAGAGAAAGCAGAACTTGGAGGATTTGTGGGAAGAAGGGCTTATTTATAGCTATTACTGCTGATTCAGACAGCAATACCCTAGGTTAAGTGAGGTCGGGCTACGCAATGATTGGTCTAGGTCTGGGACAGGTAACGTGTATGTTTTCCTATATGTGTTGTTGTACGTGCTAGAACTTTCCATGGCGCTGCCTTGTCGAGCTCAAGGGGTTCCTGTTACACTGTAACAACTATTCTGTACTTGTCAAGAGCCTGGGAGGTGTATATAGGCTAGGCAGTAGAACATGGATGTAGCGATACAATTGATCTATGATGGATTAGAAGCGAAGATGGATGACTCGATCAAAATTTTCGAGAATGTGGGATGGCAGAATGTGTCTCACAGTACCTGTTGTGTGACGGTATGGGTGGCAGGCTGCCCATACACTCTCTGCCGTGTGTTGCTGATGAGGCTATGTGGCGGTTCTCACGGGTGCGACCCTCTGCCTTTGCTTCTCTCAGTTTAGGCAGACCATTGGACGCCTTTTCAGATCCTAGAACTATCTGATTCAAACTAGTTGAGTGATGCCTGATGGTGGTCTTGCTTTGTGTTGCTTCGTGTCACTCCGTGAAACCTCTGCTGCTGTTAGCATAGTGTCATAAATCCCGTGACAGTAGCTACTGACCTTGACACACGATGCCCAGGGGACACCCCTCTCAATGACCTGCCTTGGTTCCCACAGTTCCTGAGAAGGCTTTTGTATGCGCAGCTTATATGACTTCCTTCTGCTCTGTATCTATCTTATGGTTGATATATTTGTCCCAGATCATTCTTGTGCAACTGTTGCAGAGCCACAGATCTCACGAACCACAAGGCACTCATGTTGCCCATCAGCGGCTTCCTGCATCACATACATCGTTTCAAGGTCTTGGACCTCTTCCCTTGTTAGTGAATATCGATGGTCAGTCTTCCGCTACCCCACGAGTCGAGTCAGGGATCATTAGGTTTGAGAGCCTCACGGCTTTTCAATCCAACCAAGGTCTCGATTGGAGAGCCCGCAGAAGCCACCCGGGCACTCAGGCAACTAATCATGCCGGTCGGAAATAACCCAATCACAAGGCATGGGGTTTGTTCTTTGGAGTATTTCCATCCTGATTACCTCAGTTGAGTTCCTTTCCCTTCTAGTAGGAAGGCCATGACTGACACAACCTTCTTGTGCATGATCGCAGACACGCCAAGTGACCAGAACTTCCAAAAGTCACCAACTTCCTTTCCACTCCGAACCGTCGTTGGGTCTCAGACAACCATGGGTATTGGTCAATGGCAAAGCCCTTGAAGAAGAAGGCTCGGAAGCTTTTCGTCATCCTGGTTCTTCCGCATATACTTCCATTACGCCGGGAAAGCACAACCCATCTAAAGACGCTTATCGACGCTCGTTCGAAAGCACGCCCTAGGCGATGACAGAGAATAGATGACAGAGAATAGATAACACAGAGATACCAGTCTGGTCGGCTATCTTGGTTGCTCTATCACTGAGGCAAAATCCTGTGGTTGTAAGTGTAGCGCTGAGGACGGAATCAAGTGAAGAGGATCACTGTCTCTACAATATATGCTTCACGTGTGAAGTATATGAGGATATTGTGTATAACCATCAGAGATCACGATGGTTTCATCAAGCGTTGATGGACTAGCAAGAACACGGAACGCCTGGGGGATGAGGGGCCTTTATACATCTCAGTGGAGACGATCTCTGGTGGGGCACTAGGGATCTGTCATTTTCTCTACGGTCAGGGTTCCTTGCAAAATAAGATTCATCCAGGTGAATGCCTATTAATTCACTACTCTCCCCTCATTTGGTGGACGGGAATACCCCATTTCCCTGCAAGTTCATGCTATTTGTCTGCATTCGTCGAAGGGCACGACACTACAGTAGCCTAGATCAAATATTTAGAGACTTCCCTCTACAAGGACCGTTAAATGTCGAAAATTATGTTGTGGATTTCCAGATTAAATATTAACAGCAATCGAAACAAAAGCGGTCAACGACCCCAGTCGTCTACCATATCAATCACGCCCAAACAAGTGCTAGTAACCCCCCAAGCAGGCCTTTGACCTATAATTGCATCCTGTTCTCAATCTACTGAGTGTAGACGCAGCCGTTGGGGTTGGTGGTCTTCTCAATCCGAGCAGCAATTCCGACACAGTCCTTGTTGCCACCAGGGTTCTCAACATCGGCGTCAGCCCAGATACTCCAAGCTCCATCGATGCTGTTGGGGCAGGCAATCAGATCCTTTCCATTGTATTGCAGGTGGTTGTTGCTGTCAATGGCCCAGCCGCCACGGGCTCCGGAAGCAGGCTGAGCACCGGTCGTGTATTGGATCACACCTTGGCCTATAAGTACTAAGGTCAGATGATGATACAAAGCGGAGAATCGAGGCTCAAGGGCGGGACATACCCATGCCGGAGGCATCAACAAAGATCTCCTGAGGAGTCGCAGACGCGTCATACAGGTAGAGAGAACCCTGGTTGATGTAGAAGGTGGCGAACTGCTCCTGGGGACGGTCACAGCTGGCATTCTGGCTCTTAAGACCGGCAAAAATGCTGCTCTTGGCGGCGTTGAAGGCAGAGTTCTGCACACCGCTGCCGGAGCTGATGGCGATGACGCCGAAGGTCTCGCTGGAAGAGGCGTCAGTGGCCGGGAGAGCGGCAGCAGTAGCGGCAGTGAAGAGGAGGTGCTTGAGCTGCATTTTGATGATGTGTTATAAAGGATTGGAGAGTGTTGTTTGAAGTTGTGTTTATGAGTGAGGAGGATGAGAATTATGATGATGAGAACATGTTTACTGACGGCAACCAGCACCCTTTTATACCTTTGCTTGACCTCGACCAAATCCCAAATTTAGCAGCTCCTCCTCTGAAATGGCAGTGTATTATCTCATGTCTCAATGCAAGGAGGGCCATTAATTGCCCAGCATAGTATGTTGTCATTCCGCCCAGAGGAGGCGGGTTAGTCCGGTGGGTTCCCTGCCACGCTATGATTAGACTCAAAATAAGGGTCCTTTTCGATGGCAAAATCGACCTAAATATAACTCGGTGGGGCCGGGACGCTCGGTGATTGGCTGAGCCTTGGATCCCTGTGGATGTCCCTGGCGAGACATCGGAGAAATGGCCTCTGCAAATGCAGTAATTGCAGGCTCGTCGGTTATGGCGAGGGGAATCGATCGACTGAGATGTGACCCACATTACAGACATGTCTCATTCAGGGAGGGCGGATGGGCCGAGGTGACACCATAAGTTTGTCATTAATTGAGGCGGATGGTCGTCTTATGGGGATGTGGGATGACTGTGAGGGGTATAATAGCGAGAGTGAGACATTGCTGCATCTAGTGGACTGGTATTATTTCCTAGCTGCAGGCGAATTGGGTTGGGTACGATGGGTATCCCGGAGATCGATGCGGAGCGAGTTTCTGGAAAGCCACCTCGAGGAATCGATAATGCTCCGGCACAACGGCGCGTGAGAACCTTGTCTTGGATGACGATTGAGGGTGAGGCTGTGGCTATGAAGCGATCAGTGGCTCTAACATTTCCGATAGTCTTTCCGTGGTGCCCGAATATCCCGTTGAAGGAATTGCGGGACGACTCCCCACTCCTCCCCCGGTTATATGATGTGATCGGCATAGCAATAGTCAAGTGGATTCTTCCTTGTTTTGGGTTTTGCAAAGGCTACTCGCAATAGCAGGGCGATGCTTTGCTTGACGATGCCATCGAGGTCATAGTAAAAACGGATGAAAAGGGGGCCGATCGGAGATAGAGCACGTGTATCCCATAACTCGTCTGCCTATCCCATCGATGGATGATCTGTGAGCTTCATGGACGCACATCGTGGTGGATCGTCTGTCTTGGTTTGCCCCTGTCTCACCTGTTCCTTGAATATTATAATCACGGGTCTTAAGAGCTGTCACTGTCTTCCCGGTGGATAAATTGCGAGTTTCGAGTAGAATATCTGGATTGGGATGGTTTTCTTTGCCATAGCAGGACGGCTACATGCGCCTGTCTGAGAGGCAGTTAGTCCCAAGTAATAATCTGCCTAAAGGTTGATAAAGTAAAACGAAATATGGATGACCCACCTTGTCTTGATACTTACCACCAAACATAGAAAGGGTGTTTTCTCGATTAGTACTGATCTCGATGGTCTGGATGGCGATAGATTTCTGGTATTCCTGACGGCGGGACTGTGATAAAATATCAAGAAGTGTCGGTTGTACGGAAAATGACGGACGGAAGACGAGAGACGAGAGCCTCACCACTCCGATTTGGGAGTGACTTGCGTTCCACAACAACCCACTTTTGCTGGTTACACCCCAATGCGTTTCTTTCTCGACCCAGATGGCTTCGTTTCTTTTCAGAAATTGTAAATAGCATTTGAAGGACAGGCTGATAGTACCATCTTATCACAGATATGCGATGCTAACGGTTATATCTACCTAGGCGGAACACAATCTTCTGAATGATGCGCAAAATATCCTTAGCTAGAACTACCGTCCCTCCGTCTCTTCAAAGCACTATTCAGCATGTGTTCGATAAGCTCGCCATAAGAGACATCATTATGTTCGGCGATCATGGGTAACTGCGACCAGTGAGGGAGAAGCCCAGCTAGGGGGTTGATCTGTCATCCGTGAGCTAAAGCCAGGCTTAGCCAGAGTTGATACACTTATCTCCATGACATGAGCGACCGGGGAGCCCGAGGAGTCATCCATCCGGATATCAACCCGTCCTCCATTGCGGAAACGCAAAACAGTCCATGCCTGGAGAGCTGTTTCGCAGGCAAGATCAGCTTCTGGGTCATCCCGACTGACCTTGACTTCATCGGCTTCTCCATCCCAGTCGTCAGTTGATTTCGACTTCTCTGTTGTAAACTCCACTGCTTCGCGATTTTGATACGCTGACCTATTGTTGCACCAGATAATCTCGTCGACCCCAACGACCCATGCATCCTTTCCTGTTCCCAGAATACCCACCGTGAATTCCCGTCCAGGCAGATATTTCTCCACAAGAACACCGAGTGACGAGAGGCTGGAAGCACGGAGAGAGTTGATCACGCGACATAAGCCCCTGGTTCCCGTGATCTTGTTGCTTGCCATGATACCCTTCGATGACCCTTCGGCGAGAGGCTTTGCCAACAATGGATATTGACTGAGCAGCGTCTCAGAGTGTTGAGACCAGCAAATCATGGACTGGATCTCATCCAATCCCAGTTGAGACTTGTTGTCCGTGTCACTGAAATGGACCACGGCGAACGGTGCAGTAGGGACGTTGAAATGTTCGAGGACCATCTAAACATTATCAGCCATGGTGAGCATATTAATGTAGGTTGACCCGAAAAGGGATGCATGTGAGGTCCCGACAATGAAATTCACTCACCTTGGTCCTTCCTTTGTCCAAGCACAATGCCATGGTGGCTGCATCCGAGAATGTGAATGGGATTCGGTAGGCCTCCAATAATGCTGGAACCTGACCCTCTCTGGCTGATCCATGTAGTCCCTCAGTGGTATTAAATGCTATGTCCCACGTATCGCCCTCGCCAGATGCAAGTCTCTTGATGAGAGAGTGGATGTCAGGGACCAGAATGACTTCATGGCCCAATTTGTCGAGGACGGCAGCGATATGTTCGGCTGCTTCTCCGACTTCAAGTCTGGCGCAGTCTGCATTGGAGTAGCCAAGGTCTTTATACGCTGAACGAAGCTCATAGATAGGAACAATTTTGAGGGGTTTGAAAGTCATGTTCGCCGCCATGTCTTGGGAAATTGAACGAGGGAACCTAACAGCACTTTAAATCATTTCTGCTCGGGGGTCTGACTGTATCAAGTCTAGCCACTTCAGCTGGTTGCAGGTGATACGTATAATGGCCGACAAAAAAAAATACATGATATTGTGGTGGGGATTTGCATCTCCGATCAACCAGAGCCAATATGGAGCACAGAGCGACACAATGAAGCTATCCAAACAATACTACGCTTGCCACGATATCGTTCCCATGTCGATGAGACTTTTACACCTTCGCCTCAAGCGGGTGGTGCGTTTCGAGTATGTGGTAGCATATGATGCCTCTCATGCTGGATCGGTGAGCTTGACTACTTTGGATAACCTGCAGGCTAGTTGCAGCTAGCGAGCTCGTCCAAATCCCGTCCAGATCCCGCAGAGTGGCGAGAGCGCAGTTTGCTTTTCCGACATTTTCAGCTATATCTGTGCAGACTGCTGCCTAGTGAAATTACATACTTGCGATATGCTCGTCTGTGATTTACTGCCCAACGATTGAAGGGTGTGAAAATGGAAGGGAACCCGGCTAGTTGCGGAGAATTTGTTGAGGCCCACAGTGCAGTGTTGCCGGTTTGTGAACTGTCACTAACCAAAGCACAAAGCGTATCTGTTGTCTCCTAATATATTATCACACATTATGATACTAATCGGGTGAGAATTATCGATTTTTCTCGTGGATAGCATTGAGACTAATATCTTAGTCCAAGTTTTAGCTTTGTATGTGTGGTCGTTGATGCCGGGTGGGTATCCGTCGAGTTAATTCTAAAAGGGTTAGCAATCATTGGAATACTATAGGGTTCTAGATTGGGATCATACTGTGCTCCTGATGTCCCGGTTAATTGTCTCCATCCCGAGGGCATCGGTTAAATGCATGAATATAAATCTGCAGACGCACCCCGCACTTGACGGAAACTCAATTGCCGAGGCCTTTGGCAGAGAGTTGTGACAATGTTCCTTCAATTTCTTCTCTATGCTTCAATAGGCAGTGTGGCATCAAGTACAACACTTAAGCCACGTTTGGACAATGGCCTTGCTTTGACACCACAAATGGGGTAGGTCAGGCACGTCTTCTGAGTATCCGGAATTAATGATTTAAGCAGATGGAATACATACAATCACTACTCATGCTCCCCGAATGAAACTATTGTCCACTCTAATGCTCAGGCATTGGTAGATCTAGGATTGTCTTCACTTGGATATCGATATGTCACGACAGACTGTGGCTGGACAGTCGCGGACCGACTGCCCGACGGATCTTTGACATGGAATGATACCTTATTTTCCCAGGGCTTTCCAGCTATGGGCGAATATCTCCATGACTTGGGTCTTCTTTTTGGCGTATATCAGGACTCTGGGATTCTGCTATGCGGAAGCCCGCCAGACCAAGCTGGCAGCCTGTGTATGTTAACCAAAACCAACAGTCATATGAGTTGCTGATATGGGACTACAGACCACGAAGCGCAAGATGCAAAGACATTTGCATCGTGGAATGTTGACTCCCTCAAATGTATGCCTTCATAGCCTCAAAATTGGCAAGGTCCATTGGTTAAAAGGTCTAGATGACAACTGCTACTCTGACGCTGCAACGGACTACCCCAACGTTAACTACGCACCTAGCACCTCTCCAGAGCCCAGGTTCGCCAACATGTCCCACGCTCTGTTGCAACAGAACCGAACTATTTTATTTCAGATTTGTGAATGGGGCATCAGTTTCCCCGCGGGCTGGGCACCTTCTATCGGTCACTCTTGGCGCATTGGAAACGACATCATCCCTGACTGGCGGACCATCTTCCGGACTATAAACCAGGCAGCTCCACAAACAGACTTTGCTAGCCCAGGCCAATGGCCGGACCTTGACATGCTGGAGGTGGGTAACAACATATTCTCCCTTCCGGAAGAGGAGACGCACTTTTCTCTCTGGGCGATTCTCAAGAGTCCATTGATTATCGGCGCCGCCCTGAAGGACGAAGTCACCGCTATCAATGATGCGTCACTGGAAGTTCTGAAACAAACCGATGTTATCTCATTTAATCAGGATTCACTGGGCAAGAGCGCGAGCCTGCGCCGACGCTGGACCGAGGAGGGCTACGAGGTATGGAGCGGACCGTTATACGATGATCGCACTGTGGCCGCCGTCATCAACTGGCGTAACGAGAGTAGGGATTTGACCTTGGATCTGCCAGATATTGGACTCCAGTATGCAGGAATTGTGAAGAACATTTGGGACGAAAGTACCGCGCAGGATGTGCGTACTTCCTACACAGCGACGGTAGCCGGTCATGGCACAATGCTGTTAGAATTACAGAATACTACCGAGGCTGGTGTATATACAAAAGCCATATTCGGGACATCGTCTGGGTATGTTTATTTTTAGTATCAACAAGCACGCGGACTGACATGACCAGACAAACGACAACCTTTGAACAAATCTACGCTGTCACGACCAGTGCCAAGTATACCCTTACGATCTATTTCACCCAGTCCAGCTCATCAACAGCAGACATCACCATTGGATCAAGCGCAAGCAACAGTACGATATCTGTCGAAGCTGCCGCATCTGCCACGTTCGTATCAGCCAATATCCCTCTCACCGCCGGCTCTTCCAACACAATTACCATTGACACCTCACTGTCGATTGATGCCATCCATGTCACACCCCCGAATGGCACTTACTATCCCTCCACGAACTTTACCCTCGCCGGATCCAGCACTCTGACCACCTGTGGAACCGGTTATTGCCAGCCAGTTGGCTCGAAAATCGGCTACATCAGTCCAAGCGGCACGGCCCAGGCGACTGTTTCCATCACCACAAGCGGGAGCAAGTATCTGGAGATTGACTACATCAATAATGATATTGCGTTTGATTCCTCCTGGGGCTGGGGGTCAAATTCTCGAAATCTAACTGTAACCGTAAATAACGAGGATCCAGTGAGGATCGAGGTGCCGCTGAGCGGAAGGCATAGTGAATTGTTCGGACCGGGATTGGGGTGGTGGGATACGGCGACTTTGGGATTATTGACAAGTGGCTGGAAGGAGGGTTTAAATGAGGTGGTTATTGGTAATGTGGGGGGCGAGGATGGATTTCAGTCCTATGGAGCAGACTTTGTCGGCGTACGGGTGTTGGATTAATGGGTTTTGAAATCGGAGTGCACCCAGGCCACACTTGGTTCGGCTTCATTAGAAAGCGAAGAATCCCAACGGAAGCATCGTCTCTTCTTCTGCAGAGTCAGTGTAATCAATATGGTCAGCATATCTTCAACGGCCTACCTTGGCAGTTCTCACCTCCTTTCCCCCTGGGCGCAATATTGATCCTGCGGGGTGGTTATCACCATGATCCATCCCACGGCTCGGAGTCTACGGAGTCTCGGATTTGCCGTGCTTCTGTCATCACCTGACCTTTGCATGGGTCGGGATAGTCCGAGCGGGGACCTCCCATCTTCATCATCTCTGCCGCCGTTGACTTCTCTGAGCTCTCGATGGGAAAGACATAGTCCGGTACTTCACATTTTTTGGTCATCTGGCCTGTGGCCTCCTTGCAGCCCCACAGGGGTTCGTATTCCCCGGAGACTGACATCTAACTGGGATGGTGATGAAGATGGTGAGGAGCACTTAAACCCCATACGTCATCAAAACCATGGCGAAGATGGCTCAACCACAGTTAGCTTCATTTTGCGTGCTTCCAAGACCAGCAGGATAACGATATGTGCCGGACTTTTGCCGAGGAGATAGTCTGGGGTCGTCGCGCCGCTCGTCACCTTTGCCGTTCTGGGCTGCAGAACGTAGACTCGCTTATCCCGAGTGTGGAGTCCCCGCAATTTCAGCATCGCGGAGCCGAGCGAAGAACCGAAATCGGCCACGCGACTTGTCTGCCATGCGAGCTTTGACTATGGGTCCCATGCTTAGTACGAGGTTTCATTGGATACGAGCCCGAGATTGACCCGGAACCCTATCCTTCTTCTTGTCATTCTCCATGCCGTGGTCAATATGCCTCAGACTTTGCCGAGACTTTTCAGGGCCTTGGCCGGATATACGGGAGGGAGAGAAATGGGATCATGGTGGGCATTGAAGAGGTGATGGATTCTTGGGGTCCTATGTCGTGGGTATTTAAGTTCCCAGATTGCCGTCTCAGATGGCTCTCAGAACACTGTCGGCTGGATTCTCTTCAACTGAGTTAGAAAGATGAAGCTGTCTCTTGTCCTTTCGGCTGCAGCGCTGCAGTTGGCAGATGCCGCTGTGGTGCAAAAGCGAACAGTTGATGTTGCTGATCTGGAACACTTCTGGTCCTACGGACGCTCGGAGCCTGTTTATCCCACTCGTAAGTTAACCTGTTGTTTGGGATCGATACAAGCTAATCCGGATGTCCAGCCGAGACAAAGGGCTTGGGCGATTGGGAAGAGGCGTTTGCTAAGGCCAAGTCCCTCATATCGCAGATGACAGACGACGAGAAGAACAACATTACTTACGGGTATTCTTCTACAATGAATGGCTGTTCGGGGATGGCTGGTGGTGTCCCACGTCTGAGCTATCCCGGAATGTGTCTCCAGGATGCAGCAAGTGGCGTGCGAGGGACTGACATGGTCAACGCTTACGCCTCAGGTCTCCATATTGGAGCTTCATGGAACCGTGACCTCGCGTATGAACATGCTCAATACATGGGAGCGGAATTCAAGCGCAAGGGGGCCAATGTTGCTCTTGGTCCGGTCGTGGGACCACTAGGGCGCATGGCCCGAGGTGGTCGCAATTGGGAAGGCTACAGCAATGACCCCTACCTTTCTGGATCCCTCGTTCGGAATACTGTCCGCGGTCTGCAGGAATCCGTGATCGCCTGCGTCAAACACTTCATCGGAAATGAGCAGGAGACGAACCGTAACACGCCGAGTTTACTGGACGGTAGCTATAACCTGTCCATCTCCTCCAACATAGATGACAAGACTATCCATGAGCTATACATGTGGCCCTTCCAGGACGCGGTCAAAGCTGGTGCGGGTGCCGTCATGTGCAGCTATAATCGCATCAACAACAGCTACGGCTGTCAAAACAGCAAGACCCTCAACGGGCTGCTCAAGGGTGAGATGGGCTTCCAGGGATTCGTTGTATCTGACTGGAATGCCCAACACACCGGTATTGCCAGCGCAGCTGCCGGTCTCGATATGGTCATGCCTGACTCGACCTACTGGGAGAATGGTAACCTGTCTCTAGCCGTCAACAACGGGTCCTTGTCCTCCACCCGTCTAGATGATATGGCTATCCGCATCGTCGCCGCCTGGTACAAATACGCCGAGCTGGAAAACCCCGGACACGGCCTGCCTGTCAGCCTTCTTACTCCTCATGAACTAGTTGACGCTCGTGACCCTGCCTCCAAAGCCACCATCCTCCAAGGAGCAATCGAGGGCCATGTCCTCGTCAAGAACGTCAACAATGTTCTGCCTTTGACAAATCCTAAATTCCTCTCCCTCTTCGGATATGACGCTATCGCTGCAACTCGGAACACCATGGACGACCTCTCATGGAGTCTATGGACCATGGGGCTCGACAACACCCTGACCTATCCCAATGGCACGGCCATTGATCCGTCCCACCTGAAGTACATGTTCCTTTCCAGTGCAAATCCCTCCGAAAATGGCCCGGGGGTAGCCCTGAACGGTACGATGATCTCCGGGGGTGGCTCCGGTACCAGCACTCCATCCTACATCGACGCCCCCTTCGACGCCTTCCAACGTCAAGCCTACGATGACAACACCTTCCTCGCCTGGGACTTCGCCTCCCAAAACCCTACCGTGAACCCAGCCAGTGAAGTGTGCCTCGTCTTCATCAACGAAGCCGCAGCTGAAGGCTGGGACCGCCCATACGTGGCAGACCCCTACTCTGACACGCTAGTCGAGAATGTCGCTTCCCAGTGCAACAACACTATGGTAATCATCCACAACGCCGGCATCCGTCTCGTCGACCGCTGGATCGACCACCCCAACATCACCGCCGTCATCTACGCCCATCTCCCTGGTCAAGACAGCGGCCGCGCCCTGGTGGGGATAATGTACGGCAAACAATCCCCCTCCGGCCGTCTCCCCTACACCGTCGCTAAGAACGAATCCGACTACGGCGCCCTCCTCAATCCGGTCGTCCCAACTGGATCTCAGGATTTGTACTACCCCCAAGACAACTTCACAGAAGGCGTCTACATAGACTACAAGGCCTTTGAGCAAAAGGATATCACTCCCCGCTATGAATTCGGCTATGGCCTCACGTACTCCACGTTCTCTTACTTTGATCTTCAAGTCTCAGTCCACACGAACGTGGACACCAGCTATCTGCCCCCCAACACCACTATCGACGAAGGTGGTCTCCCCTCCCTTTGGGATGTAGTGGCTACAGTCACCTGCTCGGTTTCCAACACTGGTTCGGTGGCCGCGGCGGAGGTCGCTCAGCTCTACCTAGGAATCCCCGGTGGTCCGGCGAAGGTCCTCCGGGGTTTTGAGAAACAGCTCATTCAGCCGGGAAATCACACCGAAGTCACATTTGATCTGATGAGACGGGATCTCAGTACCTGGGATGTGACCAAGCAGAGTTGGGGGTTGCAGGCGGGAGAATATTCCGTTTATGTGGGGAAGAGTGTACTTGATGTTCAGTTGACGGGGACGTTGACAATCTGATCTGATGAGCTTGATTTGATGAATAGTTGTATGATATTTCATGGAATGATTTGCTTTGCCTTTGGGTATATATACGGGGTATCCTTGTATTGGTATCTCTCATGGGTGTGCCTGGGAGACATCTGATGTTATGCAAAATCTGCACATTGCATCTGTTGAGCCATCTACACGTGCATGTCATTCTCCTGGCATCAGTACCTCATAGTACAGAAAAGCCATGTCTCGTTCAATCTGTCGTCAGCACGATTCGGTGTGAGGCCATGGCCTCAACGCAGCTGCCTACTATTATACGGACTGAGGGAGTACTCAGGAGGCGTACCTGCATCCATCCCGAACCCGATGCCCGAGACTGCAGCGGTGGACCCCGACCGACAGGCGGATAAATATCCCGATGCTTATGCTCCTGCAGTCATGCACCCTAGCAAGGCGTCAGTGAGACCTGTCCACCAGCAGCCATCCGGTATAGTACCGACCACCCAGATCATAAAACGATTGAACTGCCGCTCAAACCGAAGCAGCAGCACATCACTCCACTCAGACAGGCTGAACACCATCATATCCGGCCAGATTCTCATAATACCTCTTATCCAAGCCAGCTTGCAATCTCGCCTCGGTATTGAAGGGCTCTCTCAACGGACCCCTAAAATACTTCTGAACATTGCCCCGAAACACCTGGACCGGATCCGTCTCCTCCTGCCCACAAATCCACGTCAACCACCGATGTCCCGTCGTGACATGGGTAATCTCATCATTATGAATAATCTCCAACGTATCCACACTCTCCCCATCCCCAGCCTTCCGGAACTTATCAATCGTCACCGGATTGACATCCAACCCGCGCGCCTCATGCACCAACGCAATGATACTAATCCTCGCGCGCAGATCATGCGCCGTCACCTTGGCCGAGTCCCACAACCCATGATGAACCGGGAGAGCCCCGAAATACGACCCCAACTCCTCCAATCTCGTCCGCAGAAGCGAGAAATGCTTCGCCTCATCATTCGCCACCTTCAACCAGTCATGGAAAAACGCCCGCGGAAGACCTCGCGCATCCACCGCCGAATTCGTCTGAAACCCCGCAAACCGCACACAGATATCAACCGCCAGATCAATCGCCCATTGCTCGATATTCGCCAGCGCATGCAGCATATTAATCCGACTCTTCTGCGTCCCTCCCCTCCCGGGCTTCGGCACCGCCGTGCGATTCACATCCTTGACGCCATCCCGTGGCGGTAAATCCGGCAACGCGACTCCAGTTCTATCCCCAATAACCATGGGCGATTCAGTCCCTTCCCGCTCCGTAAATATCTTGAATAAATGCGCTGTCAACTCGATCTTGTGTTCTGGGTTGGACGTGTTGAGAATATGCGCACACCATTCACACACCGTCGCGTTGTCGTCCAAATACCGCACCGGCGTATCCTCCTCCTCATCCTTCACCCCATCCCCACCCCTATTATACCCCAACCCAGATCCCTTATTATTCTTCAACTTCAACTCCTCACTAACAGCCTCCAACCTCACCACCTCCACCCCCTCATCCCTACCCCCATGTCCACCCACATACTCCACACACACCACCCCCTCCTCATCCCCACTAACATCCACCGCAAACGTACACGCCTTGATCCCGACACTCGACTCCCCCGTCTCCACATTAAAATCATATGCATGCCACGGACAAGACACAATATATGCCGAATCTTCAATATCGATGGAGGAATCTTGCATCGGTCCGCCCGCGTGCGGACATTCTGCTTCCATGGCGTAGTACGACCATCCGTTGCTTTCGTTGCGGGGTTTGTTGTTGCTGCTGGTGTTGGAATTGGAATTGGGTTTCGGGGGCTCGATGGTGGGAAGACGGAATAGCACGAGACGTTTTCCGTTCGAGAGGTGGATCACGTAGCGGGTTTGCGTGAGGGAGGGGAGGGGGGCGAGGCGGATGCGCGCCATTTTGGTTGAACGGGGGGGGTGTTGGGAGGAGTGATGTATGAAATGAGGGAGAGATAGGTTGGTTGTTTGGCGCTTTTGTGAGGGGTATTGGTCTTGGATTTGGATTTGGGGTGCGGAGGAATTATTCTTGGACTTGGGAGGGGTGGCTATATTTTGAGGTCACGTGGGTGGGTGGTGGGTTGGTTTGGGTGGGGTAGGGCGCTAGGCTGGATTGGGATGGTGTGCCTGGAAATCCAAGTGGCAGGAGTCGCGGACCGCTTCAACGGCTATTTAGGACATGAAGGTCTGGAATTTGATATCGTTAAGTTATATGTGCCAACTTAGTTACAGTATTAAGCATATGGTTCCAACAAGAAAATATAAAGATATAACCCGAGAGCAGAACCAATCAATCACTCATCATCATCATCACACCATCCCATCTGTTCAAACAGAAACTTATACCCGGGCTCCACACCCATCTCCCATCCCTCCGACCCAGGCGCCAACGTCAAGTCATGGATATGCCTCGCGCCCGGGATCGGAAGGAGCCCGCTCTTCACCCCATGCTCTTTGAGGGCATTAGTAAACTCCACTGCCGTCTGGAATGGAACAATCTCATCTTCCTTGCCAATGATGAGGAAGGTCGGGGTTTGGTAGTTCCCTGCGCGGACCTGCGCTAGTGGACTGATTGCTGCGGCGCGCTTCAGGTCCGGACGCTTGATTTTCTCGCCGTCGGTGGGGATCCCGTCCAGGAGCAGTCCCATGCCGTTTTCTTCTTTGACGAGGGCGAGGACAAGTTCAGATAGGGGATCTCCGGGTTGGATCCAGCCTAGGCCGGAGGTGTCGGTGCTGTTAAAGGAGTGGCTGGTCATCTGGTTTCACTTAGTATGGCTGTGCGGCTTGTGAACGTGTCTTGGTGCTTACCGGCTTCGTTGGGAGAGCTTTGCGGATATCGCTCATGGACATTGTTCGACGAGGGTATTGTTTGCCCATTTGCATTTGAGCTTCGGTGTATCAGTGCTTGATCGTACTTCGAACGGATGTAAACCTACCAGATGGATCGTAATTGGTCGGGCAATAGAAACTGAGGATGGCCAGTGGCGGCGTCAGGCCTGCCGCGCGCGCTGTCCACGACGTCGTCATGGCAAGATGGCCACCGGTTGACCATCCAATGACCACGATCTTGGTAGGATCTACTTCGACCTTTCCTCTGAGAATATGCGGGAGATCCTGTTGCGCCCATGCGTAGGCGTCTCGTACGTCTGTCATGGGACCGTCGATGATGTTGACTAGCGGACAGAGTCGATAGTCGATACTAATTGGTAGAATGCCCTTGGTCAACAGAAACGAGGTCTGTGAAGGGCGCACCGCCTTCCTCGATAGTGTCATATGTCCGCCGCCGTGAATCATCAGAGCTAGACATGAGAGCAGAAATTAGTCATATGGGGTTTCTTTCTGGGATGTCGGTGCTATACCTATCGGCATGGCTCGCGGTGGAGCTTCCAATGGGATGAATATATCAGCGGGAATCTCGACGCCGTCAACTTTCTTGTACATCAGTGTCTCAATCTTGTGTCGTGAGCTCTGACAGTTAGTCCGTTTCTTTTTCTGGCCATTGGTTCTTCCATTGGCGAGAGGCGCTTGGTCAGCTATAGATGTGAGATTGCACATGTGGTCGTTGGTCTTGCCATTCGAAACTTTCTCGCAGAGAATATTGAGATGCTTCTTCAAGTCTTTAACGCAACATGCAGCTATGTCATCTGCATTGATGATTATCTCGAATTTTGCCTTGAGATCATCAGCCAACTCCATTGTTGCCAGTGAATCCAAGCCCATGCTGCCAAAGCTCTCGTCGTCGTCGATTTCATTGACGGGGACACTAGTGTAGGTGGACACGAGAACCTTCAGACACTGCAGACTGTCCAAGCCATGCTTGTTAACACTCGGTGCAGACAAATTAACTCCATTGCTGATAACATCTGTCGAACACCGCTGAACCTCAGGAACAAGGGGGGTGGTCTGTGGACAAGGACCACCCAGCATCCGCTCTAACCTTGCTGCCTGTATCCTCACGAAGCGGATTCCGGAGCCCAGGACAAGCATCTCGCCAGCCTCTGAAAATACAAAGATAGCGCCACTGGTATATTTGCGATCCGTTGCAGAGAACATGGCGTAGACTGTCCATGTTTGAGGAGTCCGAAAGTCGCATGGCAGGATCACCATTCTGTTGATCGCGGCTGCAACATACACCTCGCTCTCTGACTTCAACCCTGTACTGCTATTTATCAGCAGGCCTAACACCTGAATGAAAGTGTCCAGAGTTCGAGCATCAGCAATGTCTGCAGCAGTGCTTTCCTGCTGTGTAAATGTTGCACTTGGAATATTAATCTGTGCCACGGCCTGATTTTCTCCGAGTACGATGCTGGTAATGCCTTGAAGCAGCTCTCCGTAGTCGACTACTCTGGAGAAAAGCGAGTAGGCCCGGCAGGTTAAAAGCTTCTCGGTGTTTGGATTGTTGCGCAGCGCCGTCATCTGCTGCGAGACCAAAACAGAATACAGATTGAAATCAGGATCTGCTGCCAGCGACACTTGGAAATCTCCTTCTGCGTACGTTGCATTCGTGGAGTGAACAGTAAAGTTCCAGTTGCTGTCTTTGACGTGGCAGTCAAGACGCAGTTGCACATTAATGCCTTCCTCACAACCGAGACCGCGATAGAAGTTGATGTTCTGGAAACTGAGTGTCTTGTTGCTGAGTTCGGTGCCTAAAATCAGAGCACCCATTGTTACGCACTCCATGTACATGGATGCTGGGCAAAGTGGTCGTTGGCGAACCGCATGACCCTTGACAATGCGCGTGAATCTCTCGGTCTCTGTGTGGATGCGAAAGTTGTGAGATGCATTGTTGCTACCAGCACAGCCGCGATAGCTTACCAGACTGGTAGCCGTCTTTGCGCCGATGGGAGATTGATCTACGCCTGGAAGAAGTTTATTCCTCTCCTCGATGGTACGGTCAACATACTCGAGCCAGTAACGCGAACAATCAAATTGATATGGAGGCAGCCACATCTGCCTGACGTCTGATTCCCTAGGGGTGAGAAAGGCCCAGTGAGAATTGGCAATCCCTTCGCGCCAGAGGTTTGCTACCGCGATTTCCACAGGCTCAGCGGACTGGAATACATGGGCTTCGGGGTGGGTGACGGCCTTTCTCGTCATGGACGTGATAGGGGTCTGCCAGCCGGCTTCTAGCCAGACACAATTACCCAGCTTTTTCTCAAGGCGCTGAACGGCGTTCACAAAGTACACCGGCTTTCGGGAGTGATGAGCTAAGTATGTTGGCCCCATTGTCGTTGTCGATGAGGCTGCGTGCTCGGTACACATCTCCAGTGGAATGTTAGGGTGGTGGAATTCGAGCTTTCGGGAGAATTCAACTAGGTCGCCGAGCAGAGGCTCTGTGAACCGCGAATGGAAGCCATGGCTCACATTTAGGCGTTGTGCGCGGATGCCACTATATTGGGGATCGCTCTGTAAAATCATCTCAGCCACGGATATCGATGAATCATTGCCAACGACCACATGACTTGCCATGCTATTATAGCACGCAATCTCAAGGACCTCAGAATCTGACGAGTTTGTGGCTGTTGTGACGCAGCCGATGATTTTTCTAACAGTCGCCAGGTTTGCATGAATAGCCAGCATAGTCCCACGATCGGGGCCCCATTTGCTACTCATCAGACAAGCTCTGTAGGAGACTAACTTCAGCGCATCCTCCAGAGAAAGTGCTCCCGAAACAGCCAGCGCAGTAAGTTCGCCCAAGCTGTGGCCAATGACTGTCTCCACCTTCAGTCCGCCGTCAAGCCAGCATCTCGCAGAGGCGTATTGCACCGAAAATGTACCACATTGCAGGATAACAACATCTTCTATGGGCTCTGACTTGTACAGAGCTGGGCGGATATCGGGGTAGCCTAAGTTTATCAAGATCTGGCTGCAGGCATCAATGTACACCATGAACCGTGGACTTGTCTCACGCAGCCGGGGATGTAAGCCAACGTTGAGCTTGCTCTGTCCCGAGAATACAAGCACTACCCGCCTTGGCGTCTTCGGGATTTCGGAGGGTCGGATGTCGGAGCGCAGCTGTTGGACTAAGCTGGGTAGGTCTGCAGCAGTAGTAGTCCACCGGAATTGGTGATGCTTGCGTCTCTCACTCAGCGTATAAGCAATGTCACCGACACTCATACCCGGAGGTGACTTCAGGATATGTGATGCCAGCTCACAAGCGTACCTTCTCAGGCTTTCTTTTGATGCCGCAGACAAGAGCACCGGGTAGGGCACACTGGATGAAATAGGGTATCCCCTAGGAATATTTGCCTCCCCCACCCATTCAGAACATATCAGGGTAGAATTGCTCCCTGAGGCACCATAGCTATTAACACAAGCATTGCGATTCTCAGCCATCCACGGGAGGAGTTTTGTTGGGATAATTATTTGATCCGGCTCAAGAGAAGCAATTTTAGGATTTAGTGCCCTGAATCCTGCCAACGGTGGGATGCTCCGGTGAGAAAACATTGTTATAACTTTGAGCAGACTGGCCACGCCCGCAGCTGTCTCGCAGTGGCCAATATTTGCTTTGATAGACCCCAGATGTAGTGGTGCCGTTCGCTGAGACCCGCCAAAAATTGTTCGAATACTCTCAATCTCAATAGGATCTCCCACGCGTGTCCCGGTACCATGCGCTTCAATGTAAGACACTTCCTCTGGCAGGATGCCGGCTTCAGAGATAACATGGCGGTATAATGCCTGCTGGGCTTTGGAATCCGGCACGGTGATGGAGGGCGCATGAAGCCCTCCCTGATTCGTAGCCGACGCCCGAATCACAGCTAAAATTTGATCCCCACTGTTGATGGCTTGGTCTAGAGACTTCAAGACGACTAGACCTACCCCATCTGCACGGCAGTAGCCGTCTGCCGATTCATCGAATGGCTTACATTGGCCGGTAGGACTGAGGAAGCCGGCTTTGGCCAGATCTAAGTAGTTGTGAATTCCGGTAATGAGGTTAACCCCTCCTGCCAATGCCATAGAGCAGTCGCCAGCCTGAATAGCGCGGCAGGCACGGTGAATTGCCACAAGAGAGGCTGAGCACGCCGTGTCAATAACTTCTGACGGTCCTGTCCAACCGAAATAGTAGCTGATCTTCCCGGAGAGGAATGCGCGAATAGTCCCTGGGGCTGTAAATGCAGATGGGCTGTAAGCACATGTGTTTTCTAGATATTCTGTGTAGGTGGATCCAATAAAACAGCCGACTGGGTCGCCATCTTCTTTCCGATGATTGCGTAGGTATCCACTAGAATCCATCGCTTCGAATGCGGTGGCTAACAAAAGCCGCTGTTGAGGATCCATATATGCTGCTTCTCGTGGGCTGATGCCGAAGAAGGCATTATCGAATGCAGCCACATCATCGACAAAATTACCGTAGAATTTCCGTTGGTTCATCCATTTCCTATCCTGTTGACCACGAAACGACCCTTCAATCCTGCACCGGTCCTTGGGGACCTCTTCGAATTTGATTCTTCCTTGAGAGATGATATCCCACAGATCCTCCAAGGTATCCACACCGGGAAGGCGACAGGCAGCTCCCACTATCGCTATGGCATCGGAAGGGAATGAGTCGCGAGTGTGTTTTGATGGTACAAGGACTGCCATTTCAAGAAGGGAGAAACCAAAAGGGGGGGTGGCAGGATGATGGAGTGGATGAGGCAGGGTATGTCCGAGAGGAACGGATGGATGGAAGCTGGGTAACATCTCGAATTATACCCGGGCGCAGGGACGGTGCGATCTGCCCTGGATAGTACCGGCCGAAGTAATGGCAACTGCTTTAGGACCCATGCCGCATGCATCTATGCGTCCCGGCCTCGAGGCCATCCTGGGCGGGCCGACAGCCTTATTTTCCCTGCAGGTATCACCCGTCTTCCCCACGCTGTCCCATACACTACAGCGGAGGTGATTCTCACCGAGATCAGGTCGGATATTTTCGTCCTTCTTCGGCGAGATCATCAAAGTGCGCCATCTTCGGCAAACACTAGATAATCATCACTGGATGAGAAGTATGATCCTTCTTGTTAGTCACCGTAGCCATATCCTGTGGTTTGGCTGCCAATGCCCATGCCCAGTGAGACTCGCAGCGCAGCATATTGGCCTGGGCATTGCAGATGCTTAAATCCCATGTATAAACGATTATAATGGTATGGGATGGCCTATCAGCTTATCCAGGTCCATCTTCCATCTCAGTGCCTCTCCTCTGTCTAGGAATTTCTCTATCCAAATGAGACGGTCGGGTTGTAATCACATCCGAGGCTGACTCGTCTCGAAAACCCCTAACCAGGACAAATATAGAAACTAGAAACCCGCTCAAAGAGTTAGTGTGTGCGAAGCCATGGGAAGCTTTCCTGCTTCTCAGCCCATTTGGTCTTGTGCTCGCACACCTGCTGATTCATGCACATTACCCTTCTGTCGCCCTTGATGGGAAAATGGGCAGGTATGAGATAGTGCATTAGCGGCATAGTAAACTTATTAAGTCTCACGGTTAATAATTAGCGTGGCTCAGTAGGACCCTCCGATCTGTTGGGATGGTTAATATCAGTGCTGACCAATCGCTTAACGTGATAGCGATGCACGATCACGATCTACACGTTTATCGATCCCTGTTATTAAATATTCATTATTTCCTGGTCCTATCAGCTTGCGTTTGATAGAACTTTGGTAACTTGTGTGCCCAACAATCCGAACACGAAGTCTGCTGAAGCCAGGCCAACATGACACAGCTGGCACTTTGGCCTCTCAGTTCAGGGAGGGTTGGTATTAGCAACACTTTGGTGGCCGCTCTTCTGCAGAGTACGTCATGGTTTGCGTTACATATAAGATCAGACGATGGAATTGTCCTATGATTAAGTGAGGAGAATGAAAACTTACCCGGTTCCTCAAAGAGGTGCATAGCTTCAATGGGAAGCTTATGGGTCTGTGAAACTTGTTTTCATGCCTTTGTATCCACACAGTGATAGCTAGCGTCAAACGCTGGGAATAAAAACTCCAGGGGCTCACACGGGTGTTACACAGGCAGCAAATGTAACACTCAGGGGTTTTCGTACTACACCGACAATAGCAGCAATTGGAACCCATGCCATCGATACCTTAGGTACTGATCGACAATTGGCAATTGCATTGGTCATGCGAATTCTGGACTCTAGACGAGCATCTCAAAGACTTGAGTCAATCCCTTCCAACTATGGGCGTCGACTTGGAACGAATCATGCCCAGGGGGCGTCCGTTGTCAATCTCAGGACAGTATGTGCTATCTCCATTCCTCTAAGTATGCTGGGTGATCAACCTGCGTGGCCTCTGCTATGCAGGGTCTTTTTATCATGGCTTGCGTGGGATTTTAAACGGCCACTAGGCTGGGTAGTGCGGCCAAAGCTGTGTGCCAGTCATTTAACGGCGGACCTTGTTCATATGGGAATTAAAGGCACGCTAGGCCCAACTATGACCTGCATTTTCGTAGATCATCATCTATTAGCGAGGCGTTATATGAATTAACCTGGGACAGGCCGTTACTTATCCGCCTTGTTTATGAAGTAAGCCGGCCGGCCAGTCCACTCTCAAATTTTGGAAAGAAATGGGTCTCGGCGGATCACAGCTCAAGTGGAGTCAAGCATCTCATTGGCACATGCAACGTTCAGTATGTCGATTTCAACTATGCAAGCTCCAGGAGAAGATGGTGGGTCTGTCCCAGCAGCATTCTCTAAATTGAAGATGTTCCTCGTGCACAGCCCCGATGTACAGTCAGGGACGATTTGAAACAGGGCCGCAGAGCCAGCAAGCAACAAACCGGAGCTCAGAGCATAGCAGGTGACTGCGTACGGGCATCCCATTTGCTGTTTGTGAACCGATCCTGTCCCTCGCCGTCCATTGGCATATCGATTATGCAAGAAACATCTGATCCGATGGTTCTGGATAGAAACCGCATCATCGATCTTTGACAATGTCTGCATCTGATTTCATGGAAGTGAAGGTTGTCAGGAAACAGGTTGTACAAGATAAAGTTCAGTAGTCTGGGCAAGTCTCTTTCATTAATGATCGGAGTCTTCGAATTTATCGTGTACCACTCGTACCCACACATGGAGTCCAGACCTATCGAAGTAAAAGTAAGGCGTGCCCAATAGATGAGTGCCAACTTTCGTGTTGCGAGGCCGTGTCGGTATGCACGACGTAGCGGCCAAGGGCAAAAAGGTAGGACTAAGAAGCAATTTTCCGGCTATGTTATCGAGAAATACGAGAGGGTATGATGATGCGCGAGAATGAACAATAGGGTTTGATAACATCATAGTTCTCTATTTGCTGTTGGGGAAACAACCCTGCAGCGTGTAGAGTCTCGGTCGGAACTGTAATCGAACCGTTGATCGGAATCCACTACCCCTGTTCAGCAACTTCAACGCAAGCCATTTAAAGCGCACTTCTACCGAGAGGGTTGATCGCATCCGGTAAGGCTGAATCAGAGAATATCACCCGAGCTGAGGACCTGTTACAGCAGACAATATTCCTCCCTATGGCTCTCAGGTCGGCGTCGATATTGCATGTTACATATGTCAACTGCAGAATCATCGGCAGTAGATCATACTCTGCCTGTGCAATAACTGGGCTTTCTTCTACCCCTTATGCTCTATTCAAATTAGTGAATAGTTAACCGAAGTAGCTGGTTCCAAATGGGTAAGACGGTGGTGGCTGGGCCTGTCTTGGCCGCGAAAGAGGGTTTATGTACTGGTTGAGGAAGAAGGTTCAAAAAGTCAACCAACATTGCAAGAGCTCCACAGTAAGGGCCTCGTAGACTCACTTCAGACTTTCATGCCCCTTTGCAGGCCTAGGGTCATTGATCCCCTTGTCAGAAATCGTTCTGGGATCTTGGGAAGAACATCACCACTCATCGTGCCAATGGATCGATGACACCGAGCCTTTTCATTGACGGCCGGTGAAGGACGAGCGGGGTAGCAGCCGATCTTGACGGTTCAATGGCTGTTTCGATTCCATCAGCTTGATGCCTGTCCACAAACTCGGTCCGATCTCTCGCCAGGGAAGATCCTGTGAGCAGAGGCAGCTGCGGATTAAGGTACCGCCACTAGTTATCAGTAAGTATTTCCGCGCTGAGATTCGAGACAGGCCCCCGTTTCCCACCGGACCAATCGCAATGGAGTGACCGTCACTTACGATCTACCAGTACTTCTACTAGAGATACAGCCCAGGTCCACCTACAAGGCATTATGTACCTGTACCGTTGAGCCAGGTGCAGAGTACCTTATCAGTCATTACGATGTCTACGGTCCCCTCCGGATAGCGTGTCGATCACTGAATCGAATCATCGACAATGCTATCTCACTTGCTGAGTGGGACTGGGTAATAAGACTTGCTTCCCAAGCTACATGATTGAGAAGCAGAGCTTGAGTTGATTTCCGGGATTATTGCTCCTCCGGCAAGGTACCTCAGCCATATAATTCCAGGGACCTGAAACATTAGTAGGTAGCATTGTCATCCCGATAACTTAGTTGTAAATATTGTGCGTACATCTCTGCTGATAGAGCTTCGTACCCGTGGCTTCATTGTATAATACAGGTGTCAGGGGCTGCTTATACTTACAGACACGTGCTTCCCCCATCATCCACCGCAAACCATCCTTCGTTTGGGTCTATCCTTCCAACATCTCCCTTATTTCGTACCATATGGTCATATAACCACGGTGCCCATGGCTAGAGGCATACCTGAGCCCTCGTCGGGTTCAATTAAGGCTCTACGTTACGCTTGCGACCGCTGTCATGGGCAAAAGCTGCGGTGCCCTCGCTCCCAAGCCGCTGATAAGCCTTGTCTTCGCTGCCAGAAAGCTCAGGTACCATGTACCCTCAGCGTAGCACACAAGGTCGGCCGTCCGCCAAATTCACGCAATAGAATTTCCAGTCTGCTGCCAACTAGCTTGCATGCACAAAACACAAGGCCTGGTAGGTCCTTCCGGGATATGAGAAGGAGTCCTGATGGATCAACTAAGGGTAAGTCATTTCTATTCGATATATCCTCAAATGTGTTGATAAATAACACCTGATGGTCTCAGAGCATTGCAAATTGCATAAGCCTCCTCAGGACCTCAATCCCAGCGAAAATGGTTCTATGATGGACCTCGACCCATCTTCAATTGTACCCCATTCGACAGCGCCAACCCAAGCCTCTTTCTCCGTTACCTCTGACTCTGCAGTCTCTATGGACACGACAACACCAATCACTCGCTCGATTCCTTCGATTTGTGATCAAGAGTCGGAAGAAAACAATACATCCGTGGATTCAGGTCAATATATGGCAATATGGTCAGCTCAGGGTATAGAGCATCTCTCAGCTTTCATCATTTTCTCTTGTGGGCTTTCATACCAGGTTCTACCCTACATAAAGGATAGTCATAGTGATACGATCAGATCTTGCAGAAAACTACGACTGTCCAAACCTTGACTCTCCGGACGAGCCTACGCCTGAAGTCAACGAGATTGGGGTGTCGCACCATCCCGACTCACATGGCATCTACAGGAATGAACCAATGCTCGACTATACCGCGTCGTCGGGCTCGTCCCATTCTCAAGAATCGACTATATCACAATCACGGCAGACTAAGCCTATATGTCAAACATTCGCGGAAGAGGAATTCCAGGGCTCATTTCACCATTGGGGTGGTTTTTCGGCTCAGGCCGGCGCCAGCATACCATCATACGAATGGCTTTCCCACTCCAAATTCGTCACCTGTCTGCCGAAATTAGTTGATCTCAACATGAACCTTCTTCGGCTGTCGGAAAAATCTCGAGTTACAACTGCCCAGTCCCTCAAGGCTCCAGCTGGTCGTGAAAATGAGGTGATTATCGAGATAGTTCAATATTCAAGGGAGCTAATTGATCTAATGACATACATCAAGCCCACCTGTCGCTCGAGCCGTGACTCTCTTGCAAGGCAGTCGAGCACAGATATTTCCTACAGCATATACGATACTAGCACTCACTCCGGAAGCTCTTCTCACAGCCTGGACCCAGATATGTACGTTCAATACGACATATTGTCGGACGTTGCTTCCGGCGGGCGCACCGAGGCTGGTTCCCGGCGTGATTCGATGTCAGCAAGTACATTGATCTTCCTTGTAATGGGATGTTACACGCAGATAATGTACGTATTCGAAACGATCATCGACTGTCTATATCAAGATCCAACAGCATCTGCCAGTCAAAGCCGCAGCGGATCCTCGCTGGAGACTTGCCTCCATATTCACACGATTACGTACCTGCTCGATCACTTGCACAAAGCCCTCTCTGCCTATCCACCGGACATTCCTCGAGACAATGAGTTTGACAATATCATATATAATGACGACAGCAATCTACGTGCTCAGGGTCTAAGATGTGCGACACCAGCGTTCGGCAAGAGCACAGCAGGTATCCTTCTGGGCCAGGCATCTTGGGAAATTGGAGAGCGCGAGAAGGGCCTTGCGAGCAAGATACAAACTTTAAGCCATACTGTAAATATTAGTCGATATTACAACTAGGAGAGGATGACAGTCCCCTGGGCTCGGTTCTCGGATTAGGAAACTTCACACACATACCGTGTGGTTTGGGCTGGGCAGCATATGGATGCGGATACTGTAAAAACTCTAGATATGGAGATGGAGGAATAAAAAAGTAGAAACGAGACACTGCGTCGATGAAACACCACTCCGAAGTGTCGCATGTAAAGCATCCCACCACCTTACCCCTTCACGACAATCTCCGATAATGTTCACTGAAAAACCCACCTATAAAGCTCACAAACGCGAACCCAAAGACCCATCCAGACATCCAACGCCAGCGAGAAAGAAAGGACAAATGAATCAACCCTACAACCCCCATCAACCCCAGAACCAGCCCTACCACCGAAAACACAAGATACTGTAATCCCATACCCACCAACACCCCTAAGACCGAAAGAACCCCAGCAATCCCACACACCAAACCCCAAAGCAGAACCAAAAGATGATTCCGGAACAAGACCGCCATCCCCTTCACCCCAGACTTGACATCATCCGCCGTATCTTGTGTCGCATACACAACATCATAAAACACAATCAACAACACAATAGCCAACATCAAACACATCGTCGGTATACGGTTCCTCCCTGCCAACACATCCACATCCAGCGTCCACGCCGACAAAACAACCGTCAACCCCAACGAACATCCCAACACTACCTGCGGGAAACTCGTGAATCGTTTACAGAACGGGTACACGAGCGATAGTAAGGCGACTATCCCCGCCACGGTCATAGCGTGGGACGATATACCTTTTAGTGAAAGCAGTGCGAGAGAAAAAAGCACAGCTGCATAGATGTGTGCTTGCGAGGTCGTGACTGCGCCCCGGGCAATAGGTCGGTTCCGACATCGAGCCGTCTTTCGATCGAAGTCCTGGTCTACGGTGTCGTTCCAGACACAGCCTGCGCTTCGACATAGAGCAGCCCAGAGCATGAGGCGGAGGGCCCGTGTATAGAGTGTGTGAAGTGGAGCAGGTGACGGTCCGATGGCTGAGGCGTAGGCCAGACCCACGATGTGAGGTACCCAGACGAGGTAGATCCCATGCGGCTTGTCAATGCGGATGAGCTCGGCGTAGGGGACCCAGGAGGATGGAAGGGTAGACAAGAGACCTGTCTGAGGCGGTGTGTATTCTGATTCTTCTGACAATGAAGATGGTTCGGGTTTATTGATCATATTGGATGATGATTTTGGGTTCTCTCACAACAAGACAAGGCCAATTCCAATGACTGGTATAACATTAACAGGGTAATGATCCCTCAACAAGGTAATATAATTTACTCCCAGTTCAATCTCAAACATCTCCTAAGAGCCGTCCCTCCCCTCTCTTCCTCCTCGGAAACACAAGCTTCAGTAAACAACCAACCCATACCAAACACCCGTTACACCACCTCCTACATCTCCCTCCTCATGGAACAAATCCCCCAAGCAACCCACCGAACCCATAGAAAAATAAATTATTCCCCGACTCCAGACATCAGATAATATTCACCGAATATTGTGGCTGCTCCATTACGTATCCTCAGCGCCTGTGGCTTTTCCACCACCCCCCCCCCCCCCCTCCCGAAATCATTTCCCAGCCATGACAAATTCCCCATTTAGCATCTGCAGACATCGGCTAGGGAAGTGGCTGTATTTGAACTGTCAGAAAACGGTTTGGGGGGGGGGCAGTCCGGATCGTGAGAAAAAGAAAAAAAAGGGAAATGATGGTAGCGTAAGGGGGTGAGTTTGAGGCAAGACACAATTGTGAATAGTTTGGGATAGACTGGCGATGGTCGTCGCGCTTGGGCCTGTAGTGGCTTGGTTCAATGTTGCGATATTTTTATTTTGGGCGGGTGAGTTGGGAACTTTAGTTTTGTGAGGCGAGGGAGGTGTTTTGTTGGGCAGGGTGGTTTGAGATAACTTGGTATCTACCTGAGGGATTTATTTATTCATGTATCTTATTTTTCTTTTTGTTTTGTAAAAAAAATCGGTTAATAATGAGAGAAGAGATGCGAGGCTAGAATACTGCCTGAGGCGGGAAAAAAGTAAAGTTGACTAAATGCATTAGCTGGGAGTCGAACCCAGAGCCCAACCTTGGAAGGGTTGAATGTTACCGCTACACCACTAATGCTACTTGTTGGAAAATAAGCAGTTACTTTAATTTATATTCACAACATTGATATAGCTCCATCCCCACATGGCCGCTCGCTCACTATGCAGGTTTTCTATGTTCAGCGTAGATAGAAACCTTCCGACCATCTGGCAGCACCTTTTCCCTCTTGCTAATATAAACAAGCAGAATACCGTAGACAAGATCGCAGACCAATGCAGTTGACCATAGGTAGACCCCAAGTGACATATGAACGTACGAATATGTCTCTGGCCAGGTATAGGTCCGCCAGAAGAGTGGGACGTAGGGCATGAGGATTGTTGCGAGGGTTCGAGTCAGCCTAGCTCATTCAATCAGCAGCATACATTAACATCATCGTGAAAGCCGCCCACTCACCAGATAGCTATCGTGTTTGCACCTGTATGCCCCCGCGTAATCAACTGATTGACCGACAGAACCGAGATAAACAACTGCGACAGCCCCCCATCCCAGAACTTGCACTCCGTCGGATCCTCGAACCTGCTGAACCACCAGTCGAGAAAGAGCCAATGTCCCAGCATGCACCAGCATGTAAGTCCGAACAAGATCTTCCCCAGGTTGTCTCGCACGAGCGGTGCATGCTCCCATTCGTACTTGCCGTATTTCAGTGTCTGCCAGACGAGGCCCACGTCGATGACAGCCCACATAAGAAATGCAGCGTTCTTAATGGGAGTATCAGCGAAGTGGAGTGTGAAGACTATTTCCCAGGCGAAATTGTTGGCCAGAGCGAAGAGTGGCATCGAGTAGGATTTGGTGCGGATGCCCTCCCGGATCATGAGAATGTAGCTGACACACCATAGGAGCATGCCGACCGCGCTCACAGGTAGGATCCAAGCAGAATTTAGGGGATCGGGAGGCTCAACGGGATTGGCGCTCATTTCGATTCGAATGGTCGTGGATGTGCTGGATTGGAGGGAGTCTGAAATTTGAAGGCTTCCGAAAGATAGAGAACTGGATTTAGACTTAGAGGCGGATGGGGATGTAGGAAAAGGCGAGGATTCGTGTTTTTGCCTGTAATCAGACCTCGTCAGCAAATAACACGATGGATGGTTTAGTTTTGTCGTGATGCCGATCAAAGCCAGGGAGACCTAGTGATCGGGGCCCTCGTCTCTGCCATTTCGTCTGACGATGAGCCTCTGAGAACCAAGGTAATACACCGAATGTAGTCTGCAGGAGGGATGCAATAGTTCAATCAACTGAAGAAAACGGTCGGGCTGGGGATAGGACGCGACCAGCTGGATGTTAAATTGGGCTGACAATGCTTGTCGGTGTCAGTTATGGGCCAAAGAGGAACCCGTCCTTTCTTTTTCTGATGGCGGGGTACTTCTAGACTCTCAAGAATACTGCAGCACCTTGTAGGATATTTGGCAAGGCAAAGAAGAAGCATCCCGATCCTAATTACTGATCATATTGAAATGCGGAGGCTGCATGGATCACAGTACCAACGCGACACGACATGAAGACTGCCCAACCACACAATGTGATGGAGCCGCCACGGATAACATCAGCAAATCATGCTATCTTCCAATGAGGGGGAGATCATACGATGAGAGATGGCTATCTTCTGTAGCTGCTGGGGGGTAACACAAAACTCGAGGGAAGCAAAATTGGTCGCTAATGTCGTCTCCCACAACACTCATGGCCCCAGAAGTGAGAACCTTTACGAACCTGTGCACCCTGTAATTTGCATTACTTTGTAAGCGTCACCAGGCTTATTTTGTGACTGGAATAGGGGAAGATTATTGTTGGTAGATGCTGAATAGAGCATCGGGTGAATATTTAGACGATTATGCTCACGCACCACTCGCGAAGATATAATCATAAACTGATCACTCCATAGATCACAGGAGACCATTGAATTCTACTGATTCGGCTTCAGATTAGATAGAATATATCATCCAGCGTGGCCACTCATTCTCGTTCTTGTTAGCAAATGTTCCTATGTATTTAATCTGTACTATAATTGAATGAAGTCTCGAATATGGTTTCCCTCATTCTTTTCACGAAAGGTACAAGACAATGCATCCGCAAGCTTGTATTAGAAACTCACCGGTCTGAAATCGGTGGTAAACAACTAGGAAATATGGCCATGGAAATGAACTATCATGAGGTAAGTTAGAACCGGTTGGAGGTGTATAAGTCCATCATCAATGGTGGCCTTGCGATCAAGTACTGACTTGAAGATCTAGGAACTGACCTCCTGGACTTGCTATATGATCCAGCACAGAGTAATATCTGACCTCTGGTGCAATGGCATAGATCGACTCAGTCGTGGCAGTGAACAAACAGGGTGACGGGTCCCGGCCTGAGGCTCGTTTGAAGGCTGCCTTACAGCCTTGCAGTGAATCACCTGCGTTAGACTCTGCGTCTGCCCCGCGCCCACAGACACTCCCTTCTCCCTTTCTCATAATCTCCCATTGTTGTCACATTGTTATCCTGTTTCTACGGGCGTTTACTGGAGATATAATCATGGCGGATTCCAATAAACTCTTGACATGGTACGTATAACACAGAGCCCATCAGGCTAGCTTAAATAAGAGCAGTAACGAATTCATTCTCAGGTACAACGATGTCTACTCTCGTACCGTTGATCTCGTGGGTGACTACGCAGGAAGCGAACTCTTTATCATCGAAGGGGACTCGCTTCTCTTGCACTGCTTGACCGACGACCAACTTCATTTTTCCAGTGGCTTCCAGTTGCTCCATGCGACTTACATTGTGGAACGATTCCTCGCGAACCTTCGCCAACGGAACTGCAATTTTCAGATCGTCTTCTTCTCAGAACACTCGGTCATATCGATTCCCCCGCATGTTGACAAGGCATCCAGGCCAAAGTATAGTCTCGCCCGTGAAGCGATCCTCCAGCATCTTCTACAGAATGCTCCCGATGCAGTCCCGTCCGTGCGAGTGAAGTGCTTCAATAGATACGACAGTCAGGAGTTCCGAGAATACCTTGCTGCAGAGGGTGTTTACTTCTTGATGTGTCATGATGGAGCATTGATGGAACACAACCAGCATGGCAAAGAATCGGTAACAGTAGGTGATAACGAGAATCTAAGGGTGTCCGGTGACTCGGATTTTGGTAGTGAAGGAACGGTTGATGGTGCTCTACCGACAATTGGTCCGACTAGTGCTATCCTCAGATCTATGATATGCTGGTTTATTGCCCATGGTTACAACATCTCATTGTTGAATAGTGTGGAGTGTCGAGACACGAAGGTATGCCTCGACCCTTTACACAGTATTATTCATGTTCTAACAGTAACAGGTGTTCACTACAGTTCTAGAGGGCTCCGCAGAAAACGCACAGAACATCTATCATGCCAGATTAAAACCTACCGGAGACCCAGAATCATCCGAGCCCGACACCCAAAAATTGGCAGAATTCGATACAAAGACTGTCCATGGCCACATCAAAGCTCATCCGATCGCTCAACGTTCTCTCGCCAAATCTTCCTCGACGGAGTTTATGCTACGCAAGTTCATGGATATAATTGGCACCACATGTCATCATGTCACCCAGCGGGAATGGGTTTCGGTACTTACCGCAAGTACCGTGCTCAACTTTGACTCTTTTGAAGCGAATGACATGGTGGCAATATGTGCCCTGCTTCTACACACAGTTATACTGAGCGAATGCAAGCTTAGTGATCGGACCTACAGCCCCACAGACTGCACTGGTGAGCTTTTTCTGGTGCAGTATGCTGAGATGGCTAGGGATATCATCACGTCACCACTTTGGCACGAGGCTGTCAGAACTCAATCTATATGTTGTGATCTGGCAGACCTGATGGATGGAAGATTGTTCCTACAGTTGTTGGAGCTATGCCGCACCACACCTCGAGGATTTACCCTCAGCCAATCGGTATTGACCCGATTCTCGGTCCTCACATCCCTGGTGAAATATCTTTGCGGATCCGAAGTATCTGGTATAAAGATCATCAATGAGGCAGACAAGAAAACAGCAAGCGGCAACAGGCGGACGACAGTGTCGTCTAAACACCTGCCTAACGATCAGAAGGAGCCTGCTAATGCCGTACTGCCGTTCAACAATCCTGTTTTTGATCCTCATCTCAGGCCTATATCTCTCGTCGTTGACGAGTCCGCTACTGAGATGAGCGACTTTGTGGTGTCGCGGACTTTTGAGGAAATGAGTCACTGGCATAACCATAAGCGCCCGCTCGATAAACGAAACGAAGGTCCCATGCCAGAAAAGCTCCTTCGCCGGAACCAATTCTTCATGGCCGAAATTACGAAATATGCTGCCAGTCTCACGAATGCAGCCGGGGGGATACTGGAACCAGAGACGGTTTTCCTAAAACCTGAAAAACACTTGGGTCGTGAGCCGATAGTAAAGCGAACCATCCGAGTGACTGAAACGCCTCGAAACAAGCAATTGAAAGTGAACGGCCCAAAGCAAGGATCCCACCAAAAGATGGTCGGGTCATTGGTCAAAAATCAAGCGACAATTCAGGTACAGGAAAAGCAACACAGCGCCGGTGCCAGGCAACTGAAAGCTTGGGGCAACAAGTGTCAAGGCTTCGAGAAAGAGACTAGTTTGACTCGAAGGTATCTCAAAGCTCGAGAGTATCTTGTCAGTCTTGAAAAAGAAAAAAGATATTTGGTGGAGGTCGAGGTACTCACCTACCAGGTGAGTACTTTGGTGCAACTCTGGAAGAAGAAGTGTGCGTCAAATGAGCAAGAAAAATCTCTGTCGATAGTGGCACTCATATGGTATGCTATTCTTCAAATATCCAAGGCAAAGCAAGGTATTACCGACGAGGTTGGGCGCCGCATACAAGATACCATAAACGTGTTCAACCTTCCAGCCATTGACATCTCACCTAATAGCGCTGGGAGGCTTTCATTCGAATTCACGTCGTTGGCGTCGCCTAAAGTCAAACTCGAAACAGGCTTGTCGCCGGTTGAGTTTCAACTTATTCATGCTGGACCGTATTTTGACCGCAACATGGACTCGGCACCGGATGCTCGTGTCCATGACTTCGAACCTGACCGGTGGCAGCGAGAGATCTTGGACCAAATCGATGCCAAAGCAAGTCTCTTTGTGGTCGCTCCAACTAGTGCGGGAAAGACATTCATCTCGTAAGTACATGCTATGGCCGTGCCACTGCTTTAGACCCAGATTCTGACAGCTGTTCAGTTTTTACGCGATGAAACAGATTCTTGAGGATAGCAACGATGGCGTTCTAGTATACGTCGCCCCGACTAAGGCTCTTGTCAACCAGATTGCTGCTGAAGTCCAGGCAAGATTTAGCAAAAGTTTCAAGCATGTTGGGAAGTCAGTCTGGGCCATTCATACCCGTGATTACCGCATCAACGACCCGGCAGGCTGTCAGGTTTTGATAACGGTTCCTCACATCCTTCAAATTATGCTTCTTGCCCCATCGAATGCAAGGTCATGGTCATCCCGGGTTAAGCGAATTATTTTTGATGAGGTCCACTGCATCGGCCAGGCGGAAGATGGAGTTGTATGGGAACAACTGCTTCTCCTTGCTCCTTGCCCTATTATTGCACTCTCCGCGACGGTTGGGAACCCGGAAGAATTCAAGAATTGGTTGAGCTTGACTCAAAAAGCGAACGGTTGTGATTTGAAGATGATTGAACATAAAGCGCGCTGGTCAGACTTGAGAAAGTTCAAGTACAATCCTCCGCAGGCTTTCGTCTTCAAGGGGCTACCAAATGTCACTGATATGGCAGCACTCGGTCTCGATGGCTGTCCAAATATGTCATTCATACACCCTGTGACAAGCCTCATTAATCGATCAAGAGGAATCCCGGACGATTTAACTCTTGAGCCACGCGATTGTTGGAGTCTTTGGAAGGCCATGGACAAGTACAAAACAAATAAGTATCCGCTTGACCGAGATTTAGATCCCTCAGTTGCACTGCCGACCGTCATTTCAAAAACGAATGTATTGGAGTGGGAGGCTAAGCTGAAGACTGTTTTGAAAAGCTGGCTGAACAACCTGGACTCGCCATTCAATGCGGTTCTGGAAGAGCTCTCCCCCAAGTACCAGCCTGACAACAAGTTTGGTGTTCAGATATCGACTGGCGTGCTTAGTGAATCCGAAACACCTCGCAAAGTTCGGGATACCAGTATTCTTGATACGACACTTCCTCTCATTTGTTCCCTGCATGACCAAGGCGCTCTTCCGGCGCTATTTTTCAATTATGATCGGAGTTGGTGTGAGAAGATATGTCAGGAAATTTTGAGTGAATTGCAGGAATCCGAAGCCCATTGGAAGGCTTCGAGTTCGGCTTGGACACAAAAGATCGCTGAATGGGAGACCTGGAAAAAGGTGGAAGCCAAACGCGCCAAGCAGAAACTTCCAACCAGGAAAACAGGAAAGGGAGAGAGCATGTCCAAGGAGGAGCAGATGCGCGATATGACTGCCGAGGAGTCGAGCTGGCATGAATCCTTCGACCCTGAAGAACCAGATCCCAGGTTCTCACTGGCCGATATGAAGAAATTGGCGCCTTCGGAATTTGAAGATTACGCTGAGGAGCTCAGGAGACGCGAGGTCCCCCAATGGCTAATCGATGCCTTGAAACGAGGAATCGGTGTCCACCACGCCGGTATGAATCGCAAGTACCGCCAGGCGTGCGAGATACTGTTTCGCAAGGGCTACCTACGCGTCGTCATCGCTACAGGCACATTAGCTCTCGGAATCAATATGCCTTGCAAGACTGTTGTATTTTCTGGAGATTCCGTCTTCCTGACAGCCCTTGGGTTCCGGCAAGCAGCCGGTCGAGCTGGACGCCGAGGCTTTGACTTTTTGGGCAACGTTGTCTTCCAATGCATATCGCATTCCAAAGTTTGCCGCTTGCTGAGCTCAAAGCTTCCGAGTTTGAATGGGCATTTCCCCATCACAACAAGCTTAGTGCTGCGACTCTTTATTTTGTTGCAGAAATCCGAACAAGCTCCCTTTGCCGTCAAAGCGATCAACTCGATTTTGTCGTGTCCACGGATCTATCTCGGTGGCCCGGATTCCAAGCATACCGTACTCCATCATCTGCGATTTTCAATTGAATATCTTCGCCGTAACTATCTGCTGGATACCAACGGGCTTCCTCTCAACTTTGCGGGCACAGTAGCACATCTCTACTACACCGAAAATTCCAGCTTTGCGTTCCACGCGCTCCTCAACGACGGTTATTTCCACAGACTGTGCAAAAATATTAGCAGCAATCCTAACTGCGTTGTTCTGACATTAATGTTGGTTATGTCACACCTTTTTGGGCGCCAATACCTACGGCCTTCTATCTTGGAACGTCTTCGGATGTCCGAGAAAAAGCCCACCTCTGTCGTGGTCCTTCCCAGCCTGCCAAAACACGCAGCTGAAATCCTACGCTCCCATAACAAGAAGACCCTCGAGATTTACTCCTCCTATGTTACGACCTTTGTTGAGCAGCACGTCAAGGATCCAGACTGCTTTCTCCCGCTGACGCAAATCAAGTGTGGAGGCGATAAGTCCCCGGATGAAATCAGCTGCTTGTTGCCTATCACTCCTCCCACTCGAGTCACTTCGTCATTCGTTGCACTGTCAGGGCACAAAGACGAATGGCGGAGCATCTCCGATCTTAGCCAGAAGGTTCGCAGCGGAGTCTGGCTGGAGTGGGCTGTGGTTCCATATGTTGGTCTTTTCCCCGAAGAGGGCAAGTTTGCACTGAATGCCTATCTATACGATTTCTTCAAACACGGAAATGTAGAAGCTTTGGAGAAGGAAAATATTATCCGCAGAGGCGACATATGGTTCGTTTTGAACGACTTTTCCCTCGTTCTTGCGACGATCGTGACCAGTTTTGAGAATTATCTAAAGTTGTCCAATAATACTGATATGGATTTGTTGGACGTGGCAGGTAGTGGCGATAACCGTGAGCTCAGCTTGGAAGATGATGCTGTTGATACAGGTCAATCATCTCCTGGGAAAACAACGAAGACGGCTGGTCGAATTTCAGCCACGATGCAATCTAAACCCAAGACTCCTATCTCCCCAGGCCCCAGTGCCAGACCCAAGAAATCAAAGGTTGCTGACAGTTGGGAAGACGAGTTGAGCGATGAGGATCCAAGCCAGAAGGACGATGAAATTTCCAAGGGATCCGAAAAGCCCATCAGGACTACCAATCAACTGAAAGGAAAGGGAAAGAATAATGTTGCTTCTGCCCAGCGCAACAGTGACTCTCGAACCGAATTCAACGAGATGGAATTTTTGCAGGTCCTACAGGCCTTTAAAATGCTCCAGGCCGAATTCAATGCGAAGTTCAAGGCCATGTGGGCGTAATAGACAAGATCGTTTTGGCTATTGTTTGATAAAAGCCTTGGACGATTTGGGTGGACATGTTTTCAATTGGCTTCTGATGAATTTCTATATTCACGAATCTTGCCTCTTGCTCAATTTGAATCTCGGATCGCTCGGTTTTGAATAGTTAATGGATTACAGAATGTAACTGAATTTTCTTGGTGCAGCTATTGGAATCGCTGTCTGGCTATGAGAATAATACACAGCATCGAGCATTCCCTTGTCATACATTGACTAGTGCTATACTCTAAGGGTCACGGTGATTGCTTTCCTTCACCTATTGCCAGTCACAACAGACATCCCATTCCATGCACTAACCCAAGCTTATAAAATCCATACAATCAATGAATGAAAGTCTATGAGTTGTCTATAAAAGCGGACATCTCATCTTCCTCTTCCACCTCCCCTACTCCTACCACTTATAGCAAATCTAAAGTCAGGCCTATCGTCGATGCTACAGCACATATTTTATAAAACGAATGGCCTTACCATAGGGCACATCTTCTAAGATACTACGCTTTATGCCCGGGGCCCTCTCCTCTCTTTTTAATATCTATAAAACATCCACTACCACGAGTATTGCGAAACAATAATCAAACCTAGTCCTCAGCCTACCTCAGACTCCCACCCAAAGACAAACAGCACCATGTATTTCAATACAAAATAAGCGATGATCAAATTGACACGACTTTCCAGAAAATCAACGAGCGGATACAGGTCACCTTAAGTCCTGTTTTTAGCCAAACGCAGACGAAGCACAACGTGTCATACCTAATTGCATGCATCCATCTAAAGATGCGTGCAACCACATTGTATGACCTCGATGGACGTACATTAAACCCCTGCTGTGTCATTCCCGACCATTCCATCGTCTTAGGAACAGTGGAGGATGCTGTGGCTATTATACTTCGAATATCTATTCATGCATGTCGCAAACGAGATTTTTATAACGCACATATTCCCCTGGATGTTATCGCACCTAGATTAACCGTTTATCATAAGTTTCACGAGGTTGTTTAAGATTGATATCTAACTCCCTCAGCCATCTACACTGCTGCCGTTCGGTCTGCCGCGTTATTATATTAATACTACGACTGGGAAAACAGGAGGGGTTCTCAGCATCACCAAATATGCATGAAGCAACTCAAGCAGAATCGACTCAGTATGACTCAGTATGGAGCCAGAGGTGGGATATACATTGAACGGCTCATGGATTGTTTCCCTACACATGGTGGATATCCAACTCAGTGCTTATGGTCACGGTGAAGTCACTAGCTAGAAGCTGTCCATGGATTTCTTTCAGACAGAGAAGGGAACACTGGTAGATGGTGTGAAACAGCCAAGTTGAAGATACGAAATGTTTGATTTCGATCAACACTTGGATAGATCGATGTGGAAGCGTGAGAATGCTGCCCATGCGAGTATCAGGCAAATCTTAGTTGGACCTGCGCTTTGCACAACATGAGGAGAAACAAAGGATGCATACCAAATTGAAGAGCCTCGATGGGAATCTTCTTCCAGATTATTTGGCACGGGCGTTGGAAGAGGCCAATACCGAGCTATGAGCCAATATAGCAAAGAGGAGTTGGCAGAATACCATCCACATGTCATTCTCAACGAGTCTCATCAAACAACAGGAGCCAGAAATATACTGACCTCGCGCCACGCATATGTCGAGCATTATATAGACGCCAATATTTGAACATTTCAATATTACAGACACTATGGCTCGTCTCAGTAGAGCTCATCGCTCGCTGCTGTCCGTGGAAAGTTGAAGGGCTCGCGTGATGCCTACAACAAGAGGCATCCTGGCTGACAGGTGTGGGCTGGGCAAGACCATTATGGCTCGGTCATCAATCGTGATTGCGAGTTATCGAGTGAGGATGTTGCACAGACTAACCCTGGTACGATGTCCGTCATCTTTGCTGGAGAGGATGGGTGTTTTGGTGAGCAGATCACCGTTTTTTGTAGCCCTCTGTGTCCAAGATAGTGATTGAGCGCTGAGACAAAAATCATGATGGAATATTAAACAGCTAGGCATAGAGATATTCAGAAGTGGAGGGGTGGAAATGTGGTGACTATGAGATATTATCCATTAAATGTACTTCGACGGATAATGCTACGACATTGAGGCTTGCTGCTAACAGACTTCGAGATGCCCTTTACGGCATCAAATACGCTGCATATTCGCCACGTCGTGAAACTAGCATATTCCTACTTCTCTATAAGGTAAAAGATGCCATAAAGGGCGGAGAATTACTTTACCAAGTGCCAAGTTGTGGAAATTCACACCGCACTACTCGATCTGTTGGGTATCGACAAAGCCCTTATGTGGTCATTAGGAAGAAAGACATCTTGCGCTATATGAAAGAGTCTCCTAATACTCCGCATCTGAAGGATGCCGTTCCACAGCATTACTCCGCAAACAGTGGGTTAACCAAGGCTCATACGCCATGGCAACTAACCTGGACGGCATGGATGGTGCAGCAGAGAAAGAGTATAGTCCGGGGTGACATGCTAGCAGATCCCTGGGTATAGGCAAGAGTGCAACAGCCTGCACACTCATTGCAGCGCTCCCATGAGGGTATCGCACAATGGAGACGTGCTGGAAACAAGACCATCATATTGGGCGACTGTGCGTTTTCCCATGTTGCAATATATGTCTACTTCCTCATCCAATTCCGATGTGCAGTCTTCAGTCTCAGCATCACTTTTCAAGCCATTGGTCGGTTTGATTATTTCCGACAATAGAATCTCGGAATGAGTGGATATTATTCCAGGAACATACAATCTGCCGCCATCCCGACATTGGATCGGACAAAAAGGTTCTAGGGCAGCTCGCGGCTGATTTCCATCCTGAGGAGCACCTGGACAATGGAAAATTTGATACAATAGATCCAGAGAGATAAAACTTCGGTTGCGTATGCCAGGTATAAGATGGTATTCGGCACATATACAACGATTGAGGCAAGGTGCAGAGTTTCAGACCGAAAAAATTGGTACAGAAAGTCCTACAAGGCAGAGCACAGTCCTACTAATTAGATGCCCGGTGACTGCCCAACCGACTTGACTCAATAGCATCCATTCCCCGAGAAGAATAGTCAAGTTTGACCCCAGATGGCAGACCATAAAGTCTGATAGCCGACTGGCAACAAGGGACGCTATCAAGACGACACTAATGTGTTTGTTAGACGTCTCATTTGAGCATTTAACTCACCATATTCACGAGAATATCATTGGGATGAAGCTTACAGCTCTGAAGATGAGATCCCAATTTTGAAATCTCGGAAGATGCAATCCACGCGAACACGTGAAAAAACTTGCATTGTCAGAAAAGAGAATCCTGAAAGCCAAAAGGTGCAACTGACCGGTGGCTGGAATAGCGATCCTGTTGCTGGGAACCACCACACTTGGGAAAGCCATAAGGCAATCCAAAAGAAAGGGAACCAATTCCATGGTCTCCATGACAGATGGGGAAGCTCTACTCACATCTGCAAAGAAGGTTGAAGAATTTTCCAAATATCTCAATAGGAAATTATCACCCGCACTCGTCTCAGTCAAGATAGAAGCAGCGAGAAAAGCTCACGCATCGAAAGCGTTAGGGTATTTGGCATTGGAATTCAAATATCAAGGCAAAGGCTTTATGGCATCATAACTGCTGACGTTATGCAGGGAAAGGAGACCGTTGTCGTTAAGTCGGATAGTTTGATCCCCTCCGATAGACGATCCAGGGTTTATAACCGATGATATCTGGGCACATGCCAATGATAAATATGGATAACATCATTACATCGAATAAAGCATGCGTCTTCTTTGCCAGCAGGAACATCTACGGTAATATTGCACAGCCCAGGGGAATTGGAAGTATGACCAGTTTGATACAATCCCCTACATCGACACATGACGAGCCGGTGCAGTCTATCTGAGTGTTTCACTAAAACGCAACAATCCGCTCTCTCCTTCAGTTCATCAAACATCATGACGACCCGATATTATGAGATAACAGATCAGATGTGGATTGCAGACTTTACATGTTGCCGAGCCATGCATAAAAAAGCTGCATCAACTAGTGCAGAGCACTCTACAAATAAAGGCACACAGACAGAGTCTAAATACCCCGCTAACTTTACCAACATAAAGACAGTTTATCCTACATCATCTGACTCCCACCAAGGTCATCTACGTCTTTAAGCGCTTTCCATGAAGTTGATTGTGAAGCAAGCCATATCTTTTGCCCATCGATCTGCAGTACTTCATAGTGTTCGAGCTAAGGAAAAGAGTAGGAAGACATCCTGATAACAACAAGCGAAACATACCCCCGGTATTTGACTAGTTCAGCACTCATGCCACCAAGGACTGGTTCCAGAGAATATGACCGGTGGTCTGTACTAAAGATTTATCATGAACCCTAATAAGAATTTTTCTTTATTACCAACGTCAAAAACCCGACGCTAAAACATGGACTTCCTCTCGAGATCCTAACAACGGCCTTTAACATCTACATGGATACTAACCCCTCTACCATTCCTTCAACCGTGAGAGAAAACCCAATATTATTACATTCTTCACACCTATACAAAACCCCCAACCCCTACGACAGCAGATACACACCAACCCTGATTAAACCCAAGATTCTTACCCAAAACCCAACCCCCATCATGATGAATACTATCTAAGCACAAATTCCCCAGCCTTGCTCCTTATATCCAGGGAATAATCTGGCCCAATCATGTCTGTAACACGCAATGGTGATAACTCTGGAATTCCCAATCGATAAGACGGGGGAAATTTATCCTATCCTGTCGTGACATGGTTGTCGCCCGCGATCCAAGTCTCTGTTCTCGTCCCCGTCCACGGTGGCTATTATATGGTCTGTCAGATAGACACTACTGTGGCGTAATGTGCCATGAAGAGCCCGAGTGTACACTCGGTAGGACATCCTTCTGTCGCGGGCTTTATACTATAATCATGGCCAGCCGCAAGGCACAGGATGCTGCCAGGGAGAAGGAGAGAGATAATTTGGTGAAGGATCTTAATAGCATTGATATGCATGGGCGTAAGGTGGCTAGCAGCTACTCGGAGTTTGTGGCTATGCTTGAGAGCAATGCTGAAAGCGATGTGATACCTAAGGAGATAGCCCTTCAGATGCTTACTACGCTGTCTGATTCTATTATATCTATGTGCAAGGCTACACGTAATGTGTCTACGTTTATACACTTTGCATCTGGTACTGTGGGTGGTGGTTCTGGTGGCTACGCCTCGGGAACCAAGGACCCGGCTACGTACTCCCGCGTTACCCCTGGGGAGACGAAGAGCGTATCCTCGCAGTCTAGAGCACCATCTACTGTTACTGATGCATCTAAGGCTATGAGCCCAAGCTTCCCTAGGCACTACTTTGCCGACGTAGCTCTCGAGTAGGAGTCTGCGTATCCCATGCCACTTATCATATTAGCCATAAAGATATTTCGCACCCCGGGCTTCATTCTCCGCACGTTCGCGTTCCTGAACCGCAGGCTCCTGACCATGGTATCAGCGTTAAAACCCTCAGTGTGTATAGCTTAATGGAGATTGGCCGATTGTTGTTTTGAGTAAAGGCTTGCTTGTTGTTGATGAGCGAATTAGTGGGTTACCGCTCTTGGGATGTTAATGATAGAGAGAACCCAGGTTTGGAGGAAATAGGGGCCGCGAAATGGGAAAGGTGTTACATTATTTCAGGGCTTTCTTGCTTATTGATGGGCTATCCATGGTTTTGTTTCTTCGGTGATGGAGATAGCATGGTGAGGATGTCGGTTTTCACTGTTCTGGATTTGGTGTGCTGATTTAATAGGGGCATTGACAGGGTATTTTGAGATACAAGACCTGTGTATGTCGCAGTTGGGGGTTTGGTCTAGTTAATAGATAATGATGATACTCTACCACTACTGGAAGAACAGAATGCTGATAAACATTATCAATTATACCCTGCCACTAAACAAAACAAACATTGCCCAATCTATTCCAATCCATTCCAATCCCATCCATTCAAGTACTATGTATGTTCCAGCATAGCAGGTAACAAGAGGAACCGATCCCTATATCCCATTAGCACTTGGATCCATAGTGATAGAGCAAAAGGTACTAACCTCTCGTAATTAACTGCTTAAGCCTTGAAGTGGATACCAGCACCCGCACCAAGACCAGCATTGGCAGCGACCTCAGCAGCAGCACCGGCGTGACCACCGATACCGATGTTGAAGGCCTCGGGATTAGGGTTGGGGGTGGCGGCAACAATAGCAGCCAGGAAGGCAGTAGCGAAAGCGGAGATGAGAGTGAACTGCATTTTGCTGGGATTGGTTCTGATATTGTGTGTTAGAATGACTGTACGTAGCGCAAGTATATGGAGATGGACATACCCGTCAAGGAATGGAGATAGAAAGAGCGAAGAGATGGGTATGAAGAAAGAGACAGAGGCTTGCGATGATGGATGGAATAGAAACAATTCAAGCAGGAAATTTCGATGCTTTTATATCTTTTTCTCCCCTCTGAAAAGAGGCATGAGAAGTCGGTCGCGATGGTTGTCGAGGGGTCAGGGGCGTCTGAGATCTGATACCGCGGACTGGAGCTTATTTTCGGATTGTGGGGTGAGAACGGAAGGGATCGCCGATCTCACTTATCGAGACTGCGATCGAGAGGTTGGTGAAAGGGGTGGTTGACTGCGGTGGTTAGCTTCGACCGCGAGACTCAAATTTGGGTTTGTTGCCGGCGGTGGTGACCAGCTTGGCTAGACATTCTGCTCTTTGGGATATCGCCCATTCACCCCGTAAATACTGCCCTTGGCATGAAGACTGAAAAACACGAACGGGTGGTCTTATCTCACTTGTTTCTCTTTCTATCTGAATCCAAACTGGTCGGTTCGGTTCCGACGAACCAGCCCTAGATGCAACACCGGTGTCGATCTGCGGCGGCTCTGAAACGGCTCCGCGATGCTATTTTTACCGTCTCTCTCCAAACTCCTCATTGAACAACTTTCGGATACTTGGACTGTGCTGCAATGTGCCAATGTCATGCATTAAAGTGTGCCGAGGTCTGGTTCGGTCGTTGTCAGAATTGTATCCTTTACCTTTTTTAGGACCGGGATTGGCAGTGTGCTGTCACTTGATGCGACGACCTTAATTACAGAAGGTTTGGCTAAAGAATAACTGGATTTTGATACCTATCTCCTCGCCATTGGAGTATACTCTCCCAATGGCATGTGCAAGACGGCCGGAACACGGATACAGTGCCCCCGATGCACTCCGGCAAAGCCATGAACTGGTCTCAAATGTTTCAGTCGACAAGGCACGGGATATGCCAACTGGGTTCAATTACCTGGCTAGGAAGGATCAGCAAGCAGACTTCCGAGCGCTCCTTGCGGGTCTGAGCAGAATTGGTCTGCGTGAGCCGAAGATCATGCGACTTACCGCTTAGCTATTGGAGGAATGTTGGCGATGCTTTCACATGCTAGGTCGGATCTTGCAAAGCAATTATATCCGCTCACGCCTCCTCGCACCTGTCCATCGCATCCATCGCCTCCTGACATAGTGTCCTAAACTCCTCCGTCCCATCCGCATGGCTCTTCACTTCTTCCAACCGACGTCTCCAGAACTTCCACCGTGGAATTGAGAAACCCTGCAACTGATCCGCCTTCCACAAGCGTCCCCGGGTCCTCTTCTTATCAGCACATGTCCGTTCCTGGCAAGCCGTATAGATAGCGGGCGCAGACAAAATGAACCAAACCGTCGCAGTCGGGATGGTACTGTTCAGTAGGACCTTGTGACCTATCCTCTGATGTGTCTCTAGCGACATCATGCTAAGCAAAGCTTCATAATCCCACGGCGTATAAATGCCACAATTGGTGAAATTGGCCAGAAGTCCGTTGAAATTTCGGAGCTTCAAGTCACACTTATCGCCCAGTTCTTCGGGGGCACTGATCTCTAGTTATTCTGTTAGTTGGTTACTATAGCACACATGATTATCGAGAATATAACAAATGCCACATACGACGCCACCGCTCATCCAAACCACATATAAAATAGCCATGGAGCGACCACTCTTTATACCCAGTCTCCTGGTCCTCATCTTTGACCGGGATTTTTGGTAACGATTCCATTGCTTGCAGGAGGGATATGAACCGTTGCATGGGTTCCCCGCGCCAGTGCAGTTGAGGTACAATGCGGAACATCATCTCCCACAGCTCAAAGAGGAACTGCTTGAGTGTTTCCGGTCGGTACAGTTCATCGTCATCTCGGGGCTTGGGTGGGGTACTTGGGAAGGCGTCGTGGAGTTGCTTCGCTGCTTCGATGGCTGTTAGGGAAGAGTCGGGCGGGAGGTAGGTGCACAGGAGATCGAAAACAGTCTTCTCGACTGGGGACGGTGGGTGAGGATCCTCGCGGGATAGACCGAGGGGGTTGGGTGCCATCGTGCTTGGGTGGTGGATAGATGGTTGGGAACTGTCCTCGGTGGAATTATGGCTTGAAGCACCGCCTTTTCAATCAAAGACTGTCAGTTCAGCTCATCCCAAAATACTATACCACTGGTAGGGGACCACAGACTAAAATATTATGTCAGTATTTAGATGACATAGTGCGCCTAAAATAGACCATAGGTGAATGAGTTCTATCCAGCTTAGTCTTCCTCCAACAGAACTCAAGAAAGGAGAACAAAGGAAGGAAATCGATCTTCGTAGGCTAAGCAACCTACCGTGAAGCAACAGAGGTCCTCACATACGATCTTCCTCCGGTACGGCGGACGATAGCGGCCCTGCGGCAAAACCCCTCCGCCGTCATGGCCGCCCGCCCAGATCCCCACAGCTCACCACCGCCTCACTACTATCCTATTCTAGGTTCCTAAAAAGGCCGTCAACACCAATCATCTACAGATACGTATCCTGCAGTATCTCTACGAGTTAACTGTAAGTTGACACCTGCACAAGATTTAGGTTTAGGTTAGGCTTTACGCTCACACGAATACGAACCCACCTCAAGGATGTTGAGATTAGCACTAGAGCCAGATGACAGCCCCACCCAGGCCAGCCTAGAACACAGAAAACGGGCGAGACCATCCCTATCCATCCTCAAGACATATCGCGGGGTTGATGCCAAGTCTGGTGCGTTTATGGGGTACGTATCCATCTGGTGATCAGGCTAGTATTCACGGATGGCTTTGGGGGATACCTCGAATGGCGTCGGCGAAATGGCAAGATAGACTGGAAGACGGTGGATTAATGCTAGGCAAATATACACAAAAAGGCATTTCTGCATGGGCTGATTCCAGGTAAAAGCAAGTAGGGCCCGAATAGCATCGCCTTTCGCGGCTAAGTTAGAAAGTTGAGTATAACCAACTGTCTTCCATGGCTTGTTGGTAGTGCTTGACAAAAGGTTTTCGTCATAAGCAATCACTGGCACCAAGGCTTATACGGGTGCCAAGTTGTTGCACAATTAATCGTGTTCAGTCCGCAAACGAAGCAGAAGGATGTGTTGTGATCGAATGCGAGGCGATCGAATCTAGATTGCTCTATTTCACTAAACCGGTCAGCAGATCAGTGAGAACGACCAGAGCACCCCTCTCCTAACTTACACTGGAGTTGGCTCCCGGGTCAAACATCTGTCCTCCCAGCTATAAAGACAGCGAGAAAGCATCGAAAGAAACATTCACCGATTTTCCTTATATCTCCACATCTCTTACTATTCGTTCACTTCTCCTTCTGCTCAACATCAAATTCTGCTCAGTGCTATTCTTGCTTCATCAGAGTCACGTTATCTTATCATGGCAGAAAACAACACGTCTGTCATCACGATCAATGGAAACCAATTGGACCCTGCGGCACAACGTCCGTTACTCAGTGCGTTGGGACTTCAGCCGGAGAATGCATCAACCTCAAACCATATCCTGGTGCAGACCAAGCAGCCTCTTTCCAATGAGCAGGAACTGGAGCTCAAGGAAATAGGTGTCAAGATTCTGGAGTATGTCTCCACGAACACCTACATGTGTGAGTTGAGTAAGCGAGACAAACTTTCGGACATCAATGACCTCGACTATGTCTCTTGGGTAAATGATTACTTGGATCATTTCGTGGTTGATTCAAGCTTGAAGTCTTCCGACTATGTGGCGGACCAGTCACCTTTCCCGACCGTGCCCAAAAATCGTTCTTCTCATCTCGTGGACATTGGCCTGCACAAGCACGTGGATCCCGACGCACCAGCTCTTCGAGAGAAAATCGGGGCCGTTGCCCATGCCGACCCGGATGTTTTGGAGGTGGCAGGGAATAAGATCCGGGTTCATGTCGAAAACCAATACCTGGATGATCTTGCTGCCGTCGACGAGGTCCGAGTCATTGAGCCAGTTCATAAGCCTCGACTGTTCAACAATCGGGCGAGGGCAATCATGGGGGCTCCTGTCCAAGTCAATGGCACCGAATTTCGAGGTGACGGTGAGTTCGTAGCAGTAGCCGATACCGGTTTCGATATTGGCCGGAAGGATGACGTTCACCCTGCGTTTACCGACCGAGTCAGTCGTCTTTACGCCCTAGGGCGTCCCGGGAAATCCTGTGATCCCGATGGCCACGGAACTCATGTTTGTGGATCGGTTCTTGGAGATGGGAATTCTGCTTTGATGGGCGGGGACATTCGCGGCACTGCACCGGGGGCCAAGCTCGTGCTGCAATCTCTTCTCGACCGTCGCAATGGACTCGGCGGGATCCCATCTAATTTGTACAATCTTTTCTTGCCGCCGTACCGGGACGATCAAGCTCAACCAGATGATAAAGCCCCAGCTCGTATCCATACGAACTCATGGGGTTCTTCTGCCTTCAACGGGGGCCAGCTGCCATATAACCAGTCCAGTGAGGCCATCGATCGATTTGTCTGGGATCACAAAGACATGGTGATTCTTTTCGCCGCCGGTAACAGCGGGGTGGATGCAGACCGAAATGGAGTTATCGACCCCCAGCAGATCGGGGCCGAAGGAGCCGCCAAGAACTGCATCACAGTGGGAGCGAGTGAGAATGGACGCCCGGAAATCCCGATTCGATATGGTTCTCGATGGCCTCGAGGTCCCATTACGACAGATTTGATGGCGGATCGACCGGACGGCATGGCAGCCTTCAGCAGCCGCGGTCCCACCAAGCAAGAGCGCATCAAACCCGACATTGTCGCGCCAGGGACTGCAATTTTATCGACCCGGTCCCGGAAAGTGATCAATGCGGAGGACAGCTTTGGGCATAGCGATGATCCGGCGTGGTGGTTTCTGGCTGGGACGAGTATGGCGACCCCTCTTGTGGCGGGCGGTGCTGCGGTGCTGCGAGAGTCTTTGGTGAAGAATGAAACCCCGCAGCCCACGGCAGCCCTGATCAAGGCGTTGCTAATCAACGGAGCGGTCGAGCTTACTGGGCAGTATATCCCAAGTGAAGCCGGGCCATCCCCGAACGGCAGCAGTGGCTTTGGGCGCGTAAATCTGACCAAGTCCGTAATCCTTCCCAGCCAGGACGACGGAGGCTTTATCGAAGGGGAGGCCCTTGCTCAAGGCCAGCACAAAGATATCGACGTCAATATCCCGCAAGGAACGGAGAGTTCGGATCTCAAGGTCACCCTGGTCTGGACAGACCCCCCGGGCACGGAGCTCCAGAATGATCTGGACCTGATTGTGATTGGTCCGGATGGAAAGGAAAAGCACGGGAATATGGGGGATGGCTCTGGCTTTGACCGAAAGAACAATGTCGAGCAGGTCGTATGGAAGGGACTGCAGCCCGGTTCCAGCATCAAGGTCAGAGTGTATGCCTTTCATATCTTCCAACGCGATCACAACCAGCCCTATGCAGTGGTTTGGACTATCAACCGTCACTAGATGGTCAAGCCGAAGGGTCTTGCTTCTTCTTTCGGACTTTTTTTCTCGGGCTTTATTACTTTATTTTCTTGAGCAAGCTTTTTGCCAACATTCTCCAAAAGTTGGACATGATTCACAGGAGCGGGGATGAGCGGGGATGAGCGGCGAAGAAAAGCAGGAGCTTCAAAAGGGAAATGAATCTGGGAAAATTGGTGTGAAATTAGTCTTAGTGTCTACTTGGACATTATTTCAATCGCAACAGTAGCTGTTGATTGCATATTACTGCCTCAGTGTCATTCTTCCCTTTGCACCTATGTCTTCGACAACTCGTGGAGTCTGTAGGAATCTATCCTAAAACTCTCGGTGCGCAAGGGATTTCCACATTACCTGGCCCTACACAAATCTAACAACTTTGTGGGCTATTGGTGTAGATTATGGTATCGATTGGTCCTCCATAACCAAGCTTCGTCCATCCTCGTAGCTTTTCCATGACCTAGCTTAGATTGCCGGGGGGTGGGACTACGTCGCAGATCTTCTGTCGCCTGTTACCTGTCTTGCAAACCCTGCCTCGGATTTGAATAATCATCTGCTGCCAGATATGATACTATAGCTCAAGTAACTGAGGAAAGGTGATGGCGCAGTGGGCAACGTGATTGTACACGTGATCCTCGCCTACCCGCCAACCAGGCATCTCATCATCCTCTGTTCTTCCCATCCCTCGTATCCCAGCTACGTGGCCTTCAACTGCCAGGATTTTGAGGACCAGTCCATCACAGGCCAGCATGGGGATGACCCCGCATGATGTCAGGGCAATCTTTGCGGGGAACATTTGATCTCCAGGCTGAAATAAGGTTAACTGCGATGATCGACCGAGACTCCAGACCGTCTGACAGGACTGACCCATGGGTATCTCCAACACCGACTGGATCAGGCAGCCCACGTGCGCCGCCGACTGGCAATGACTGTCTCGACTTCTGTTCAACTTCATCCTCACGAGCACGCACCTCCGCACAAGGCTTTGATTGGTCTCCACTATCATAGAAACATGACAGCAGATTGAGCCGGTGTGGGAAGGAACGGACGGAAAACTGCTCCAATCTCATGTGGACCATCGTTGATAAACCCGCGCTCCAACTTGTTTGCTACTTCTTCCCCAACTCATCTCTGCCCTGCTAACCTTTCTGATCGTACTTCAGAATCAGCTCTACCCGTACCTCCGACCTCAAACATGGCTGCTTCTGGCACTTTTCCAAACTACAACGTCGACCTCTCTCACGTGGAGGATCCCAACGAACGCCGTCGGCAGGCCCTCGCCCGCATTGACAATGCCCCTTTCGGATGGCGTCATGCTCGCGCGGTCGTCGTGGCTGGAGTGGGCTTCTTCACCGACTCCTACGACATCTTCGCCATCAATCTTTGCTCGAGCATGCTAGGCGTCGTCTTCTGGCAGGACGCGGCCACCCGTCCTGGAAAGATACCATACAGCTCCGACACTGCCATCAAAGTCTCTACCTCGGCAGGTACTGTTATCGGCCAGTTGTTTTTTGGATGGCTAGCAGATATTGTCGGTCGCAAGCGCATGTACGGGATCGAATTGATCATCATCATTCTGGCCACCCTAGCGCAGTGTCTGTCCTCGAGCTCTCCCGCCATGTCCATCACAGGCCTTTTGGTCTTTTGGCGTACAGTCATGGGTGTGGGGATTGGTGGGGACTATCCGTTGTCTTCAATCATAACCTCGGAGTATGTCTCCTCTTTGCAGTGTAGCTCAACTGACGATCTAGGTTCGCGAATACAAAGCGCAGAGGGGCCATGATGGGAGCTGTCTTTGCTATGCAGGGGTTTGGGCAGTTTGCTGCTACTATTGTGGCCTTGATTGTGACGGTGGGCTTCAAGGACTCTCTGGAATCTGCATCCTCGGTGAGCAAATGCAGTGGTGTCTGTCAGCTGGCCGTCGATAAGATGTGGCGGGTGGTCATAGGGTTCGGAGCGGTTCCGGCCTGCGCTGCGCTCTACTTCCGCCTGACTATTCCGGAGACTCCGCGTTACACGTTCGATGTCGCGAGAGATCTGCTCAAGGCGGACGAAGATGTCGAGGCCTACATTGAGGGCAAACACGAAGGTCATCCGGACGAAGTCAAACGGGTGGCGGTGCTACAGAGCGTGGATATTGGACTGGTCACCCCAAAGGCTAGTTGGTCGGATTTCTGGTCCCATTATCTGACCTGGAGCCACGGCAAGGTGTTGCTGGGCACGGCAGGCTCTTGGTTCTTCCTTGACGTTGGTAGGTAGCCTCTCGAGTGCTATAAGTGTGCTGACGTTGTAGCCTTCTATGGCCTTGGACTCAACAACTCGATCATTCTGACCGCCATTGGCTGGAATGGCGGGAGTACTGTGTACGAATACTTCTACCGCAACGCCGTGGGCAATCTGATCTTGATCTGTGCTGGGGCCATCCCTGGATACTGGGTGACGGTCGCCACAGTCGACTGGCTTGGCCGCAAGCCAATTCAAATCACCGGGTTTGTCATTCTAACGATTCTCTTTATCGTCATTGGGTTTGCCTATGAGCCATTAAAGAAGTCGGATAACGGGTTGCTGGCAATGTACGTAGTGGCACAGTTCTTCTTCAACTTCGGGCCTAATGCCACGACGTTCATTGTGCCGGGGGAGTGCTTTCCCACGCGATACCGGTCGACGTCGCATGGGATCAGTGCTGCGTCTGGCAAGATTGGAGCGATCATCGCGCAGTGCGTATTTGGCCCGCTGGCGCATCGGGGAGCGAAAGGAGGTGTTAATTCATCGGACACGCCATGGCTCAACCATGTGATGCAGATATTTGCACTCTTCATGCTGTGCGGGTGCTTTACCTCGTTTCTGATCCCAGAGACCAAGCGGTTAACCTTGGAGTATCTGGCTGGGGAGCGGGAGATGCCTACACCTACTGCAGCCACGGGACCGCAGCCAAAGAGTGGGCATGGGGATGCAGCCGTGCATGCTAGTTGATCTGGATGGTGGTTTAATGGGGAGAGCAGAGAAGGGACAGCTTGAACTCGTAAACTCCTATGGAACCAAGACTGCGATTAGCCAAATACCATAATGTATGCTTGTCACGCAGTCAATGAGCAAGACAAATTTCCGGAAATCTGCATCATTTAAATGTTCAGGAGCCGAAATAGTCTATTTCAACTGATAGTAATTAGAATGATGCGTCAGCATGTCTTCAGGATCCCCCCCCCTATCTTTCTTTCATCTCTTCCACCAACCACATACCTCACCTCAATTCTTCCATCAACCACTCCACCACACTTTCATCACAAAACTTTCAATCAAACATCTCAATCAATCTCTCATCAACCCCCCATCCAACCAAATCAACTAAATCACCACCATCCACCATGTCCTCCTCTTCCACTTCCCCTTCCACATCCCCCCTCCCCACCCTAACAACAACCCTCACCACCTCCCCCCACGACAAACTCGCCTCCCTCAACCTCATCGCCTCCAGCATCACCCAACAACGCCAGATGGCCAACAAAACCATCCTCCACCACTCCATCTTCCTCCTCTGTCTAACCGCCGCCCTCTACCTCACCTCGCTTCTCACCCGCGCCACAAACCCAACCAACTACCC